CGCTTATATGATAGTGTACATCAAATAAAAGTAAAATTACGAGAAAAAACATTAAGGTAGTTCCGCATTATGAACAATTAAGGTAGTTCTGCATCATGAAGAATACAATAAAATATCAAGGTATTCATATTTTACAAAATACATCATATGAATTGAATTATAAGTTCAACTGAATGAGAAATCGAATGATTCATTCCAACGTTTTTCAATAGTGTGTGCGGAAGTGCTGAACTACCTTAAATTGATGAGACATCGTTTTACAAGTCCATAGTTTTATATTTAAACCATCGACGGACAGTTCTCACCACCAATTGATCGTTCATTAATGTGTCTCTGCTGAATCTATTCACGATGCTATCGAAGGAATGACCTCGACTGCGCAAGAATGCGAAAAACAAACAATAATATCCACAAGTTTGAGTGTTCGAAGGTTGCAGTTGAAAGGCTACTGTCGTTAACTTCTCTCCTCGAGAATTGTCCGTCGCGAACCGCTGAAAATCTGGGCCATAGTGCTCGGGTTTCCTGCCCAGAGAGTCGAAAAACTCTAACGAATTTTGGTCTTTATTGAACACGACCCAGTGTAAGCCCGCGTGACTTTTAGGCGCTGTGTTGGCGACTATCAGTACCCTACTGTTTCCTAAATTAGTGGCGGGCAATTCGTCACTGGCCACTACTCCTCCGTAAATTCGTTTAGTATACGGATCGGTGGTTAACATCCTATGCAATGTGAAGCTGTACATGGTTCTGTCAATTCACGATAATATTTCTCGAGGCGTCCACTTCGAAGATTTGAGGAAAGCTTCCGCATACGACGAGGTTGACTGGCTCTGAAAGGGCCTCTTCGAAATGCCCCTCCACTTTCACGTTGGCTCTTCTTATCAAGGGCAATGTTTCGTCAACAGATTTGACACTGTCCGAGTATTGAATATCGAACCTATAGAACGCAAAACCTGTCCCAAACTCAATGCGTGATAAGTCAAGTGGAACATTGGGATCCGCGAATAATCTTAAATATTCTCGAATGTAGTTGCTCTTCCTACTGTTCGTAGCGTCGAAACGTGGTGTCAGGGGTTTCTCTGGAACGCTCTGATCGTCCAGCCTAACGTCCAAATACTTGAGACCGAATGCCTGCGCGTTAAAGGGATTCTTCTTAAAACTTCCACTTTGGGCTTGAGCACCGACCAGGAAACATACGAGCCTAGTGGGAACTGCCCCGTTATAGATGTCGTTGAAGTTGAATTGAAGTTGGCCAGCGGGTATAGTGTAACATTTAAAGTCGTTTTTCTCGTAGGAATAAATGGCGTTCTTCTCGTGTAAATGTTTATCGTAAGACTGTAATATTCCCGGGGATACTGATACCATGGCCATCCTGAGATAGACATCCACGAGTTCCACTTTGTAGATGGTATCCGAGTCTGACATCAGTCTAAAGGCATCCGATGTAGGCGTCAACTTCACTTTCACTTCGATTCCATTGAGTAAAAACTTTTCCATTTGGAAGATGTCTTCCAGCAAAGGTCCCTCCATGTCCACAATTTTACCCTCGTTGCTTTCATCCCATCTGGTCACCAAGCCCCTGGGTGCGTCTAATCCAGTTACATCGGTTCCATCCATGACATTCCGTCCGCCGAAACAACTATCCTTATAGTACAGCGCGGCGGACAGTTTCCCTTCTTGCTCCTGTTTCGTGGTGTACAACAACGTTTTTAGATAAGCTTTGTACGGGTACATATTGATGGACGTGGGCACGGGACGCTGTTGTAACTGGATCTCCACGTGACCCCATAGAGAATGAAGGAGATTGTTCACAGGACCAAATTTTTCAGTTATCTCGGGTACCGTTCCGTCGGAACGCAAGATACGAGCCTTCACGTAGAGCCTCGAATTTTTCAAATCGATGAGCTGCGAGGAATTATTGGGAATACTAAACTCTACCACGGAATGATCGGTTAATTGTCCAGTGGGCCGAATCTCCACGTAAGAGTAGGCCGTCACGCTACTCTCCGTCGGTGGTTCGCCGAAAAATCTCAAATTATCGCTTATAACTTCTTCACTGCCGCTCACTTTGAACGCCATCTTTATTTATTTTTTTTTTTGCTTTTTTCAATTTCTGTCAAAGATATTTTCGTAGCCTTTCTTCCCCTTACGTTGTTGACCGTTCGGCTTTTTCTTCTTACTGACCGCAGCGACTCCAGTATGCTTTCTTTTATTCTTGGTGGTCGCGGGTTGCATCGTTGAAATCTCGTTATGTCTCGCCATCATTTTCTGTTGCTGTAAATCTGAACGCGCTCGTTCGGTGACGGCTTGAATCGGAGAGATCATTTTTACCGGGGCCTGCGCTTCCCTCACGGACGATAGGGGGATGTATCTGGCTTTGTGTTTTCCCCTGCCTATCTGAGCCAACACCCGACCCTCCCGACTAGCCCGAATGAACGAGTCCCATTTCTTAGGGTCGTCCACGTAAAGTTCCAATTTCATTTTATTTCTCGTTTTTATTACAACAAACGACGTATGTGAACCGCGCAAGTCACTGCTCCTTCTCTGAATGACACCGTCTTGTTGTTGTCTCCTCTTATATTTATCTTGATTCTGTCGAAGTGAACTTGATTGATGGGAAAGTACATGGGCCTATCGAACACCCTGTTCGGATTTGATTTGGGAATTCTTCTCAGAATGCACTTTTTCTCGCAGTTCACCACGGATGAATCGGCCAGTTCGCATAAAACGTCCAAACAACTCACTTCAGAATCGCAAATGGGATCCTCGGGAAAATTGATTTCGCAAAGGGCTATCTGCCAAAGACCTATCAGATTCAAGTAGCCGGGTAGAACGACCGTGAAGCTATTCGAATTGTTAAAAGGATAATACTGTCTAGAGTCGTTGCTGCTCAAGAAAAAATAATGGTCCGTCTCCATCGTTTTACTCGGACTAAATGAATGAGTTCAAGTGGTGGATGAAATTATAAATATGTAAAGGGACCTTCCAAAATGGACAGGGCCAGGGGGTCAAATAATCATGCAATTTGTTTTCAATACTACTTCATGTTTAAGTTATGGTATTTCGAAATAACAGCATTTCAAACTCTACACTTAATTGAACTTTATTGAATCCTCAAAAGTATCGAATTTAGTTTGAAACACTTCATTAAAAATAAACAAATGAAATTCTTTTTTATTTTCTGATATAATCACTTTTTATTAATTCCATTTTCATTTACATTTTATTCTGAAATACATTTTCTTGCTGTCATAGCAACTGTATTATACGGTCTCAAAATCCTATATTAACCCAATATTAGTGATTGTTCTCTGATGTATCACATATAAATGTTGTTGGCTGAATGTCAATAATAAAACTGCTTTGTGTTTCCAAAGCTTGTGACATCATCAAAACCGAGTGAAGCATTTTCTTGGGATCCGAAAAGTTCTGGCGACAATGGCTGGGATTCGGGTACCTCGTGGCTTTGTCTCTTCGGAGTCACCATCCGGTCTGAATCGTAGGAATCCCCCTTTCTCTTATTGATCAGAGTATATTTCTGACTAGCTCCCGAATTACCGCTGTCTGTTCCTTTGTCATCGGTTGAAGTAACTAAAAGACACGCAGTGAAAGATTTATATCAAATTCATGTTGAAATACATTACACAATGTTTATGCTATTTAGCGCGTTTCCCCCTACCATACGAACATGCTATTTTAGATGACAGTCATAATATCATGTGATATTAACAAACAGTACCGAATTATAGATACATGTATTGTACATGTTGTATACAAAACTCACGCAATAAGTGACTTAACTTACCATTTTCTTTGTTTTCTTTCACTGCAGTTAAAATGCAGGCATTTATCTCTCCAATTTTTTCCTTTAACAGCTCGAAGTCTTCCCAGTCGATTTTGATTTCATCCGATTCGTCGCTTTGCTTTCCAGAGGAGGACTGTGTAGCATTTTTTCTCGTTCTCTTCATTTTCATGTATGTGTTTTCGTACCCATCCCGTCCAACGTACACAGTCAATAACTTGTCCAGTTTGATTAACATCTCCTCGCCCCCAGCCATCACACATCGAGCGAATTGCGAAAGTGTTGGTATGGCATCCCTGAAGAGAACGTACTGTTTGATGGACAGTAGCACAGACTTGTTGAAGTAACAAAGTTCTGATGTATTTAGTATTCTTTGCTGGAATAGTAAAAATGGTTTGGGATATTTCCCCAATCTAACGTCCACTTTAAATTCACTTCCAAACTCGAATACAGCCAGAGAGTTGATTTCTTGCGCTTCAGTCATTGTAATGTACAGTATACGATGATCTTACTATATTTTCAATTTATTTTACTTTTTTCTGGATTGTTAAAATATTTACTGGTAATCGATCAGAGTTGACGATGGTAATGAGGGCTACAGTAAACTTTAACGAAGAACTCAATGTGATCCCTAACACTCAGCCAATGAGACTTGACTTAGTTTTAAACCCACCAATGGAAAAGGGCATTTGGAATGCGTGATCCCTACATATAACAAATGAGTGACTTTGGTACAACATTTACAGTGTTGTACCATATTTTCTAAATGGCTCACTAATCGTCGCCCTCCTTTGTTATCGAGCTAATGAGGCGAGCGGGAGACGTAGGGAGGGAAGAGTGTTGAGCAACATAGCTTGGTACAACGTTGACGTGTGGCTCCCTTAACAAAGGGCGATGCGTAACATACAGAGGTAGAACACCATGGTACAACACCTTAACAATGGGTGTTGAGCAACATAGCTTGGTACAACGTTGACATGTGTCTCCCTTAACAAAGGGCGTTGCGTAACATACAGAGGTAGAACATCATGGTACAACACCTTAACAATGGGGTGTTGCGTAACATACAACGTGGTACAACCTTAGAACAAAGGGGTGTTACGCAACATACAACGTGGTACAACCTTAGAACAACCTTAGAACAAAGGGATTATGTAATGGTACACCGTAGTACAACCTTAGAATGTGGCTCCCTCATTCCCTAATAACTACTAGCGACTTTAACACCATTTGAGCTGCGGCGAGTAAGCCACCTCGGACCATGCTTATATCCAGACTGAATGCTGCCGTCATAACTATAAAATCTCCAGTGTTGCTTAGCCTGATGATGTGACCCCATTTTGTCCTTCATATACACGTATTTATAACCGACACCACGTACAGACAGCATATTTTGACTTTGGTAGTTCATTACATGATCCTCGTAACGAACCCATATATCTTTCTCACTTGGAGACTCCACATTGCGCACTTTTGCATAGGTGCCATCATCAGTCAAAATTGGACAATCACCATTCTCACTTCTGATAACATACAGCTCAGGAGTTGATTGACTTGCGCATTGAAGCTGTTCTTGAGGATTTTCGTTGCCAACATTTTCATCGACCTTCCTCCATTGTTGTCTTCTCGACGATCGCCATCGATCAAGTGTTATATCCCCCGTACCTTCTTCAACTCCCACGTAAGTGTTGTCATACTCAAGGATTAGTTGAAGTGACGCATGTCTCCAGAACTGATAACGACTGCTTCGGAGATATGGAGTTAGAATGAGACGATTTCCCTGCTTGGTTAGGTATAAGTCTGATTCGAGGTTTCTTATTCTCTTGTCATCGAAATACCAAAGTTGATGGTACACAAGTTCCTGTTGGATTGGTCGCACAACAACGTTTTCGTATGACCCTTGTCAGTGGCGTAGGAACAATGTACGCCAAAACGCCAGTGCGTAGTGTTGAAAAGTGAGAATAAAAAAGACTTTTTAACTTTCCTATGTTCTTTAGTCATATTTTCTCATTGTTTAAATTGTAAAAGTAATCTCGAGCACACTAGCCTAAAGAAATGTTTTGTGGATACCATATTATTATTGGTCTGTCTGGCAAATATCATTTAACAGATTGAATTCCCTTACCAACATGCTTTATTTCATGAAAATCGAGCCACTATTGACTGTCTTATAAATACAATTTCGCCAAATATTCGTGAATCGCGTTCTCTTCACGAATTTGAGAGGAAAGCTGGTTTTTTTTTCAAAAACTACTTGATGAATACCTTTGACATTTTTTCTGCATTTTCCGTAATGCTTATGCTAACTATGGTATCATATAATTATAATGATGAACCTTTTTTTTTTTTTTTTTTTTTTATTTATTAAAATCATATAAACATATATACATATAAGTGATAATGACACCCTAGTGGGTGTATGTCTTATCACAAGCTAAAATATTTAAAAATGGCATATTGTTAGTTACATTTATTATTGATATTACAAAGTGTCTCAAAGTATAAATTATGTAAGCCAAACTGGGAAACAAATAAAAATAAAAATGATGTACATTATAAAAGATGTAATAAAACATTTTAATGATGTAGAATAGCTAAATGGAAAAAGGTGCATCTGTTAAAAATTTGTACAGGGTACTAGTCATAGAGACTAATTACAAGTCTTTTGAAGGCTCGCTTAAAAATAAAAATGGTTTTTGAATTTTTGATAACATCTGGAGTTGAATTCCAGATTATTCCCCCTTGAGTTTTAATACTTCGTTTGCCATAGTTGGTTCTAAATTTGGAAATATGAAGATTGTCAGTCTGTCTTGTATTGTGGTCGTGTACCTGCTGATTTGCTTGAAAATAATTGCAAAATAAGTCATTCGGAAAATTGTATGGACGTTTGATGCATTTGTAAGTAAAGATAAGAACATTGAGTTTATAAATATCATTTATTTTCAGTATATTTAGTTGTTGAAATAAAGGTGATGATGGTGCTTTATTATATTCACTATTAGTAACTAAGCGGGCAAATCTTTTCTGCAGCTTTAATAAGATATCAATATGTGTTTTTCCTGTCCCACCCCAAGCTGGGATGCAATATTGTAAGTGTGAGTAAATAAGTGAGTAATAGATATTCAATAATGATTTGATACTGAGTTTGTGTTTTATTCGAAAAAGAGTACCTATGGTTTTTGAAATTTTTAGTGCAATTTTCCGAATATGTTCTTTCCAATTTAAATTTTGGTCAATTATAACGCCAAGAAAATTTGTTGAAAAAACACGAATAATGTAAGAGTCTCTAATTTTGATTGAAATATTATCTGGTACCCTATTTTGTGAAGTTGTAAAGACCATAAAGTTGGTTTTATCAATGTTCAATGAGAGTTTATTAGCACAGAACCAATCATCTACAGTTTTTAATTCATTATTCACTATATCAATTAAGGAATAAATATTTTTGTCAGAGCAAAGAATATTTGTATCATCAGCAAAAATTACATATTTGAATAAATTGCTAGTAGAGATTAGGTCATTTATGTAAAGGATGAAAAGTACGGGGCCTAAAATGGATCCCTGAGGGACACCACATTGTATTGTTTTCATATCCGAGTATTCATGTTCAAAAAAAGTAGTTTGCTTTCTGTTACTAAGATAACTTTTGAACCAATCCAAGGATTTACCCTGGAAGCCGTAAAAATTCAATTTAGTAAGTAGAATATCATGGTTAACCGTATCAAAGGCTTTACTTAAATCCAAAAAGATCCCTAAACTGTAATGTTTATTCTCCATAGCTTTCCTTAGGTTTTCTAGGAAAGTTAAAATAGCTAAGCAAGTAGATCGATTCCTTCGAAATCCAAATTGATTGATACAGATTATTTTGAATTTTTCAACGAACTCAACAACTCTATTATACATAATTTTCTCAAATATTTTAGAAAAAACTGATAAAAGTGATATCGGCCTATAATTACTAAAGTATCTTTGATCATTCTTTTTGAAGATTGGAATAATTTTGGCTATTTTCAGTTGATCTGGAAAGACACCAGTCGAGAGAGATAAATTGGTCAAATGGAGCAAAGGAGGAGTGAATATGTCATTTGAATTCTTAACTGTTATTGGTTTAATTTCGTCATACCCTGCTGCTGAATCTTTTAAATTATCAATAATTTTTTTGACTTCTTTATCTGTTACTCTTCTTAAAAATATACTTTGATTGAATGAATCTGTCAATTTGCTTAAGTAATATTTTGGGGAAAAATTAGCATTTTTTATATTATTTGCAAGATTAGGTCCTACTTCGGTAAAATAATCATTAAAAAGATTAGCAATTTGTTTATGGTCTTTAATCAGCTTATTATCATAAATAAATTCCTTGTTTGTCAGATTTGAACGTTTGTCTCTGTTAAGAATTTCATTAATGTTTTTCCATGTTTCCTTTAGATTACCCGAACAACTGTTGAACTTGCGTTTATAGTAAAGTCTTTCCGAATTTAGAACCTCTTTAGATTTAGATGTATATTTTTTTATTCTCCCCTACCCCAATTTTTCAATTTCACTATCGATTTATATTCCGTTGCTATGCAAAATCATAGACACGAAATTATAGTTAAGTCAACAATTATCTATTTTCTTACTAAATCACTAATTGTTATTGGTAGTACTTTTTGAAATATGGATGTTAAAGACAAAAACAACTTGAAAATGCTGATTATTCAATTACACGTTCCATTGATTTCAGTTCTAGAAAAGCGATAACCTAGTTTTTTTTCATTTGACAAATAATAGATTCTTGTTTTATAACATTTTTTGGCATCCCCGAAGTCACGTTGACCTCGATTTGACCTTTGTGGTGGGTGTATTTATTTGTTTCATTGATCACGAATGCGTTTCTGTATATCAATTGATCAAACTAGTTTCTTTAATCTGTACGTATTGTATTGCACGGTACACGATGGAATCCGACAATACTATATATCTTCAGATCTTAATTCAATTATTCGAAAATGATTAAAAAATCTCTAATTGTTTTTTGGAAATTGGTCGTCTCAATCGTTCGAGATATTAGCAAAGTGAGAATGATTTTCGTCGAGATTTAAAAGATAGGCTTTCCAAGGTGATTTTAAATGATGAAAATCATTCGAACATTTTAAAGCACATTAAAAAGGTATCGGGGATTTAAAGCTTGCATATGAAATCGAAACGCCAACCTATACGTATGACCAATCGCCCATACAAATGCATCGCTTAAGTATTTCCGTTCACATTTAGGTTGTGAATATTGCAAGCTTGAAATCTCTGTTACCATAAAATGACGTTTTACGAGCATAATATAGGCGTTTTGATAAAGAATATTGACACAATTGTTTCATATTTTTTGGCGGGATTTTTGGCGTAGTGTTGAATTTACACCTTCCTACGCCCCTGCTTGTCCAGTCAGAAGCTCACACGGAGTGAGAATATTTTTCAGAAAAAAATGACACGTCACTTCCTGGAGAAAATTGTCATCGTCGTCCATTTCTATAAGTTTCCATCGGCCATGCGCTATATTTAGTTTTCCATACACTGACTTTGCTCCTTCTGAATCAACATATGGATATAGATAATATGATGTTCCAAAGTCGTTTATGGAAAAGTCATTGGCATACCTAGACCACCTCTGGAGTCGCGAGTATTCATAAACATGCCACATGATCACAAGCCTGGTAGAACCAATTCCCTCCGCATCTAACATGAGAGAAAGGCGAGAATGACCATTGATAATATGGTCATTTTCAAAAAACCAAACTTGTGTCGCAAAGTTCTCCCTATCGAAGATTTTAAAAACAGGGGGCTCTCCCAACCCAGTTGCTGTGAGAACTAAGCATGGTTCAGAGCTGTGCTTAATGAAAAATACCCTCCTTGGTTCTTGTCGACCATGATGAAGAGGAGGACAATTCGCAGCATTAGCGTCATTCATCACTTTCCTTATTTCAATAAGACTCCATGATTGTCGACTGTTAATCTCGGTGGTATAACTAGGCCTACTACTCATTGGATTCTGAGATAGTGCTTTGATCAAACCGTCATTCTCAACATCAACAGAGAGAAAAAGATTACGATTACCGGAAATGGATGACCGGAATTTGTCGTTTATCAGTTCCCATGCTTGCCTCGGGGTGTCTTCATTTTCCAGGAGAATCGCTGATGTATTGTCAGAGGCTGCGACTGTTACAAAAAGACCTGTTTTAAAATTAACTAGCTTTCCTTCTTTCCAGTGGAATAGCTGTCTGCCCACCAATTCATTTAACAGCGGTCTTGCCTTCAGTGCTTCTCCCTCGTCATAACCTGTTAAAAACTCACAATATTTGTGATTATTTCGAATTAAAAACAGACATATAAGGTCCTCTATATTGTCTGAAGTGTGATCGAAAAACTGCCATTGACAGTGTGTCTCGATTGTGTCGACGCCTAAACACATGAGACTCGATGGATCATTTATGTCTTAAACCCCTATTTTACATGCATTATCCAAAGCAAAAATAGACGTTCCATTTTGAGATAATACCTGGGAATGTCTGTAAGTAAATGTGTCAGCTAACACAACATTAAATTCGGATGCATTCGTTACTTTCTCAGAGGGATCTACTTGAAGCGACAGTCCAGTTTCTAAATTGATCAAATGTCCAAAATCCCAATACCAAAGTTGAAATGTTGTTTTCTCCTCATCAAATTGCAAAAATATTGGTGATTCGAGTTTTTTTTCCAGCAGTCAGTACGTCACATGGCCTAGACTGCAATTTAATGAAAAAGTATTTCCGTGGTTCAGATGTATTACAGGATAAGCTTTCGGGTTTATCCATAGTATTTTCCAATTCTATAAACGTCCAGTTTCCATTCTTCTCCATTTCGAATTCCTTTAGATAACCACGGTTATCGTTCACATCAGCTGCGAGAGTATCCAGGGATTCTATATTCAAGGCAGTTGTGTTTTCGGAATTTAGGTCGACCACGCTCAGGTGAACATCGCCCTGTGTTTTTCCGAGTGCAAGTCCAGTTTCAAGATGGTAGATAATATTATTTGACTTATACCATAATTGTGACTTTAAAGTACTCGCCAACACGGGAGATACGCTGATTTTCATGGTGGATGTATCCACTGTTAAAGCTTCGCACACTGTGGCTAGTCGATCTATGTGGATGCAGTCATTTATATGTAATGTATCGTGGGTACTCTCGTACATTATAGGGAATGGGATCATTGCAAAAATATGACAGCAAATCGAGGTAAGTGATCTCAGAGTTTCTACTTAACATTGTGACTTGAAATCTTGCATACATATTCAATATACATAGTATGACGATGTGTGAAAGTTTCAGCTACCATATTCCTGTTATAGGGAAGATATTTGAAAAACATTTCGTAAACGTCAACATATATGTATAAAATGGATGCACCTATGTATCATTTGGATTCAGAACGGTAACAAATGGATGCTTTAATAAATTATACTTTTATCATGATGATTTATTTACTGATGGACAACTCTCCAGATTTTCTTTGTATCCATTGTTTGGATAAACATTCCTCATTCAGTAAAGTAATTAGCCACCCCATTACAAGTAGTCTAAAGACACCCTCATGAAAAATTGAAAATACTATATATAAACCCATCAACTGGAAAATGCCATTACAGATGAAATAAAGGACCCACGGTCCTGTGCTCACACAGTGTAGAACCTTCAGAGGAATGTATATCCTGATTTACAAACTAAAGTAAATATGAGATCAATTAAAGATGAGTCCTTTGTTGTTGGTTCAGATATGATTTGTTGTAGTCAAAGGAAAACCTATGAATTTAACCTAGATTTCGACCTAGGCCTTTTAGTGTCCAAATTTTGAAGGAAAGTAGATTTTGAGGACGGCTTCTATTGAAGATTCTTATTAAGTTGGCTGCATCCAAGCTGTATCTAGTGTTGATCCTGAGATTTCAAAAGCCATAACTTCCGAACCTGAAGTCGGATCAAAATCTGGTTTGCAGATTCGGATTCCTTGGATAATTCTACACATATTTCATAACTTATACATTGAATTCCAAGAACTTTTTATTGTGACCTACTTTTCGGATGCCATATCTCAAAAACGGTAAGAGTGATCAAAAACAACTTGCCTGTAGGGATTAGCTTTTTTCCAAAGAACATGATTAAAAAAACAGAGCAAAAATATTGAAGGACGACTGAAAAAATTGAAAAAATGACAAAGTACTGGATTTGACCTAGTTCTTGACCTTTGACCTGGTTTAAACCTGATTACACCCAGATCTGGACTTGGACCTGAACTGGACCTTGACTTGGACCTAGATCTGGACTTGGACCTGAACTGGACCTTGACTTGGACCTGGAACTGGTGTTGGACCTGGAAATGGACTGGACTGGTATTTTTTCAATCTTTTCTTCACTTCTCTTGACTTTCTATAAGGCTATCATCAGATCGATTTTTCTCGAAATTTAAAAATCAGCAATTTCTCGGAAACCGGGCGAACTTGGAAAATGGCGATGATAGGTCAAATAGACATTATGGATATGCATAAAATGAATGTTGAAATGACTCAATCCGAATAGCAGTTTTAATTTGTGCAGCCAATGTTGACAGACAGACGGACCAACAGACAGACGGACGCCTGGTGGGTCCCATAGGCTCACTGTGTGAGCCAAAAACTATGGTTTTATCGCTAATATGTTAAATTGAAAAACGGGTCCATAACATGTAATGATGACAATGAAAATGTTGAAATTAGGTACGCCAATGAAGTGAATTCAGAGCAAAAGACCCATCGACCCACTGGAATACCCACAAATCAAGTTTCATAGCCTTGCCCAAGTCGGTCTCTTTTACTTATCTTGATTTCTATTATGACCGCCTTGTACCCAAGAGAAAGCCAGGTGCTTTACCGACCCAATGTTTTTGTCGGTAAAATTTGACAAATCAACGACGGCCCTACATTGCCGGAATAGGTCTTCGTGCATTTCCATCGCGAATTCAGTTTTGATTTTGAATCAACTTTGAATTGCATGATTTCATTTATACGAGTATTAATGACTGCTTACATTCCAATGTACATTTAATAACATAATATTTTGTAACTCTCAAGAAACACTCGATCAGATCATTGAATTTGAAGTCCTAGACGGGTAGTTTGCTTTTTTTATGCAGGTCAACCTGATAACGTTTTGATTGGTCAATCAGCCTGAAGTCACACGTTGTGTCCATGTCCATATTGTCAATCAAAATGGTTTTGCGATATCCTTAGGTAGCCTAGGTATTATGGGAATCTCGGAACCGCTGAATAACTTAGCATAATATCAGCGATGATACATTGGATTGTACAAGATGGTAATAATTCAAGATCAGATAAGTAAATAAATACCGACTTGGGCAAGGCTACAAGTTTCAGAGCCATTAACATTCCTTGAAAGTGACAATGAGCAGCCAACAGATGGACCATCCGTAAATTTTGATGATTTTGTCAGCTCAGCTGAACGAGCCTCCAGATTCCTTGAAACAAATGACCATAATTCAAGAATAGTATTATCTATTTACAATTTTTTGAAATCGTGGTAAGTGGAATCTTTCCAATGACCAATATAGCATTATTATTGTTTTTGGACACTGTGGATTAAAATATTAAAAAATCACACATTCAAAATGATTCAATTGAAACCTAGCCAGTCTGTTCAATGAATCCAATCAGAACGTCTACTAATCCACATGATACATCATAATTAAATTGCTTTTTAAAGCGGATATTTCATACCATAACTCCAAAAATATTATAGAACGCATTGTATTTGTATTTTACTTCACACAGACATATTTGTGTATGTGAAATAATTATATTACTTGAATTTTGTATTCCCCATTACAAGGTAAACCTATGGCAAATTATACATACATGTACCTTCTCACAGCTATGAGCGAGATGATAAAACTGGTCGAGTGAACTCGTTTGAGTTATCTATTCTCCGTAAAAATATCAGAGAATGTGTGTTTATAGCGTAGCTTTGGTTTTGTAAATCAATGAAGTATGATATACACGGATGAGTAAATATAGATTATTTAAACAGTATTGCAAAATTCTTCCATTGAAAAGTACAGAGGCGGGCACTCACGAAACATTACATGTGCCTGACTGCATCCACATAGATCGACTAGCCACAGTGTCGCATGGTACGACCTGGTTTTGTATAAAATACACACATTGTACTTTTGTTACGTAGTCAGGTTCAAATGGAATCACCTTGAAGACTGGCGCTGAGTTATTGGTGTTGTCACACTCCAGCCAACGGTTAACGTCATTCATTGCGACATGAACATTACATGGGGTTGTAGACACGATAGTCTGGTTGTTTCTTTTCTCTAGTGTTGCTGGTGATATTGTGAGTCTACCGCCTGTGCTAAAGTGTATCAAGGCACCGTCCCTCAAGAGCCACAATTGGTGCGCAATCCTATCAAACTCGTATGGCAAAAAGGAGATTCCATTTTGATATGTCAGTACGGAACATGGGAAATCGTCGTTTTGAATGAAAAACACCCTCTTGCATGTCCTTTGTACTTTTATAAGTTCCATTGGTTCTACGTCATTGTCTTCTTCTAGATTTATGACTCTACTCACGAAATTTTGATCAAAGCTCTCAATTTTCCCATGTCCGCGGTAATACCAAAGGATGTCAAGTGGAATGTCATTTTGAAGTAACCATGGCAACTCTTCACATTTTAGACTCCTGTTGTGTCCAAAGGTTCGGGGTGGTAGAATATATAGACACGTTATGTCCTTGAAAAATGTAGGCGTGCTAATTAAAAGTGTGGTCCAGGAGCCAGTGTCTTCACCCCTATTTGGACTCGGCTGTGCATGTGTATCTGTATTAAACGTCGCATTGAGACGCACAACTTCATCCCCACAGAACATCCATGTTGATGCATTTTCATGAAAGGCATCCCACTCATTCAAAACGACTTCCTGGTTTTGTAAATACGTATAAATGGTTACATTTTCAAACGCAACATTAACAAAATGGTTCCCTTTCTCATACCAAGAACATGGGCCTGGTTGGTCGAAATCATAGTGTTCGTATACTAAATCGAACGTGTCCGTCGTCATAGATTTATTTGCAGCGCATAAAGTGTAACACGGTTTGTGTTTATGTTGGATGACAAAGTATCTTTCTTGTAGTTTGAGGCCGCATGGGGGAAGTCCTTCTAATGTGAACGGTGCGAATTCCCAGTTTGCTCCTTGGCCACCTTCATCTACTTTGGAGATAGATACATTACCGGACTCGTCAACAACAAGTTGCATATTACTATCACTGGCAACTGTCAACGTACTATTACCTTCGAGAATCCATCGTTGGTTTGTATCGTTCCGTTCAAAGTCCAAGCCGATCTTCTTGTTTGGATAGGACGAAAGTAAAAGACCTGTGGTTGCATGCACGATATAATCACTATCTTGATACCAGAGTTGTTCCGTGATATTATCGTAGTCAGTGTCAGCCATGATAAGTGACATTTGTGTTCCTGTTTCAGAGTTGAATGACAATACCCTACACGAATCTCTGTCCTGGATTGCAAAAAGGCCCAAGTCCTCGATGTCCAAAGCAGTACTTCTACGTGCGCGGTGTCTTGTCACGTGATTTACGATTTTATCATATTGGTGATATTTACTCGCTCGCTTTTGATAATCAAATATTTCAGCAATATTGCGTTTAGCATTTTTGTATGTTGCCGTAGGTTCGATCGTGCGATTGTGTAGTCTTCATTTATTCACTTCTGGAATGGCATCGGAGTATTCTCGTTGTAGGTTTGCTTGTCGTTTCTTTCGAGATCGTTCAATTGTTTCGTGGTCATTTAACATAGCCGAAATTATATCATGCTCCGTTATAATGTCATCTAGATCGTCAAAGCTCGCATTCGAGAATTGCAAAACCTCGTCGGGATTAGACTCATTTAAGTGGTCAAAAATATCACTCATGTCTTGTAATTTTCCAAAGTTATATGCCATGATATTTAAGGCAGCATATTCACGGGCATTTTCTGGACCTTCCGGATCCACCATGTCGTTTCCAGGAACGCCAATGTCGTCATTTCTTGTACCGTTGTGCATAGAGGTCAGATCATCAGAGTTTATTACCTCAAGAAAAGAGATGACGTCATCAGAGTCGATTATTTGCAACAACTCTCTTACACGCCCCTCCATCATGGTTTGGCATTCGATTAAAGAATAAACCACCGCTGAGATAGTTAGGTACATCGGGTATAGCATCGATCTTTGTTTCCAAAATGTTTTAACTGAAGATTCATTGGCGTTCGAATTACACGACGGGATCCAGTCCATAATTTTTCTTGTCACTTTCGCATCCTGCTCTGGGATGATAATGAGCTGTTGTTTTAATTGCGTTCATGACACCAAACTCATCGATGTCATTTATCGCTCTACGATCGCGATCTGTACTGTTATTGGGCAAATAAATTCTAGTGGTATCTAGTTTTACATCATTCGAAGTGTCGACGGAAATTCCCTGGTCTAACGATGGCATATTAAACGGAATATGCACTGTCGCGTCACCAACCGTTTCCCCAGCTATAGCAGATTGACTTCGCTCTTTGATGATTGCGCCTATTTTGCTTCTGATCTCCTCCCATTTCACACCCGCCATATTGTTCTTATCAACCGTTCTTTTAAAGTCATTGATTCGGTCTTTGAATGATTTAGTTCCAGATTTATACGCTTTACCTTTGACTCTTTCATCCCTGCGCATGTTAATTATGTTCATTGTCAGAATGATATCAAATTGTTGAAGCAAGACCAGGGCACACCAGAAAGCGGCAACCCGTTGCTGTAATTGCGCCATCTTTCAGTCCAGCAGCTGAAAAGAACAATAGTATATTTTAGGTATTTAGATAAGATCATAGAATTCAAGATTTGCCTTTATCAAAATCGTGCTATTAGTAAATTTTCTGCAATTTCATATGATTGTGCGGTTTGAATAATATTATTATGAATAGGTTTTGTGTGCTCAGCCCCACCCTCAAGTATCGTTGGAAAAGGTTACTGTGATATTTGCGTCTTTTCTTTTAAACATTCTTTTGCGTCTTTCAAATACTTCTCTTAAATTTTCTTTTTGAAATCGTGTATTCTGACATCAGTAAGAAAGGTTTTTCAAGCTTTATAGGCTAGCCTTAAATAATCTGTACTTTACTTTAATAAAACTATATTCAAGCAAGCGGAGCGAGGTACCCATATGCTACTGTTCCTCAAGCCAAGTGAGATTGAAAGCCCCATTCTGATTTTGGCATTTAGCCGAAGGCGTGGCTTTAACTTCGATGTTTACAAAACTGGTACTATTTAATTTGCTTAATATAATACAGGTCCTTACATTTTTGCTGTCCTTCAAGTGACACAATGGAAGATCGTAACAAAATGCAGTTAAACAATAAATCGTCGATGCTTCTTGAGATTCCGGGTGTCTTTTGTTGATTTCTCAGACAATTGAATTGGGTGAACGAAACGTCTTTAAGTTTCGTATGAAACCAGGAAAGTTCATGTGCTTCACCCACAGACAATGCTTTCGAAACTTTCCGGGTATTTGTGTCACTAAAAATAGCCGTTGTTGATTTGAAAATGTTTGTTTCTGGTTTCACATAGTAATTTGTCACCACTGATATCTCAACTAATGTAGATGTATGTTTAACGCAATATTTTGTTTGTTTTTTTTCGATAAATGGACTGGCACCCTAACACAGTAAGATCTACACTATACGAAAAAGGTGCAGCAGGAAACATACCGGGTGAGGGTACTTGTTAAAATTTGTCCCATTTTTCCTCACAATATTTCGTGTCGTACGTCAATATCGTAACTTCAGATTTTGTTCCATAAAGCTTTGATTTTGAGGCATAGTTGGCAACATTTGAGTCAAATGAGTTTGGAAATTTCTGATCGAATTTTAATTTTCGACATCTTCCATTTAATCAGATCCCTAAAGTATGTTAAAGGCCCCGTGAAAAGTTTGAAAACATAGTTTAATCATCATACTCGTTTCCCAGTTTGATTTTCAATCACACTGGTATCAGTGGACAAATTTTCTATCCGAAAAACAAACAAACTATCTGATTGGTGCACGTTAAAACCAGTGCACAATCAGATGATTTGTTTGTTTTACTCGGGGATCTCATTTGTCAGACTCCTTTTAAACCATAGTTAATGGCCCTTAATTATTGACTAATGAGGTTGACTGGTCAGCTTCTATTTACCTTATACAAAAGAATTAGCATAATGTAGGCTGAATAAGATGATATCTCTTTTATCAGAATCCTCAATCTATGACAAATTAATAGGGTTTTGGGCAGAAATATCAGCCTGATATTCCAAGGTACGTATGAACACATCATACCTTGGAAATCCAAGATGTTTAATCATCGCAATATTACTTTTTATGACTTGAAAAACGATTAGGTTATTGAAAACACGGAATGGAATCCTGTGCTAAGGGCTGACATGAAAAAGTCAGTTCATCCCAGTGGAGATTAAACACACAAGACATTTTGTTTGAATAATGTGACTTTTGAAAAAAAGTTGCACATCTTAAAACTTTCAAATATTTTAATTTCCCGCCATTTTAGAAAATAGGTTATGATGTCACCATACGCTTTGATGTCATTTAATTTTTTCTCGTACAAATATTTTCTAAATAATGGTAAACTTTTTGCCGAAGTGCTCTGACGTCACCCAAAATCAATGCGATTGGCCTCTGACACATGTGGTCTACACTAGTTGAACAATTTAAGGTCATGGACTTACGTCAGAAGGAAGAAGAATAATCAACAAAGTGTTAAAATAAAGAGAAAATAATTTTTACCATATCTAGATCTGGACTAGTTATGTACCATTGGAATACTATTTCAAAATACATTTTCTCTGAACCACTTAATTGCGTTTTTTTTTAATTTTCAACAAATATTATTTGAAATAAATTGACTTTTTGATATTAGATTGAAACGTTTCACATACCAAAGTTATAATAACATTCGGTAAGACTTTAATAATGAGCCAATGTAGTTTAAACCTTATCTCGGTCCTCTAACAAATATAGACAATATTGCTAGGGAAGGAAACATGTGGGTATGGTGCTTTTCACTGCTAAGTGAAAATCAAAGAAGACACGTATATTCCCAGCAAACTCTATAATTGTGTGCTCCTATTTCACTGGGGGGTATCGTGATGCAACAACACCGTGTTGTTGCATCAAGATGGCCAGACTTCCGGTGATAGATTTTCGTACGATGTTTTGTTTTCCCAATTTACACCCATTTCTAGGACGAGTTGCTCAATAATCATACACATGCAGTTAGCGCATGATCTATATTTTAAAAAACTGTCATTGGTATACATGTAGCATCATCAAGAAGCGATAAATTCGTGGTTTTAATTCCTCACTATTGATGCAACAACACCACTCTGTTTCTTATCGATGATGCAACAACACCAATGTGCTGATGCAAAAACGCCAATATAATGTATCATTGAACAACAAGAGAAACTGTTTTATGTTCTGTTTACAGGTGTAGGTCGGGACATGAATAAAACGCGTGAGTCAGTGGTCCATGAACGAAACGTATTTTGTTTGGTTTCTTTTTCTATATCACAGTTAAAATGATATACAAGGCAAACTAAATAAAGTACAGAATCCCGGGAGGCAATCTCATTGATATTGTATCTGAAAAATAAAGATTATGCATTTTCTAAATTAAATGCCCTTGATTTACCGTATGGAAATTGCTTACAAATAACTAAATATAATTTTGGAAAGACAACAGATATCAGTCATTTTGTGTTGTTAGTACCTCAATTGAAATACTCAATTCTGATTGGTTGATTAGCGGGCAACAAAATGTATTGTTAGTGTTGAAATACTCGATTCTGATTGGGTGATTAGTAGCGGTCAAAATTATGTACTGTTGACCGCTACTAGGTACTGTTGACCGCTACTTCTGAAAAAAAGTTTCATGACGTCACAAAAAAACATGGAAGACGGACATTTTGTAAACGTTGATGAAAATGACTTTACTAGGCGACAAGTATAGCAAAAATACAAATAGAAACTTAAGGTTAACATAATCATTTTCTAACAATATGACACCATCCCATTGAAAAACTTCTGTTTTCCTGTGGTAGAGGCTAACATTGACACCAGGTGTGTCATGAGCGATCAAAAAATTATTCACTGCGGATTTCCAATCTGTGGAAAATTGAGGGAAATTTGTATTTTGTCACCTTCAAAACAAGTACATTTATACCAATAATACCTATTTTTAATTACCTGTCTATTGTGTATTACTCTGAAATAAATTTATAATGATTCAGTCAAGCATATTGAGTGCAGCTGTGACTGCATGTGGACTGTAATATGGAGGGAAATTATGGAATTTTCATTTTTTGATTTTTGATCACTGAAGACACCACTTTGTCAATTCTAACCTCTAACTCTACAAGAAAGGTCTTCCAACCAGATGTTGTCATATTGTTTGGAAATGATTCATCTTTAAAATGATATATAATACTGGCATATGGTTTAACACATACCATAAAATATTCATCTTTAAACTAAGTTGCGTAGTGATTTTTGGCCCACCTTGTAAGTTTAATGTCTCCGATAAATCTTGCCACCTTTTTATATTATAGAAAAACTATGATATATTGGCTAAATTGATGATGTCATGGGTTATAGGTAGATATCCGACCATCCCAAAACAAGATTGATTTATTGCTTGTGTTTAAAAAAAATACATATGACATCAAGCCAGCCATTATTTCAATAGAATACAAAAAAATGTAAATACACAGGCATAAATACACTGATATAAAAAAGTGGCGGGATTTATCGGAACCATCTATTATTTTATCAAATGCACTCGATACGTTGATCTCAACTTGGCATTCAATTTCATGAAGAGATGACGGATCGAATGAATTTTGCGAAGCCACTTATTGATGTGGCTGCCTTTACAGGCCTTCCGTTGATTTATAATGTATAATATGTGTTTAAGTTTGCCGATTTGAGGTGATTTGTTTCAGACTGCCAAAAATGAAAAAACGCGTGTTTCAGTGTGAAAACCAATGCAATGGGACTCTGACTGTCACACATGTGGTCTACAGGGTGTCCCGAAAGTATGGGGTCCCCCTAGGCAGACATACACCAATGTCTCCATAGTATGTGTCATATATCATTTTAAAGCTCATCCAAGGTTACATTGATTTGCCAAGTATCATCGTTCAATTTACAAATGGGAAAAAGTTACAGGCATTTCAAAACTTAGTGTTTGGCCAAAATTAAAGTTAAAATCAGTATCCTGAAAACACCACTAACCCGAATGTGACCAAAAATATGGGTGATATCATTAAAAAGAGGATGGATATTAAGTTGTAAAAAGAGGTCGGTAAGGGCAGATACTCCAAGGAAACTCTTCTAAAATGCCTTAAAAGGTTTTATTAGGATTATTAAATGCCATACCCCTATTTGCAGTGTATTTAAGGTCATATATCTGGAAAGAATTGCTCCTGTTAACATGGTCAAGGGAGACGCGGCGACTATTAATTTTGTGTACAACTAAACTTGAATTTTGGTAAAACAGTACATTTTGAAATGTATGTAACTTTTTCCCATTTGTGAGTTGAACCATGATACTTGGCAAATCAATGTAACTTTGGACAAGCTTTAAAATGATATATGATACATACTATGGGGACATTGTTGTATGTCTGCCTAGGGGGGCCCATACTTTCGGGACACCCTGTAGTTGAACAATTTGAGGTCATGGACTTAAGATAAAGAGACTACGTCAGAAGGATAAGAAGGATAATCAACAACGTGTCAATATTGTTTGTTTTTAAACGTGACCTCCCTCCTGCTCTCTTCCTTCTTCCTGAAACATAAAAGCGAAACTAAAAATGATTTCCTTAGTAGTCATGGGTGTCTTAATTTTTATAACCGAGGTATGAATGCACTGAACGAAAATTGCCGCACAAAAAAATATTTTCCGTGGTACACTGATTCCGATAATCGTGTTGCTGTCTGTCTTTGAGTATGTTCAAGGACGGCTACCAAATTAATCTGGTTTTCATTATATCCTCATGGATCCCCAGTTGGGGTTATATGGATGGGGTGATGTTATGATTAGTGACCAACTTCCTCTTATCACGCCCGAGACATTAAGGACAGAGATATCAAAAGCAAACAGTCACTCATACCATTACCCCGGAAACATGTATAAAATATCGAGTCTGGATCCCCTAAAGAAAAATCTATTGGACAACTTCGTTTTACGCATTGATAATACATGAGCGTTTTACGCATTGATAATACATGAGCCTGGGCCTTTAACTCAACAGTTCCTCATTTTCAAGTGATCTATTATACATTTCTCTTTTTAATTTATTCAAAATAGTAGACTTGTTACATGGATTCTATTGTACAAAATGATAATAGAATGATCTTTGGAATCAAGATACACTCCCATTAAAAAGTATGGAAACCCGTACACCCCACTGATCAGCCTATTAGTGTTTGGATTGTCATATTTTATGATATTAATCGATGTGGTATCGAATGCAAACATAATGTTGAGTACATTAGTACCAAGATTTAATGAAAATATCGTTGAGTAGAAGGAACAGTCAATATTGAGTGTTGTAGACGTTTTGCGACAATTTTTCAAAAGGGCCAAAAAACAATCAATGATGAATGAATGATGACAATATTGAGATCAGACATAGTTGTAATATTGGCTTTCACAAAAGAATGCATTTTTAATGATGGAGGAACAATAATTAATTCAAATTGTTAACTTAATGGTCCCATATAAAGTTTCACTTTTGCTCATAATATTCAAATTGTTAACTAAAGGTCCCATATAAAGTTTAAACCACTTTTGCTCATAATATGCATAAAATCATAGATTGAATGGCTGAAATAATATAACATTTGCCTCATCTATTCAATGGGGTACAGTGTCATATTGTATAATCTAAAATCTGATATTTTGTTTCTAAATTGGAGGGGAATTCAAATACTTTGAAAATCATCTGTTGTACAACTTTTTTCAAAAGTCAGATTTTTCAAAAAATGTCTCAAATGTTTTTTCAAGTCATGAAAGTTATATCTAAATGATTAAACTAGATTTTCAAAATTTACACGGGGCCTTTAAGCGTTCGATAAATCACAATCATTAAAGACTACATAAGGTCATATTTTGAAGGAAAACGCAAATTGAGATGACCCTTACTTTAGATAAGTATATAAGGATAAAATATTTTATTCAACTTTTATTACAAACCATTTCACAATTGCAGAACACGATCAGATCGCATTTTAAATACAATACAATGAATTTTAAGTTTATGATTTGTATATTTTCACTGACAGCCATTGTTGAGTCAGTATCTTGGAAGGATTGTGGTAAGTTTCTAAATTACTTTATGATTACTATAATATAAGTTTTTAATTAATTTGGAAAACGAGATCGCGGTGACTGTTCAGCCTTTATTCAATTCAGTCTATTTGATTTAGGCCGAACTCACAATTTTGATGTGTAACGCCGCCTATGTAAGACACGCTCATTTTGCTCAATTTATCCCATCGAACGAAATTCGGAGGCATATAAAACAAGGCACATGGTGAACAATATCGTACCTAAAACATAGCAGTGTGAGCATGATGACCCAGAAAGCAAGATAGCCGCCGAAGTTAATCAGTTTTAGAACCTCTTACTATGTAACATGTGTAAAAATTTGAAGTGAATCCGTTATGTGGTTTTCCTGGAATCGCGATGACAAGATTTATCTAAAATTTCCCAAGATGGCCACCAGATCTAGAATGCAAGATGGCCACCGAAAATTAGTCAATCAGCGCTAGAAATTCTTACCATGTTATGTGTGCAAATTTGAAATAAATCCGTGAAGTGGTTTTCCTGGAATCGTGATGACAAGATTTATCTAAAAACTTCCAAGATGGCCACCAGAATGCAAGATGGCCACCGAAAAGTTATTCAGCTCAAAAGCTTCTTACCATGTAACATGTGTGAAATTTTGAAGTAAATCCGAGATTGGTTTTCCTGGAATCACGATGACAAGATTTATCTAAAAACTTCCAAGATGGCCGCCAGAATGCAAGATGGACACCGAAAAGTTGATCAGCTCTAGAACTTCTTACCATGTTACATGTGTGATAATTTGAAGTAAATCTATCAAGTTATTTTCCTGGAATCGTGATGACAAGAAAGCGAGAGGCCGCCCGCCCACCCGTCCACTCGCCCATCTAGCTGGCGACAATATCGAACCTTTTTTAGGGTACGATAAAAAGGCTTAGTCCGTCCGTACGTCCGGGCAATAACTTATTTACCGTTGGCCTAATATCGTTTATGTCACCATCACAAGTGGTGACATATTTTTATAACCTTCAAGATTTTTTTGTGAACGGCGTCTGTAACAATTGAAAGGTGGTGAAATTTTGCATGTTAATGCCTTGTGTACGGTTTTTTGTTTCTATTCAGGCTAAAATATTTCTGTACTTTTCAGGTTCAAAGGCGGGGAAGATAGCATCAGTGAATGTGACAGGTTGCGAAGCCGAGGGAACGTGTTCGCTGAAACATGGAACTAATGTGACTGTATCTGCATGTTTTGTACCAAGTAAGTAAACATTATAAAAATGGGACCGGTGTAAAAGAAATTGTGGTCCCCTGGGGATTATGGTCCCCTTTCCTTACTTTCCACTTACTGGCCCTGACTGTTTATAAATAATAAGGAAAATAATTGTAATTAGGTCACCATATAAATCAATAGAGAGTAGGACCAAAATTTGATAGGACCACCTCCCCTTTTACACCGGGATGTAGCAGAAATTAAACTTCCAGATTATTATTGTCCCTCTTTGACCCTAATTTAATAGAAAATTCAGAAACTGAAACTGAATCATTGAATAAACCACTGTGAAGATGGGCATCACATGTATTCACTAGAGACGTTTATTGTTTCCATATCCACACGTAATTTTGTGTTTATTGACAAGAAAGGGACTAAAATCCCAGGGTGACCGTGAGCTGTTACGCCTAAAGAAAGGAGCTGATTTCTGTAATGGTAAAAATGTTTCTAAGGTTAATTTTAGGCCGTCTGTTTTATGTTTTTGCATCGCATGATATTTTAATCTTCAGGCGAGGTGGTGAAAACGGTCAAAGCTAACGTACATGGAGTATTGAGTATTATACCAGTGCCATTCCCCTTGTCTAACCCAGATGGCTGTGTCAACAGCAACCTACAGTGCCCTCTACAGGCCGGTAAACAGTACTGCTACCGAAGCTCCATCTTTGTGAGGCCAGAATACCCAAAAGTAAGACTATTACCACAATAGAACTCCATCATGAGATGTTTCATGAAAGTAATTGAAAGAAGTGAAACCAGATAGAAAGGAGATATTTCTATGTTGGATTGGCACATCCTCCTAATGCCTTGGTCACATATGCTCCGATCCATGGACCGGCGCCTGGCCGATTGAGTGTTTTGTTCAATATTGTATTCTACTTTGAACAAAATACAAAATACCAAGGCTTAAGCAAGTGTCCAGAATCCGCACCTCCTTCTCCCCCATCCCCCCACCCCGGTAAAAAAGAAAGAATATATTCTGGATTTTGAAGCCCTATGATCGGAGGTTGGATTAGCATCATTTGGCAATATGACACTGCCTTAAGAAATACCTCTAAACAAAACCGTGTCGTGTACTGCTAACTTGTTGTAATAATTCAAAACATTTAAAACTAGGTAACATACTCTTCCACATTTTCAGCTGAGTCTGGTTGTTAAATGGGAATCACAAGATCGAGCAATCAAGGACATAATGTTTTGTTATAGCTTGCACACTTTCCGCCTTAACGGAGTGGCTCCAGGACCGACAATTGTCGGTACTGGAGACTGTCCAGGGGTATTTGCTGGGGTACCGACAATTGTCGGCACTCTATCGTCACCTAGTAGTGCCAGATAGAGAACCGACAATTGTCGGTACGCAAGTGGCTGCTACGTGTTTTTGCTAGAAAGCCGACAATTTCATAAATAAATACACTACTTTTAATTACAGATATAACCTCATCACTGGTAGTCTAGTGGTCAGCGAGCACGACTCGAACACGCTCGGTCCCGAGTTCGAATCCCGGCAGCATCTTCATTTTTCTTTAGAGGGGGGGGGGGGGCATAGTGCTTCTTTTGCAGTATGGAATCGTACAGGCATTAACTTGTAGTGAGCCATAATTTATTTCGACAAAAATTGATTCAACTTCAATCAAAATTGTCCTACAAGCTTCAATTAAAAAACATTTTAAAGGGTGACGCATATCGTTTAGCAAATCGAACGCTCGTTTCTGGTGTTGCTCACCGTTTAGTATAAAAGGCCCGATCCCGGAATAATACTCAAGGGTTCACAGGTTCGAGGTCGTTGTGTCAACACCTCTAACTGTTATATAGCATAAGTACATTATAGATCGTCACACATTGATAAAAGGGTGATTTTTATTTTGACAAATCAATTCCACATTTATGGGTGAAGTTTCAGGATCTTCTATTTGTGTATAATAAGGAAAATTGGCATCTAAATTTCCCCATAACGTAATAGCACACAGCTTGGCATATGAAATATCCTACAAATGAAACAAAGCAAGACAAACCGGTTTCTAATACAAGAATTTATATTGGCTGTTGTACATGTATTATTTGAACGCAATCACTCTTTGGATAACGTTTTCAAAATCATTATAAACGGATTACTTTATCTCAAAGACAATTTCAATAAACTGGATTTTACAGAACTCCCCTTATTTCTTAAAAATGGACTGATCCAGTTGATTCGCCTGGAGCCGCCATGTTGTTTTTATACGGGATGCTAATCGGAACCCTTTAAAGCTCTTTTCTTGTTCTATCTAATGGGTCGATATATACAATTAGGGGAGGGGATGCTTTCGCCCCCGTCGACCTCTACCCTTACTACGCCATGGCACAGGCGAAATATCTCATTTGGAATATGTCACTGTTTACTTTGCGTTTGGTAGCTCTCTCATGCGAGATGGAATCGTGGCCATTAACTAAGGGAGCCAAATGCAACTTCCATCAAAAATTGTGCCGTAATCCAACACCAAATTCAAAAATTCATAACAATACTTTGCACATATGGCGTTCGTGACCAACTATGAAACGCTTACCCCCCATAGTGTTATATATCAAAATGCACCTGTCCATATAGGGGTTCGATTGACCTACATCAAATTATAGGGAGTCAGGTTACTTTTTGAGATATCAGCCTCCGTTTATTGTAACTCGCGTTTGCTACCAATTCCTCAACTCTGATATGACGGGCAAACGCGTAGTAAACATGCTCACGTTCGGAACTATTTTTTTTTCGGACCTACATCGCTATTTTCGTAATTCAAATGAAAGTTGAACTCCTCTTTATTTTGATACCTCATACCATACGATAAGCTCTAAATAAAAAACATTCTAGCTATTTTCTTCTATCTAATGGGTAGCAAACGCCCCTTTCTACGCCTGATCGGCTCAGGAGAAATATCCTGTCTGTTTAGTAGTATATATAGCCGTTTACTCTGCATTAATAGCTCTCTAACGTCTTACTTGTTCATGTTTTTTTATTGGGTTTTCAACGTTTACTACCATTCCCTGTTCCCGGGCTACCATTTTTTGACTGGGTTTGGTAATCCCCGGGTAACCGGGGCTAATGCCCTCCCCGGGTTTTGCACTTGTTCCCAAAATATCCGTATGATATCTGAAATATCCCCCAGCGCATTGCGCATGCGCCAGAAAATTCGAAAATAAATATTTGTCGGTCCTCTAGCGTGTAAACACAGCATATCTCCCGTACCGACAATTTATTTGTCGGTCCTCTAGCGTGCCACCACATCAGAGTCTAGAGTACCGACAATTGTCGGTACTCTAACCTTTACGTTCCCTTAAATTTTCTCTTTCACATTTAAAAGTAGTAAAATGGGAATTACAAGACCAAACATACAACGATATCATCTGCTTCGGTAGAGATTAAAAGGTGGATTGGATCGAGTGGATTGGATTCATGTAAAAGGTGGATTGGATCCAGAATCATCAAAATATGGAATTTCTGTTGATCTCCTGAAGTATTTTGAGATCACTCGGGTCCCTTTGAGGAATCAGAACAAAGCACCAACAAATACATACTCCATTGAGTAAATAGTATTTAACTGCTTTCCCTTGTAAATCAACTTTTGTAAGACATAATAAACATATGTAGATCTGTAGATAAAACCTGTCGTTCAAATTGATGTGTGGATTAGTCCCAAAACAATTCTGCTATGTTCTGTTTGGACTGAAAATATGATATGGATCGTCAAACCAGATTCCCTTATGATTTATGAAATATCTCAAATTACACTTGGGATGAATAATAAAGCGGGTATCAGGTCACCCTTCTCGCACACCCAAGCAAAATAATATTACATCTATTATTTGACACTGTGGAAGCGAGGAGAGCACCAATCTTCTTAGAGGGAAATCCATATTTTGAAGATTCTTGATCCAATCTACCTTTTACATGAATCCAATCCACTCGATCCAATCCACCTTTTAATCTTTACCTCTGCTTCGTCGTACCAGCTGTAATTAGTATACAGACAAGCAAACACATATATTATATACCTTTCACATTTTCCCATAACTTTTTTTCACATTTTCAGTTGAAGCTAGTAGTAAAATGGGAATTACAAGACCAAGCAAGCAAGGATGTCATCTGCTTCGTCATACCAGCTGTAATTACAGACTAAGGCCCAAGAACAGCAAAATATGGCATAAAATTCAGTGATTTGAATTATACTGGCGCATACTTTAACATATACACTCTACTATACCTTGCATTTGGTGTTCATGAGCAACCCTTTTGGCTTATTAGTAATGATTATGTTATTTGTTTTTATGTGTCTGTTCCTTATGAATGGTTTATCGGATGACATCAGATATTAATGAGGTACTTTCAAGAATATAAATATATCCATATCAAAAATATAAACAATCCAACTGGACAAACAGAGTATCTTATGCATTTCTAGGGGTTAGGTAAAGTAGAGTGATATACATGCTTACTTCTAATTAATAGCCTAATATCAAATAGTTGAATCAGATTAACTAGAAAAATAAATACAAGGCAGAATGCAATAGTGGCATTATTCCAAATATTCTAGGTAATCAAAGTATGCATACAAAGTGACAAAGAATTTCAAAGCATGACGATCCAAAATTAGAGGGTAGTATTTTTGTGTTTCTCTTTATGCAGAATATAACTTTATATTTTCATATATTTTATTATACAAGAATAAAGTTTTGTTGAAAGGTACAAACACTAAAATGAAATTTTGTTTTTGTTGTGCATATTAGACTTCATTAGACCTGCTTATGTCAGGTTACTGTAAATTGCTTTATTTTGATGGCCGTTTAATTTAAGTCTGCGCCAATTTTTTTAAAATGAACTTCCCGGGAATTTTTGCCCAGTATCTTTTTCATGTGTCGCCTTGCACGATAAAACTTAGTGAAAATCTTGACTGAATCATGGATGAATGACAATTTAAAACTATTTCTGAAGACCTACAGAGTCCCCTCTGGTTTATATAAACAATCTGACACAAGGAGAGATAAAAGTGCATTTTCAGTGGCGAGCTGTGAAGGGAGTAATATGACTAATGCGGGTCAATCCTCCAATCAAATAGCAGCCAAAAAATTTGCCCAATCCGCAAAATTAAAAAGTGCAAAATTAAAGCAATTTACAGTCCTTGGTTGGCTTCATTGTAAATTTATAAAGGTGATGTCCCTTTGTGCTGGATTTATAAATAAAAACTATTTTTCAAAACCATCTCATGCCCGTCCCTAATATACAGGTTTTACTAAAATTTAGAAGAGTATACTTGGTCTATTAATACTGTAATAGCTCCCATGGTGAGCTAAGGAAAGCACTCAATTGTCCGACAACTTATCCTTCAATATGTCCCACTATCATTAATTTTCAGATGGACAGACAGACAGATGGATGAGTGGGCGATTCCACAGGCTCATCATGTATAAAATGCAGACCGAGACCACATATGCAAATCTAATATAATTCATTAACGTGCCAAAACACCAGTCACAAAAACAGTTGCTATAACAACTGCATTACTTCTTGGTGGACACATAATGGTCCAGAGTGTTTGTTGCCAGGTGATTTATGGTATGTTTTGTGAAAAACTACAAGGTATCATGAAAATCAATAGAAAGTGATTATTTGCAGTTAATTTTTATTTTATTATTTACTGATTTAATAATTCGGTCAGTATATTTTAAAACATTAGAGATACAGCTTCAATATTTACCTAAAGTGTGACTCCTTTCGAATGGTATATGGGAATAACATTATGACTGATCTATAATCACAATTTATCAGCTGGTCTTAAATCTTCAGCCCATTTACAAAATAATTCAGTGTTCTACAACATTGTACAATTGCATTTTTCAGGTGGACACAGAAATTCTCATTTGCACAATTCTGACTTAAGATTTTTCTCATTTTCAAGAAGTGTGATTTGGCATTCAAGAGGTCACAGTTCTTTCATGCTTCAACGCTGAAGAGATCTGTAAATACTTAAGTCTGAATATTAAATATATTAAGTAACACTGTAATGAGAAGTAGCATCAGGAATTAGAAGCAGCATCTAAATTTGGCAGTCTTGTAAATATCCATTCTTTTAATTGCATAATCTCTCGAGTGTTCATTTGGTGATAAAGGTTTGGAAACGTCCTGTAAATGGTTTGAACTCCTAATGATTGTAATGTCTTTGATGTATCCTCACCCCAGGGCTCTAATACTAGGGGGTCCTTTCCACCGTGACACTGGAATAATGGGGGTAAGGGACCACTTTGACCCTGTAGTGACTGCAAATAAAAGAGAAATTAAGTTGACAGCTTATGGATATGAAAAAGGACAAAATGATCAAAGCTGAGAATACAGGGTGTCCCAAAAGTAGCAGGACTGGTGCTGCCATTTTGTTAATATTGTACCACTGTACATGTTATCAATCATGTTCAATCATTCACAGAATTTCAGTGTCAGGGTCTTTCAAAATTATTCCCATGCAGGGGTTTCATTAGCAGCAGGCAACAGCCAATTTACATAGGTTGTTTTCACAAAATTGCCTGTTGTTTTAAGGGTCTTTTCCATGTTAAATTCATGATTTCCTAATTTTCCCTGTTGTTTTCATTTATTTAGCCTGTTGTAAGAAATTTTAGTGAAACCCTTAACATGAATATCCCTTTAGTTAGATATGAAACAAAAACCAAAGAATTATACACTGGGTTTCACATCTGTTAAAATTTATATAGCAGATGAATACTTACCTTATAAACTGCAGAGTCCTTGTTTAAGAATGCTGACAATGCAAAAACACCAGCCAGTTTTCTTTTATGTCTATAAGCTACATGTAGAGCCATGGCACCTCCCATACTGAACCCGCCTGGAAAATGAGTTTTAAACATATTTATTCACTAAAAGTAAAACACAAATGTATCTACACACATATTAAGTAGTGAGATTGAAAATGCTTTTATCAATAACTGTACAAAAGGTTGATAGATGTTGAAACATTTGGCAATGCTAATAAAGGATTTGATTTTAATGAAAGTTCTAAATAACAAAACCTGGAAAATGATGTCACTTCACAGGTTTCATGTTTTCAAAATATCGAGATACTGAGTAGAATCGCAAATGAATAAAGTAATCTATATAAAAAGGGGAATAGCCAGGATCCAAAAATTGGTGAGGCAAATTGAAAGAGTCGAGGCAAAACTCAAGAAGTACATTATACTGACAAAATGGAAGCCTTCAAGGAGCTCACATGGTGTAAATGACCACAGAAAGCCAACTTCTCTAAATCAAGGCAAAAATTGCCAAGTATAGTAGAACAGTGAGTCAATGGCGTAAAATACAGGGTGACACAAAAAAGTACCACCACATAATGTAGAATAACTTCTTTGTTTGTATGATCCTTGACTTGTTATTTTTCGCGTTAAAACTAGACTCCATTGGAGCAACTCCACAAGAAGTTTCAGATGACTTGCCCAACTGGGTGCACTTTTATGAGCCTTAAAAGATGTGTTCTAAATGTCAGGCACACGTCAATCCTATGGGCAAAGTTAGTAACAACCCTAACACATTCCCCTTCAGAAATGGCCCTGATCTTTCTGGTGATCTCTATCTTCAAATTTTATATGGTTTGGGAGTTTGTTACATGCACATGATCCTTACTTTTGATCTTCATAGTATTTCCAATGTACCTGATCTTTCATTTGACACAAAAAAACACCTCAAACAGACCACATCAGAGTTGACAGTAGATTATCAAAAAAATATTTTTAATCTATCAATTTATATATGTCAAGTTCTTTGCAATGCCAATGAAAGATGGCGAAGTTTTTTGCATGACATTATCCATTAATTTGTGATAGAAAGGATGTGTCCGGGTATATGCCCTTTTGGTCCCTCAGTCAAATGTATGTTAAATATGTTTTTTATTACTGTCCTAGTTATATTTGATAAGTATATTTACTTTTTCACGAGTTTTGATGCAAAATTAACCCCCTGCTGAGAGTCAGAATAAGTATCTTAACCAAAAAAAATAGTCATTATCATAGAATAAAAACCTCAATGGCAACATGTATGACTTGCAAAGAAGAAATAACTTAAGACCCATGAAGAATTTAAAAGAAAATCATATTTTTGAAATATATTTAAGGATTAAAATTTTTTTCAAATTTTTGAATTTCCCGCCAGTTTAATTTGAAGGGGGAAAAACAAGATGGCTGCCATTTGATGTAAGAAATATCAGAAAAAAAGTTGCTTCACTTTTAGTTTTCACAATGAGCACAGTTTTCCGGTTTAGGTTTTTTGACTGATTCTGACTCCTCATCACCAGGGTCATGTATAGAGATTATAAAATTGAAACAGGAATGTTGTGCTCAGCATGAATTTGACTGAAATATGTGTAACTTCACCAACACAATTGAAGTCTCAAAACTGGATGCTCAGTAACTTTGAGTGACTATAATCCCTTGATTACCCAGATAAACACCAATTCACTTATCCAGAAATGCCATTCAATGTCTATACAAAGAAAGTAAGCAATGTTTTGGAGGATTGTTTCAAACCTTTTGTATAAATAATTCATTTAATATTTGCCATTGATTTTTTTTCAATTCTGACAAAGTGATATGCACTGTCTTTGATGCCAATATTCTTCATTAATTGTGATACAAATTGATATTTTTGTACTCTCAGAAGAAGGATAAGATATTGAAGTTTAATAATATGTGTGATTGAGTTGGTTTTTCAGACATTACAATTTTCAATATTTTCTAAGTCGATACCCAGACTCATTCCCAGACTCATCCTTTCAACCATATGCCATCTTTTAATCCAAGAGTTATTTAAAACATACACTTTGTGAAAAGTGGTAAGTAATTCACTTTTTTCTATCTCTGAACTTCAAATGCTGTTTTCTATGCAAGTAATTTTTTTTCACTTCAGTATTATCCCAAATTAAAGATTTTATCATATTTGATTGAGTGTGTGAGTAGCATGTCTCAAATAATATTTTATCCTTTTTTCTTCAAAAATAGGCATATTGCTTGTTTAACCAGTAGAATCGAGAAGTGTGCCTGCAATAGAATGGACACCATTTAGAGCATATCTCATAATGCTCATACAAGTGCACCTAATTAAGCTAGACATCTACTTGCTGTGGTGTTGCTCCATGGAGTCAAGTTTTAATGTGCAAAAGAACAAGTCAGGATTCATACGGACAGAAAAGGTTATTCAAAATAATGTAAGTATACTTTTTTGTGTCACCCTGTATTTTACGCCATTGGCCCACTGTTCTACTTGGCAAGTTTTGCCTTGATTCAGAGAAGTTGGCTTTTTGGGGTTATTCTCACCATGTGAGCCCCCCCCCCCACGGATGTTTCACCCTGTACAAGCATGAGCCTCCATAAATTGGATCTAACATTAGTTTAGATGAATGGCAGTTTTCATATGTTCCAAATTGTGGACAGACGGATATGACGGGACAATTCACTAGTTTCATGAGTCAAAAATACATACCAAGTAATATCCTTTCCTCTGGAGTACCATTAGAAACCACAGCATCTATGAGCTCATTTATTTTCTCACACATATAGTCTGTTGATTCAAGATCTTCAGAGTCGTTGATAGCGATACGTCTTCTGTTAAACCACACTGTACTAATCTGTCCTCCCATTGGTGTATAAGGCCTAAAATATGGGGTGTGTAATAAAAGTTCAATGCACAAAAGTACATTGAACATCATAGATTTTAATAAAATGAAGGACCCATGGTCCTGTGCTCACACAGTTTGGAACCTTCAGAGGAATGTATATCCTGACTTTCAAACAAAAAAATTGATTTGGATTTGTAGTCTCGAACTTTGAGAAACTGAGAAAGCACAGTTGTGTGACCTAGTTTGATGACCTTTGACCTTGAAAATTTTACTAATTCAGAGCTCAGTAAGGTCTTTTGTGATTAAGCTGACCAAAATTTACATCCAAAAATCAATTTGAAAAATCAACTTTTTTGACCTTTCGAAGGTCACTGAAGGTCAATTAAAGGTCAAATCCTAAAACTAATGCCAGATTTGAACTCCTGGCAACTTGTAGATGATTTTCAAAAAAAAAATTTGGTCAAATTGAAGCAAGTTGAAAAATAACTTATTTTTACTGTTTTTTTACATCAAATATCTCAAAAACGGTAAAAATTTGATGCTGACATATATTGTGCAATATGTAGGGAATGCTTAAATCTAGTAATGATGTAATTCATTGCAAGAAATTATCAAGTATAAGGCAAACTTTGAGAAACTTATCAATCACAAAACCTGCCATTGACTTTATACATGAGAAAGTTTCCTGAAAATGACTAAGTCCTACTTTTTGTCAAATTTTATCGAGTAAACACCAAAAACTATAATTCCAAGAGCTTTGAAATCTTCAGAGGACATAAGTTGCATATACAGCAACTACTAAAAGTTATTTGAAAGTTCTACTTCAACAAAGTGTCTAGTATTTACAGAAAATTTGACTTTTTGACGTCAAAATCCGCAATTTCTCGGAAACCGGGCGAATTTGGGAAATGGCGATGATAGGTCAAATAGGCATTATGGATATGCATAAAATGAATGTGGATATGACTCAATCCGAATAGCAGTTTTAATTTGTGCGGCCAATGTTGACGGACGGACCAACGGACGGACGGACGCCTGGTAGATCCCATAGGCTCACTGTGTGAGCCAAAAAGGTCTATATATTTCTGTCTGCAAGGTTTAATGTGACTAAAATAGATCTACCCAATTTATATTAAGGTTAAAGTTATATTCTATTTTAAAATTGTAAATCATATCTGCTTTAAATGGGTGATACAGGCCTTAGTGTTGGTATTGAACTGTTGGCAGAAGTATGTAGGTACAGTGTGGATATGGCTGCAAGGTTCTGTTTCATTTCACTTTACTTTTTTCTCTATGCTTTTTCTCTCCATTTGTAGATCTTGAAGAGCTTTGGTGAGACAACCAGATTCCTTTGAGTGAGAAACCTGGCTGCTCTTCTTTTATAAGTATTTAAGAATTTTCTCATGGCTTTTGCTGGGATAGTATAATATAGTTTATGAGGGGGTGACGAGGGTACACCATTGGTCCGAATCCTAATGGCCTGAATCCTATTGGTATGAATCCTAAATTGTCAGAATCCCAATGGTCTGAATCCCATTCATTTGAAACCAATGATTCAAAAATTGACAATGATATTTATTATGATATAATAAATATAAAATAAATGATATAATGATATAAATGATATAATGATATAAAATTGACAATGATATTTTATGATATATATTTCTCCTGAGAGATAGCTTTGCAAAACTCGAGATTCCCAGCCCACGTTAAAGGACTTTTCCAGAAATGTTAGAAATCGTGGGAACACTTAAACTACTTCAATCAATGTATAACATCATAAAGTATCGTTGTGATAATCGTAGAACGCTAACTGGAGTCAGGAGACAGTGTAATTGACGAAAAATGTATTTGGAACTTGTTATTTTCCATGTCGTCTGACCAGGAAGTCTTGCCAATGCGCATGCGTGTAACCGGAAGCGGAAATCTCATGGCATGGAAGTGCATGCGCATTACCCAACTTCCTGAGAAGCCATCATGAAAATTATCATCCCTTCAACATTTTTCGTCAATTACACTGTTTCTCGACTCCAGTTAGCGTTCTACGATTATTACAACGATATTTTATGATGTTATACATCGATTGAAGTAGTGTAAGTGTTCCCAAGATTTCTAACATTTCTGGAAAAGACCTTTAACATGGGCTGGGAATATCGAGTTTTGCATAGCCATCTATCTAAAGATGGCTATGTGCAAATATAATGTAGTAAATAGAAACACTGCATAATGTTTAAGCTCAACGTATCTAAAACCTGCATTCAATTCCGTTGATCAATGTGCAGATTTTAAACAGATTGTACACTTTTATACAAAATGTAAAATGGGTTTTGGATAATTGGGAGTCGGACCATTTGGATTCGGACAAATTGGTTTCAGATGATTGGGATTTGAAAGATTGGGATTCTTACCACTGGGATTCGGACCATTAGGATTCGGACCAATGGGATTCGGACCATTGGGATTCGGACCAATGGGATTCGGACCATTGGGATTCAGACCATTGGGATTCGGACCAATGGGATTCGGACCATTGGGATTCAGACCAATGAGGTAACCCTAGACTACAGTATTGCTCACTGCTTTGGAGTGCCATTTACGATTTCCTAATGACACCCAAGTTTACCAACCTTTCTGGCGCAGTCGGATAGATCATCCTTATGTGTGGGAACGTCAACTCATCGTCTATCAGATCACTGACCCATTGTCGAACACCAAACCCTGAATCTCCTAGAAATAAACGTCAAAACTTCAGCAGTTTCTCTTCAATAATTTGGTATTATCGCCCATTAAAATAATAACAAATTTTTCAAAGTATTATTTACATCATTGTTTATGATTATTTTGCGCCTATTTAAGGTTATGGTTAGCTTAAGTATCTAAAGAATAATTGTACATACCCGAACCATGCAGAAATATAACAGAAGCAGTATGTTTTACGCTTGTTTGTGGTACAATTTGGGGTCTCAATAAAAACAGGTGTTTTAGAGACATCCCGGCATGCAATAGAAGTTAAACAATGCGCATGCGCAAGTAACTACAACAAAATATTTCAAAATCGAAATTTGGTGAGTTTTTTGCGTTTATTTTGTATTATATAATTCCTTGAGTTTTAGATTTGTCGAGTATGTATTTTTGGCATATGTCTTATTAATTGTGCAAGGCAAAATTGTTTTCTGCACTTCAGCTGATTGTGCAAATTTAGTAAAATGGCAAAGTAAAATTTTTAAAATTCTATTTTTTTTCATTTTTGGCCTAGCCGAGGCTAGGCTAAAGTTATAGTAAAAAATGAACAAATAAATGCAGCAAACTCCTCATAGTCGAGATCTCCAAGTCAAAAAGTTGCCTATACCATCGGTTGATTATAGAATGTTATAAAAACACTGCGCCCATGCGATTGTGTGGCCCCTGTGACCCTTCGACTTACTGGGTGTCCAAAAATTATTGGAATGTTTGCTTTATCGAAGTGTCTGGAGTACCTTAAAATTTAAGGCCCTTTAGCCAAAATGCTAAAGAGCCTAAAAATTTAAGGCTATTTAGCTGTGAACATACTGTAGTGTTTTGGCTAGAGAGCCTTTGTGTTTATAATCCGTGTTTATATTGTTTTTTATTGACGTTTTCGTCATCTAATCAATCAAACAACACTCTCGAAAGTTTTTCAACCCAGAATGCCACTTCAAAATTTCACACATGTATATCACTATAGAGTTGCAAAAAAATTAGTCCTATCATGGTAAAACACTCTGGTATAGTGGTTAGGGTGCTCGCTTTCCACCTGTGGCGTGGGTTCGATTCCCCGACGGAGCACTTTTTATTTGCTATAGTCACGAGAATACAGGGAATCCCATTTTAAGATGGCAAAAAGTATGATGAAGACCTGGGGATGAAAAAGGATCTTGTTTCTTCTAGATCAGCACATCTTGACGAAGTTTATCGTGAATGCAGGGACATCATCCCAGGGACATCACAGAATACACTTCCAAATCTATTGCCCATTAGATTTCAATGCTGATTTTAGAATTTTTCACGTGACGAGATATTTTAATATTTTCCTCACAAGTGAGAATTTTTAAAAGCACATGAGAGAGAACAAAGAAAATTTACAGTACAAGAAGTGAACTGTCGAGGAAACAGCGGCTTATGCAACACAACAACAACATTTTTATCCTAGCCTCCAATCCATCAATAAATGTCTATACATCAAAATCTTTACTAAACGGACGTTGCGATTTATAGTGGATAAAATGGAAAAAATAACATTTTTCTGGCTATACGTGATTGCCTGGTCTTACACCTTCTCTGGTGAACCAGAGACATATATTTTCGATAAATGCATGAACATCAAACAAACAACTTTTCAAAATCGATGTTTGAACCTTTAAAAAGCCAAATTTAGACTGAGGATTGAAAACATTCTTTTATTTCTCTCGGTAGACCGGAAGTAAATTTATGAGTCGAGCAAAAAGTGATAATGTTTTTTTATGAAATGGGGAAGTCAAAACGTACTAATAGAAGTCATAGTAAGCATTAGAAGATCATTTAAAACCATATAAATCAAATCGACGGCAAAGTTAGTTGAAATGACTGAAATCTTTATATGTTATCTTCTTCATGGAAAAAATCTTCATCTTCGCGGACCTCAAAGAAGACACTTCCGGTTTAATAATCAGTGATTTTATCGATCAAAAAAATTTTCTTTTTGAATTTGTCCGATATCTGCTAATATGGTATGTATATTTGTGCTGATTGTTAAATTACAAAATAGGTTGGGTATAGAATATGTCAAAGTAGTTTGATCTTGTCCCAGAAGCAATATTTCGTCATTTCTGTGGCCTGGAATTCCTTTAAGGCTCTCTAGCAGAATTGGCTATCAAAATGGTAAAGAGCCTTAAAATTTAAGGCACTTTAGCAGAAATGCTAAAGAACCTTAAAATTTAAGGCTCTTTAGCATTTTGGTAACCCATTTGGCTAGAGAGCCTTAAATTTTAAGGCTCTCCAGGTGCGGCCTTAATTTATTTTTACTGAAAATATCTCATTTGGTTAAATTGTTTGCGGAATAGGCATTTAATCATATAATAGCTACATAGATTGTTTCAACTGTGTCTCACATTTTCGCTACAATTCTGTCTTGATCAATGAAAAAAACCTTCGACCCTGCGATTGAATATATTCATGCCTTCTCTTGTTTTTATATTTAAACTAGTATGCATTACTCTATGCTAAGCTAAGTTGTTACACTCACCAGAAAGACATTCTAAACGCCACCCGGCATTTATCTTGTCAAGAAAGTTACCTGTTTACTTGAAAATTACTTTATCCCCACCTCAAACAATGAAATTGTTAATAAATTAATCTAGCCTACCACACGATTTTCTAAGGTCGTCATTTTTTCTAAAATAGATTCAATCGGAGGTCGAAGTGTTTTTCTAAAATTCACATCTGAAACATTTCTTAACACCCAGTATATCACAGGTGGAAGGGTCGCAGGTAGGTCACAGGGGCGCAGGGTTTTTATTCCGTTGATTATCCCAAATATTATGATAGCTGATTTACTTTTCATAAAAAACCAAAGAGCAAGGCACTAAACGAAACTATATACTTGTTTGTTTTGTTGTTTGTTAGGTATCATGCCTATGATGTCACAAACAATCAAAGAAACTTTTATCCAATCATTGAGGTCTACATTTATTTGTTTGTTTAGTTGTTGATTGAGCAATGCATGTCTGACGTCACAGATGACACCTCTCAATTCTAAATTAAGATGTGCCCTATAGGTTCTAACATAGCAATTTTTTCACTTTTATCAAAACTATTGACATATTATCGATATAATCTGATTTTTTGCCCTTAATGACTCTTAATTCTCGAGGCTCGTACGAGCTCGTACGGGGCCCGATGTAGCTTGCCTGTGTAGGGTGCCTGTTACGGGGCCCGTAATATCTCATTTTCGAGCCTTGTACTTGCCTGTGCGATGCCCGTAACAAGGCCCGTAATGGCGCGTAATTTTCGAGCACTGTACTTACCCGTACAGGGCTCGTAACGAGGCTCAAAATTGCTTGTACATAGTACATAAACAATAGCTTTGAATTTCAGGATAATACTGCGGAAATATTCTAACATGCTAAGAAATACAGAGAAACATCTTAATCACTGGCAGATAGACTGAAGATGACAGATTCCGATACTACATCAGCTCTTACATCAGAGCGTAGTCATGGTGATGATGGTGACACTGACCTTGAGTCTGAAAACACAGAAACTTCAGAACAAGAGTAAGTAGTGTTGGACATATCAGAATGTAGTACGGGGATGGGTCATATCAATAACTAAATAAAACATATCAGAATTCAATACGAGACATATCACAATTTAAAGAGAGAATCAGATCTAGCGAGCAGTCTAACAAAAAATTGTTTCAATTTAGCTATACGTCATTCCTTTTCATGTCTATTTAATAAATATCCCCAAAGTGCACACTTTATTTCAGGAAAACTAATGTATTATTTTTCTATAAAAATGGTTACCATTTAGGAGAATTTAGACATATTTCACCCATTTTTGCAATTTGAATCCATCATAACTTCATCAATTCATAACATATCATGAATATTTTGGGAGATATTGTATTTGTGATTGTAAGGAATAGATTGATAGGTCAATTGTACATGTTGCTTGTAATTTTGTCAACTCAATAGATCTGATTCTGCCTTTAATGTGGGTATATTACTTAGTGTTGGATATATATCAGAACTTAATGTGGGACCAATCAGAATTTAGAGCAGAACTTATCAGTTGCGTAGTAGAGCAACATATTGGTATATTCATACGTTCATGGATTATGAAAAATATATTTATTAGACTGAGTTTTAGATTTTATTTAAAATTTCTGCTTTTGAGTATTTAATTTTATTTATATATTTATTTCTTTTAATATTTATTTTTTCTACTTATTCATGATTTTAGTGGGTCAATCAGTAAAAAGATAGAAGTGCCGCTTCTAAGGATTCCAAAGTATATCGTGCTTTAATTACTGATTTCTTAATATTTTGTATTTGTAAATAGTTTAAGCTTCAAAAAGTAGAGAATAGCATGAAGATGTGACTGTTTTATGTCACCACCAAAAAGTATTAAAGCAACTCATTTTGTGACTGGCATTTGTATCAGCATCATTATCTGTAACTAATTGTTACTGTTTTGTAGTTACAACCAGGTGGTGACATTTTGTCACGTTCATGCATCGTTTTGTCTTTATTTTATTCTGTACAGTAAAACCTGTTAGAGTGAACACCTGTTTTCAAGTAAATTTATAAGTGTTCACTGTATACAGGTTTTACTGTAGTCTCTATGTAATATGATTTGCGTTTGTTGTGTGCCTCGGCTAACTTGCATTTTGCCTACAACCCATATATGGGCATGGGCAGGTGAGGCAAAATGTGCCTCACCAAAGTTTGAATTTTGCCTCATCTACTTATAAATTTGCCTCACCTATTTTTGACCCTTGCCTGGCTACGCTCTTGTTATATTTGATGTTTCTTTGTGCTTTAGTGTAACTTGTGATTTGAAAATAGAAATTTTAGTATGCTTTAACATTTTAGATATTTAACATTTAGATAGATTCAACCATCCTCCAAACCAGGTGTCCAAAGAATATTTTCTTGATCTTGGAGCCCTGCGATCAGAGGACGAGTTCAACAAATAACCAAAATTGTCAAATAAATTAAATCCCAAACACAAATGTTACATTTTTGTTCCTATGAAAATGATAAAATGTAAATAAAAGTCTATTTGGTTGCGAAAAGCTCTTCAAAACTCTTCAATGAGAATGAGTGAAAAGAATGAACTTCTTTTGGTGCAAAATATTGAAAGAAAAATGCTGTTCTGTGCCTGTGGAAGGGTAAGATTTTCTTGTTCCGGAACCGAACTGAAATTCTTAAGTTTTGTTCCATGTTCCGTTCCGTAATTCTGCGGGTCAGAACACAATCAGGTATCCATGACACCTCTATTTGTTAGTGTTTCTCAATCTCACTGACATCTTTCCACTTTCTACTCAAGTAGCATTTTACTCGGGAGTTGCGCAATAATTTTTTATATCAGTCAGACATCTGATTTTTCATGGTATTTTTCCCCTAGCTATTGCTGTGTTTGAAACAGTTTTCACATTCAGAATTAATTCAATTTATCCATGTATGGTATTATATATTATATTGAAGGTCATTAGTTTAAGCTCAATTTGCTTATCCCACTTAATCTATATGTACACTCCCCTTAATAAGCTTGGCAACCTGAACTCACCTTACAAACAATAATTTTTACCCGTATATGTTTGACAATTTTAAAAAGTTTATCAAAGCCATTAATTTCATCCAATTTTAAGAGGAATAAAGCTATGACTAAAAGTCTAAAAAGATTATTCAATGGAGATTTTGGGTTGCCAAATTTATGCAGGGGGTGTAGAACATTATCGGTCATTGGATCTTTAACTAATGTGTTTAGTGTCCTTTGGATTAAGGTCAATCTTATTAACATTAAAACTGAGATAATATGCTATGAGGTGTTTGAACTAAATTGTGTCCTAAATTAACTTTTAACATAAAGTAGTTGGGCCCATTTTTACTTATTTCATGTACATTTTAGATATGCATATGTGGTTGAATTATTTTTTCATTTACCTTGATTTTCTGTTTGTGATTAGCTGAGTGTTGTTTATTTGTTTTTATTTGATTGCTTTTTTGTTTGCTAGTTTAAAATTGTCAACTGGATATAAATACTGTATTAATATTCATCAAATTGTTATCATTGTTTTTTGATGTAGTCTAAAGCTATATTAATTTTAGAATCGGCTATATTCACCACTTTTCAAAAGTTAGGCTCCAAAAATCCTCCTATTGGACCACATGTCAATTCAAAGCCTGTTTATATTTGATGAATTTAAAAATTATCATTTTTCCAAGCTGATTTAATTAAGTAATTTTAAATTCAAAAGATACACAGGCTGTAAAATGCCATCTAGGTTTTCCAAACTTTTGAGGAGGTTATGAACTTACGCATCATCATAATTCCAGTTACCAATAGAAGAATTATCTTACATTATTTATATTTGAAACACCGTCAATATAGTTGCAAGTTTAAATTTAAAAATTGATCCATTTTTCATGTTCAGAATCAGCTTGACTATTGGAATTTTAGAAATTGGCCAACTTTTGTAATGTGTGAATTTTTTCAGGGATCATGCCAACATTGTATGGACTGGGTCAGGCAAGAAGACGCCAGTCATTGTCTTCAAGGCGGATGCTCTCATCAAGAAAAAACCTGAGCTAAAATCAATTGGAGGTAAGGCCCATGTTACAGAAACTATAGAGAAGGAACCGGAACGTGACATTTCATGAGTGACATATTGTTATAGTCTCTCAATTTTGGTGTTGTTGGTAATTGGTGGTTGGTGCTCGGCATGCATTCAGCTATTGGCAATTGGTGTTCAAAAGGTCGGCATCTGTAACAAATGGCATGTGGTGACATTTTGCAAGTTGCCTTGTTGAAATTAGAATTATAAATACAGTGCATGAGCCCCGCAGTGAATAAACTATATCCAAAAATAAAATCAGTTTCTTGGTCCTTCTTAAAACTAGACATTTCTATCATATGAACATGTCTTTTATCCATCCAAATATTGGAGGAGGTGTGAATAATGTTTTGGTACTTTTGATCACATGGTACTACATTGACCAATTAGAATGAAGGATTCTAGCAATTTTTTGTTTGTTTATACATTGTCCATTCATTTCATCAAAAAAATTTTTTACAAAATGGCTTTCCATATTGCCTTTATGGCATTATGAGCTTGAAGCTAGCTAAAAAATAGATATTTAATTACAATTCTAAGTCATTGATATCGTGATCTACTTATTTTTGCTATATTTTTCAGAGAGATATCACCTGGCCTACAAAATGGTGAAAACTGAATCAAAGCTCATCAGATCTGTTCTCGGAGCCCATGGCTTCCATGAAGTAAGACAATTAATGCATATACTAATAGACCAATGGGGTACCTCATGTAACCTGTTTCAATTAGCATTCCTCTGCAAGTATATTACTGGGCTTGTAAGTATCCTTTTGTATTCAATGTTTATGAAAGAAGCTTATATTTCCATAATATCTTTCCAGGCCCATCCAAACAGCCCAGACTTCAACCTAATGTGGACTGGGAGCCACCTTAAACCATACACTCTAAGGTCCCTACAGGAATTCCAGAAAATAAACCATTTTCCAAGGTAAAATACTGTGTACATTGTACTGAAGATGACCCTCTTTGCAAACCAATGCCATACATGGGGTTAGCTAGCTTGAGCGATGCCTTTTTATAGAAATATATTTTTCAAACATGTTTTATGAGACTTAAAGGGGCAACAAGGCCTGTAGGGAGAAAATAGGAAAATCAAAAAAAATTCTGAGCTATCAAGGCAACATTTGGCTTAACATCTTCTTTGACATACCTATTTTCTTAAAATGTATGGATAAACTATCAATTTCAGCCTTAAGAAGTGTAAATTCAGTTCAAAGCTTGAAAAAGGGGAAATCCACTTTTATATTTTTAAGATCCACCATGTTTCAAGAGGAATATCAGCTGAAATAATGTTTATCTAGGGGGTTTCTTTTTAGATAATAAAAATAGATGTTAGTCTTGATGAAATATCCAAACTTAAATATATTTTGGCACTGGTCCATGATCGTTGAATGGCCCCTCTGCACTAATTGTTGCACCTTTAAACTGAAAATTGTGTCCTATTGAAATCAAGTATACATCCTGTTTTTTACAATGTTTTTGAAGATCTGTTGATAGCACAAACAAAATTTGATTGAATGGATAGAATTATGTCAGAGGGAAGGATGATTTAAAACTCTGAAATCAGGGTATCTCTTAACTACTTTAACCATATCAGCTCAATGATCAGCTAGTTATCACACAAATTCTTTGTTTTTTCTACTAGGTCGTATGAGATCACAAGGAAAGACAGGTTGTACAAGAACATACAGAGAATGCAGCAAACCAAGGGGATGAAACATTTTGACATTCTACCTCAAAGTTTTATCACTCCGGCAGAGTTCCAAGATTTCTGCTGTGAGTATGATATGGGTCTGTCATATTACAGTAAAACCTGTCATATCTGAATGCCTCTCAGACTGGACAAATGTGTTCGAATTAGCATGTGTTCACATTTCAAGGTTTCATAAACACATGAGTCAATGGGAGAACAAATTTGGGATCTAGAAAGTGTTCCCATTGAGAGGTATTTGGATTAGAGAGGTTTTCGAACGTACATGTTTCACTGTACAGTGTAAGCCATAAGTCACAAGGCAATTTAGTCTTTTAATTAAACATGCACATTTAAATGATTTTAGATTTTCTAGTTTTGTCAACTCCAAGATTTCATAAAAAGGCGAGATTTCGTTTCATTTTTTTTAGTTTATAATATCAAAATTAGAAAGAAGTAAAAAAAACAAAGAAATTGATGGACCTCAAATTTTGTATACTTCCTGATCCGTATAGGTACATCAGTATTTAATGTATTTTACTCCTATTTGGCTTCTAGCTCAAATGTAATAATTGTAAATTTTAAATGTATTTTCAGCTGCCTTTCTCAAGGAAAAGGGCCCTTGGATAGTCAAGCCTATAGCATCATCAAGGGGGCGGGGCATATTTCTTGTCAATCATGTAAGTGTCATCATGAAAGGGATGGGTTTATTACTTGTCAACTTGTCAATCATTCATGTCTTATGATAAATGTCAATGATCCTTATCAATATTAAATATGATGAAACCATCTAAATAAGATATGTAGTAAATCAGTTGATTTTGTACAATAATTTAATGATTTATAATCCAATTAAAATGAAAATCTTATTCTTAAAATGTTGATGAATCATTTAAATCATTGTTATTAATTGATACTAACTACAGAATTCTCACTAACTTCTGAATTTGGAAAAATTGTTTTTTTTTGTTGCTAAAATTTCAGCCGGAGCAAGTCCCCTTGGATGAAACACTTCTTGTTTCCCGCTACGTTCCAAACCCATTTGTAGTAGATGGTAGGTTCAGGAGCCTGGCTGCATCCCTCAATGATCACTTAAACTAGTCCAAATTGACTAATGGACTAGTTCAAATGATGAAATTAGGGGTGCCATGATATGTTTTTGTTATATTGCTTTTAAAACAATTTCCAGTTTGACTACACTTATAATTTGTTGATTAAGGTATGTCAAGTTGAATAAATTATGCAGACCTTATACCTATTGGATTGCATACTTTCCGACAAAAAATATCATAATGTCTTAACCCACCTTAATCTCAAATTTTGTCACAAGTTGGAATACTGTTTTACAAACATTTTTTTGCCTTTCCTGAAAAATGTTGATTCGTATGCTTATTCTAAAAAATATATTTCACAAGGTTGCATTTTTGCTTGTTGGAATCATTTTATTGTAAACCTGTTTGCAGCATTTCGTTGCAATTCCTCGTTTAGCATATTTTTTATGAAAAAGCATGATGATCATGACTTTTATTCAGGGAGATTAATTGATGTTTTTCACTTTTAGGATAGATGTGACACATTTACAGTTTTTATAGTTTTGAAAAATGTGTAAAATTGTAAGAACTTGTTGTGTCTGCAATATTCATACAAGTTTTGACATATTTTGAAAATAAACTGAAATTGTCTGCTACTATGCAAAGGCATTATGGGATAGAATTTATATTGGGAATTGAAATTATGGGATGTATTACAGCCTGATGAGGTGCCCGTTGCTGAGCAACTGATCATCAGTAAATATTTAAGGAATCCATATCTTGTTGATGGTAAGACAAAATCAGAGAACCCACCCCTGTGTGTTAGATAGAGCTACTGCCAAGTTGTGGATTTGACCAAATGACCTTGATTCACTCTGACTTCAGATCCTTGTTGATCCTTGAGATTTTTGGCCCCGAGACATTTGATAAGATACTTGCATTTATGGAAGGCTCAAAAATGCAGAATCGGCACATTTTATTAGACTCCAGAGTCTGGGTTTGAAAGTATGTTGAAAACTGTTTTTCACACATCTAAGGTTCCCTACAGTAGAATCTGAAGTCAGAATGAATCTAGGCTTGATCAAATCAGCAGCTTGACCTAGTAGCTTTTTTGGTGGTTTGCATGTTTTGTTGGCTTTAACCCTATTTTCCAACCTTCCTCCCCCAAACGAAGATTTCCCTAAAGAATAAGCGCACCTGAATGTGTTTAAATGAAGAGGGAGGTGGCCTATTTGCTTCAACAGCATAAAGTTTCCTGGCATTGTCAAAGAAAATATATATTTAGAAGATATCCTATTATTTTTGAGGAATATTTATCAGATTGAGCAAAATGAGCGAATAATGTTTTATGTTTTTATTAGTTTAGTTAATTTTGTTTGTTATTTATTTATCTTTTTATACCTTTAAATTTATATATAGATGTTATGTATAGAGGTTTGCTTTTTATTTCAACATTCTAAATTGGGTTAATTTTTTGGCATATTTAATTGGGTATTTTTACCATTTTCTGAAAATTGATGATTGTTTTTGGTGGTTTTGTGAAAATCCTTTAAATCACCATGGTTACCTAGTTATTTTAGAAAAATTAAAATAAGTGGGTTATTGAAAATAGGTGAATCACCAAATTAAATTGGATGCCAACAAAACCAATTTACAGTAATACCTTCTAAAAAAAAATCGTTTGTAAAATATTTTGACTTTTAAGGTAAAATTATGGTTGTAACAACATTCTAAAAAAATTTACCAGTTGGCGTTTCTTGCCACAATCTTACCATATATAGTACCAAAAACAGGTCTTAAACATGTCTAAAAAACCATTAATTTGAAAGATGGATAAAATTTGATCATCATTTTTAGGCTTCAAGTTTGACATCCGGCTCTACGTTGCGGTCACATCTTATGACCCACTGCAGATTTACATGTATGAGGAGGGGCTGACGAGATTTGCGACTGTGAAATACGACAAAGCAGCGAAGAATATACGAAATAATTGCATGCATTTAACCAACTACAGTATCAACAAGAAAAGCAATGATTTTGTGAAGTAAGTGGCTCTATGAATCTCTTTGTGCTGACATATTGTTATAGTCTCCAATTTTTTGTGGATGGTGTTTGGCGGTCGATCAGTGGTCGTTTTTTGGTGTTCAGCATCTGCAACAAATGGCAGGTAGTGACATTTTGCATGTTAATGCCATGTTTTTTGTTTGGAATGGCCATATTGTAATGTCCTGTTTGGGAGCTTTAATCAAGGAGGTATTAAATTTTCTTATTTTAGATTTATTCAGAAAAAATGAAAATTAATGCTAGTTTTTATTTGTCTGAAAATTGGTACCCCTCATCCATCTGATTAGTCAAAAATCAGAACCAAAAAACTTACCCTAGCCTAAATGTCACAGAGAAACCAGCTTTTTTGAGGTACATGTATATATACTTTAGCTTACAACTACTGTGTCCAGTAAACTAGGTCCTCAAACAAGGTATGTTATCGCCGAAATAAATTCACAGTATCGTGAGGTTGATTATACTATATCTCTGTTTTATTAATCTGATTTTAATTAATGAAAATTTATTTCAGAAATGACGATCCTGACATAGAGGATTATGGCAATAAATGGTCGCTAGGTGCATTGTTGCGCTATCTCCGTAACCAGGGTAAAGACACAACTGCACTCATGATGAGAATAGAAGACGTCGTTATTAAAACTCTTTTAGCGGCTGAGCTTCCTATCGCAACTGCGTGTAAAATGTTTATGCCTTTTAGGGGCAACTGCTTTGGTGAGTTTTCAAAATATTTAATTACTTATGAACTTGATGAAATTTTTTCATAGGTATTTATTTCATTTCAATTTTACTTACAGAATAAACTTGTATTGTTTAATATGTTTACATAATAATCTTGATTGAAGTCATATATTCCTACATAGTCAGGTTTTTTATGTTTCATGTTTGTCTAATACTCTGATGCTCTACCATTCTTTAAAATTGAGGAAATTGGCTTCTTGCCAGAATACTCCATTTCTTAAAGATTCATCTATTTCCAACTCATGAAACAATTAATTTTACTGGGTGACACAAAAAGAGCGTTTTCACACATTCTTTGTAAAATACATTTCTTTTCAGTCTTACTCTATCATACAATATGCCTCAAACACTGGGCTCCACTTGTTTATGGATGAACTTCCATCGGAGGGATTTTTTCATCATTTTTACCAAGAAGAAGGTCAATTTTTATCCAAATATAGTTTACCTGTATGCTAATAGTATTACATCTCTCCCTTTAGCAACCAGGATGCTAACACAACACACAACCAAGACATTATGAAATTCACCAGAAAATGTCCTGGTTGATAAAGTGAGAGAATTCTCACTTGATTAATGGAGCTCCTGGATAATGCTCGTGACTGACTAGTTTTTCAGTAACCAGATGTTACTTTTTATATATAGGTAAAATATGTGGATACTAATGAACTCCTTTGTTGGTGAAAATGATGAAAATAAAAAATCTTACAACAGAAGTTCATTCATTTTGTTATAAAGACATAATGTCTGTATAACCAGGTGGAAGCCTGTGTGAACTAAAGGTGGGTAAATGTTTGAAGACTACAACATACTGTAATGTAAAGCAAAGATGAACAGACATAAATTGATTTTGCTATTTATTCAATTATCTTGTACAATTCAGTTAACAAACAGAAAAACAAGTAAATATTTATGACATTATGTTGTTTCCTCAATATATATATCAATAGACATTCATATACAGTAGAACCTGTGTAAGTGGAACACCCTCCGTTCTGCCAAAAAGCGTTCCACTTAGGAGGTGTTCCACTTACGGAGGTTTTGGGATCGCGGGGATTTAAAGAACCTACAAGATCAAATATAGGATTTATATGTATCACTGGAAATATGATTCTCCCTTCATTGCAGGGCAGGTATACACTGGCGGATCTGGGGGGTCAGATTTCTACCCCCTTGGGTGGGCCCTGAAAAAAAATTAGCCCTAAGACCCCAATAAGTAGGCCTTTTGGCAGTACTGGGCCTTTTGAGGCCTTGTTTTATAATCTTAGGCCAATTTTGAAGAAAATGGGCCTTGAATTTTCAAAATTTGGGCCCACTTTTTGCATTTAGTGGCCCAAAATTTTTATCAGACATATTTTTTATCAGACTTAAAATTTGCCCCCCCCCCCCCCCCTTGTTGGTTCCCATACCACCCCTAGGTATATACCATTAATAATCCATTTGGTTTACTTAAAAATGTATCTGACATTTTTAATCCTCCTCATTCTGCCAAAAATGTTCTGACATTCTTAATCCTCCTCATTCTGCCAGTCTCAGGTACAAAGGTTTGGCAATCAAGTTTTAAAAACTTGTTCCTACTGCTAATAATTCAATTGTTTTTTAACTGACATTCTTAATCTTACTTATCAAGTTTGAATCAAACAGCAAGGGGTATAAATTAGTGGTAGCATCACATGTCCATCTCTACAGGAGGTTAATCCAATTTTCTGAATGATAATCTGATGAAATCCTAATTTGCTGATTATCAAATTAATTAGTGGTTGCATCATGTGTTGACCTCTACAGGAGGTTAATCCAATTTGCTGAATGGTAATCCATTAAAAAACCTAATTTGCCAATTGTCACCTTATTACCTGTTTTCATACCCAGATATCACTGTAGGAGGTTAATTCTGTTTACATAAGTATCAATATTGAAGTTTATGGAAATTGACTGTTCCACTTAGCAGGTTAATTTTTCAATATGGGGTGTTCACTGTTCAAGTTTGGAGGTGTTCCACTTACAGAGGTCCAATTAACATTAAGTCAATGGGTTTTTAAAACGGGACTTTGAAAAAGTGTTCCACTTGCGAGGTGTTCCACTTACGTAGGTGTTCCACTTAGCAGGTTCTACTGTATATCAATAGACATTCGTTTGTTTTCATATGATATTGGTAAACATTTCAAATATTTAAGGAAATAGAAGGGACACAATTTGTAAGCAGGAAGATATAACATTAAAACAGATTTTGTTTAAATATAATCAGATTATCATTTTATCAGTAATCAGACCTTTTAGATAACATATAATGTTGAGAGGAAAATTAGAGCAAAAATATTGTAAATGACCACGTGCAGTATGGCAAGTGATTTTAGATGGTCATATCTTTCATCATGAGTACTTTCTGGGCATAAATACGGTGATTTTTATAAAAACATTATGTTTTCTTCCAAGTAAAATACCCATGATGATAAAAATATAAATCAAACAATTTGAAAAATTATGAATAGGACCCCATGTCAACATTTTTTTCAAAATATTGAACCTATTTACTCAAAAGAGGATCTTATTTTTATTGCATGAAAACATTATTCAACAAGGGGTCTAAGACATGTTCAAAAATAGAGTGGTATTGAAAGTCTAATTTTGAAGATATCAATTTTCGATGACCAAAGTTATGCTGAAAACAATGGATAGCAAGTTTTCCCTATGGGAAAATAACATGGGATATGTGGTTTTTAACTTTAACTCATTTCAATACCCATCCCCTTTTCAGAAATTGTTAAAATTGTTTTTCTCAATTTAAACATATCAAAAGTCTCCTCTACACGGAGACTTTTGATATGTTTAAATTGAGAAAAACAAGATCCTCTTTTTAGAAAATAAGCCTAACATTTTTCAAAAGGTGCAAAGATGGGCCCTAAATCATAATTTTTCAGAGAGTTGAATTGATATTTTACTATCATGGGGACTTCACTTGAAAGAAAACATATTGTTTTAATAAAAGTCACTGTATTTATTTACAATTATTTTCAAAACTTATTCTTAATTTGTCTCTCATAATCCCTTCTATATAACTCCCTTAAATCAGATCAATGGAAACATGATTTTTTTTTTATTCAAATTGTCATTTTGTTTTCAGAGGTGTATGGGTTTGACATCCTGATAGATGATAATTTGCGTCCTTGGATTCTAGAGGTCAACTTGTCTCCCTCATTAGCATGGTGAGTAGATAAAATAAAAAAGCTGTTACATTAATACCCATTGACTACCTATAATGACAAATTCTGAAAGAACTGCTCATTCAAGTCCCATCTTCAAAAAATTCAAAATATTAAATATTTTTGACATTAATAAATTTCAAACGCTCACTTTTGTGCAGAAAACTGAAACAGAATCTGCAGAGTTTCCATTTCATAATTTTCAACATTTTTTCAAGACACCTATGATACTAGATACAAATATAATTTAACAATCAAAAGGTTTAGAACTGAAACTGGTCGAAAATCAATTGCGATTAGAGGAGCAATACTGTATAACTCACTGGCTAAAGACTTCAAAAAGGCAAAATATATAAAGAAATTTGAAAAACTGATAAAGAATGATCTTATCAGTAAATACCAATGATAATCTGTGCTTCCATTTTTCTCTTTCATTTTGATTCATTTAGCTTTTGATCTATGACTAAAACATAACTTTTAAATATTATGTCCCATGGAATATATACGCCCCTTGGGGTGTCTTTTTCATGTAATTAATGAAATGTTGTATTACATTTGTAATTTTGAATGAATAAATTGAATTGAATTGAATACATTACATAGCCTACAATCTTCACAAGAAAATTCTGACAGAGAAACAATAGTGATTTTCAACATAATTTTGGTGATTAATATTTGATCTATCCATCTTGATCTATCAGTTTTGCTCATAATTCAATAAAAACTTCGCTTTCTCCTAGAGTCACTCATTTTACAGTCAAACCATGGGCTTTCAACTTGAAAGCCCATGGTCAAACATAGAAACCAATATAATACAAAGCATTATAGATAAGGGAAATTTTGATATAATCATGGATTATTAAGGTAAAAACAGGAAAGAGAAAATAAGACTTTTAAATACTTGCTTAACAGTTCTGAAGATCTGAACATATTTTATTCACTTCTGTTATTGGTCCAATTATATTAACATTCCTAGAATGCCATGATGGATGAGAATGATAATAAATGAGCAAACATGAACCATTTCTTACTTCTGCTTCTGCGAGTATCTCATTAACCTTTTGCATTTTTGTAAATACTAGTGATATTGTAAAAGTTCTTTTTCTTATATTTAATACATTTTCCTTGTATAAGCTATCAAGGGCATTATAGGCACCATCTAACAAGGATTCTGTGCATCCTACAGCTGGTGCAATTGTCACTTTATAGTCCAAATGGACCTTGAATCTGCTTTCTATGCTTTTCAGCTTCTTTTCCTTTTTTGCCTGTAAATATTGTAATACAGTGCCATCTACCTGCAATTCGCTGGGATCACCAGGGCTTTCACTTTCATTCCTATGTACTTTTCCGAGCTGAACAGTGTCACCCTTAATTTCTCCAACTGTGAATTTTAAATCAATTTTATATTTAAAGTCAATTTCTGGCTTTTCTGACCATTCTTCTGATTTCTGGTTGACCTGATCTCCAAGACCAGCAATTTCTACTGGGTGACCATGATCTGTCATAGTATGGTATTTCTTGACTTGGCCCTCAATGATAGCCTTTTGAAGCTCAAGTTGACCAACATGGGACATGACTTGCTTTACATTGGACTCTTTCTTTTTTGTCACCTGCTCTGTGTAAGATTCGTACTTGATACGAATTTCATTTATCACAGTGTTCATATCATTGTTGATTTCAGCTTTGACATTTTCAACTTGTTCTTCAAGGTCTGCTTTATAGACGAGTGTTTCTTGAATTGCTTGATCATACATGTGTATGAGATTTTGGCCTTGGGTTAGAATGGCGCCAATTGGTTTCACATTGTTCTCAGCGGCCTTTTTAATATCCTCAGCTGCGTGACCATTATGGTCAGTGATGTAACAAACTTGACACAAGGCCTCCTTATCAAGCTTACAGAAGAGCTCTAGCGGTTTAGAAGGATGAAGTTGGCAGTATACAGTACGCTCCTTAATGGACTGGAGTGCTATTTGTAAATCTTGCACACTATCTCCTGTAAGGTCAAGCACTTTGTGACCTTCCAACAGCATGTCATGAGCTTTTTTGCAAGTTATACAGAATCGTTTATTACAATCTAGACATCGTATTTTAGCTGGAGAGTGTTTATCCTGTGTTCCACGACACATCGTACATTCTACTTCTTGCGTTTTGTGGCTGTCTTTATAGACATCTAGGAGAAAGGTCATGGTAGGGCTGACCTTGAACTCTCCCACCCCTTGCTGTGGTACAGGGCAGACATGGCGGCATTCAGGACAGTTAAAGCTTCCATCTTCATTAAGGCCCCCCTTTTCTACCAGGCCATGTAGACATGTCAAGCAGTATGTGTGTAAACATGGCAGAGTCCTCGGATCAGTAAAGATATCCTTACATAGTCCACATTTGAGACCTTCCTCATAACGCTCTTCTGTAGTTGACGCCATTTTTTAAATTTAGAATATCACTTTTATTTATAATGTCCAGTTGTAAGTTCTCAGTTCTATTGTAATGCTATGTGTTTCCTGTGAGATTACTTCACTGCTATTGTTTCAGATGTTTTCTAAGTCTTTGTTGAGTCTCTTGTTGAGCAACTGACTTCACAGTTTCACACCCACTGTTAACTGGTAAATGATCAAGTTAAAGTACAAACTATGTTAAACAGTTCTGAGAAGTCGTGTAAAATTCACCCTGACCTTCCTTATTCAAATAAAATTGAACCTTTTTATCAGAATGGATTACCTTTAAAACAGTGACATCTATTTTACTTGGTAAAAGTTCTTTTTACCTGAATTAATTATCCTTATAACAGTGACGTCTATTTTGCTTGGTAAAAGTTGTCTAGCTCTTAGTGAGAATCTAAAGATAAAGCTTTTATACTATAAATTGGTATTACTAATTTTCCCATTATTAAAGCAACTACTGAATAATTGACATATCTTGTCCAAAACATGTAACATTCAGGTACATGTAAAATTTTCTAGGGAAGTAGGCCACCCCTAACATCCCCCACAAAACAATTGACAAAAAATCTGAATATTTCATGTATTGTCTCAGACACTTTTAGGGTCAGGGTGCATGTTCGGGATTTTGCTGCAACCCTCAGTATGGTCACATGTTATTTTTCAAATTTGAATCACCCCTTCCCCACAATGTCTACCTCTCTTGCTTTTGCACAACGAGTGCACTAATGTACCCAGAAAAGAATGTAAAGAAGAATGTTTTGATAAAATGTATAAAAAAACAGAAAATTCTGAACATGCACCCTGGACTTTAAGTGCCCAGACTTCATCAAATAGCACCTTGATATGGCCAGTCATTTACTGGGGGATAAACACTTGCTCCCCCTCTGGCATCTTCACCCCACCTCCCCCTCTGCCCCCCCCCCCCCCCTTTGACACCCCAAAAAAATTGGAAAAAAAAGATTTATTCAAACTTTTTTTATTGACTCATACATTTGGAAAGTGCTCAGAAAGCACAAAATAGCATCTCATCCTCTTTGACTCATACACTTTTAAAGTGCCCAGAAGTCACCAAATAGCATCTCAAAAGTGTAATTTTATTTAAGGGGAGTGGGCCATTCTTCACCCCCCCCCCCCACAAAACAGTTGAAAAGTTTTGAAGTTGAATTTGTTAATCTAATCACTTTAATAAAATTGCAGGTGGAGACACTTTGCAAGTTAATGCCTTGTTAATGCTGTTATATCTTCATTTTGTAATATTTATCTCTTGACTTAATCATTTATTGTTATTTCAGTGATTCCCCTCTGGATTTAAAGATCAAGTCACATATGATATCCGAGTTATTCACCCTGACAGGTAAGTTGTCCTTTCTGATTGGTCAATTACAGGTCAACAAATTACTTAGTCAAAATAATCTCTCATATTTGTGACTCATTTTAATAAACTTTGAAACCTACTGTAAAGTGGAACACCTCTGTTAGTGTAACTCTTTTGAGAGTCCCACGACCAACTTACTTAATTTTAAATGAACCTCTGTAAGTGGAACACTTCTAAATTGGTTTTACTATATCTATCCACATGGAAAATATTTTTTGATGTAGGAAAATTTGAAAGTGGAAATAAAATATCCCATGTTTTTAGCCATTTTTGGGTGTCCAATGAAAGATGAAGGACTTATCGATCCATTGGAAATACTTTATTTTGCAAAAGAACATTGAAAAGTATACATAGAGTTACTTTAATTGATGTAAGAATGTTTCATGTTGGTTCTTATAGGTTTCATGTGCCAAGACCCCATGACAAGAAATATGCAGAGTAAACGAAATCAAGATGTGCTGACAAAATCTAAAGTAAGTAAATTCATTTTTCTCAGGCGCATGGGGTTCTTTTTCAAATCAATGAAATTATGTAAAACTCTTTTTTAACCAGTGTAGGCCCTCCCCCTGGTCCTTACCAGGTTACTTTTGATACACACTAGTTGATTTTTTCACTAGGTATAGTAAAATACAAGTAACATTGCAACTTGTCCATAATTCCATTTTGACCAGTAGTTTTCAGATTCTTAGGGCCTACACTATTTTCAACCACCTGTGATAATAAAAATGTGTCATTTTCAAACCTTTCAAGGCTCATTTACTTTGACCTCATATTAATTTTAAAGTTATCATCCAAAGCAAAGTTGTTTTCTATCTTCAATTTGGGAGATGTTTTAGGGGAATCTGCCCCCCCCCCCGCTAACTGTTTAAGGGTTAACTTGTTTTGCATTCAACATTGAGATTTTATTATTTAGCTTTTGATCTACAACTAAAACATTGCTACATGTATTAAAAATTATGACCCATGGAATATACATCCCTTGGGGTGTCTTTTTTCATGTTATATATGAAATATTGTATGATACAATTTTAAATTTAATTTAATTTAATGGAGAGATTCAAGACGTAATGAAATGATTTTTGGATGTCTAATGATTTTTAGCAAACATCATTATTTTATAACAAATAGATTTAATTTTCATGTAATTATTTCATAGCGTCAGCGCCCTCTATCTGCAAGTTCCAACATTAGTGTCAACAACTTGGCGAAAAAGAGTGCAGCATCGTCATCGCAGAATCCTCTTACGGGGGAGGAAATACGGATTGTTAGAAGAGCCAAGGAGGAGCACGCAAGAAGGGGAGGATGGATCAGAATATTCCCATCCCCAGATTCCTGGGACCTTTACGGGTAAGTTTCTGAGACATTTTGGTATATTAGGGCTCGATTAGATGGTTAATTTCATGAGGTAGTCATAACTAACAGTACTGTTTTTTCAGCACTGTACAACACTGTTTTGACAACACTGTACGATGCTGATTCATGAACAGCGTTGTTTGAGATCGGCTGTTTGAGTAAGATGCAGCTGTGTAAGATGCAGCTAAAATTGAAAATCGAATTTTGTTGTATTGTAGACCCCTAGAGTGTAAACTGATACCCTCCAAATGAAATGATTAAATAACTGTACCTTTTTTTAATTAAAATATTTAATATATATGTAGAGTAGCCCTCTCCCTATTCATATCCCTGATATTTTCTTCTGTTATGTGGAAAACTTCTTGTTACTTTCCAGGGCATTTATGCAGTTCACAACAACAAACAACCTAATGCTACATCAACAGCTATTTCCAGATAGGGCACGACCTGCCTCCAGCAAGCCTTCAAGCTCAGGGACCCATTCTTTGCTTAGAGTCAAGTAAGTTCCAAACTTTCAGAAGAAATTCATCCTTGCTGCAAGGGTATTTTACAAGGGTATTTAAGCATAAAAGAAGTCCTTCAAAGAAGGATGGAAGAAATTTGGAAAATGTCATTTCAGAATAATTTAGATTTCCACACTTTCGGGAAAAATTAACAATCTATTCTGACCAATCAACAGTTTGACTGATATATCATAAATACCAATAAACTGTAAATTAAATTGACAGCTAAATAATGAAATCCAGTATGCTAAGGTCACTGTAAATCCCCAGAGAATTCCTTCTTTTATTTCATGTTTTGATTGAATGACTATTTTCTCTAGAAAATAGACATAACAGGATAATATGAGCCAAATAGATATTTTATAATTGGGAATAAGTTAATACTTTGGAGAGGTCAATCCAATTCTTCTCTTGTCCAAGGGTTTGTATTATGGTATGATTAATATGTCGGGTCATGACACCTAGAGAGACAATAAAAGATACATACAATCTGTATGATGATTTTCTTGTGACAACATACTGCACACAGTATGATATAAATTTCTGATCATTTTATCATCTTGTTTCAGGAACCTGCATATGTTTAAGCCTGACCCTCACCTTGCAATGGATGTAAGTATTAATAGTATAATTAATAGATAACATTCAGGCCCGTAGCCAAGGGAGGGGGGTTCAGAGGGTGTAAGAGCCCAATATTCTTTCAAATTCATGCAGTTTTTCACAATTCTGATATATTGCCAAAATAGTCAAATGAAAACCCTCTTGAATTTTTTTAAAAAGTGAACCCCCTTGGAAAAGCTGTCTACAAGCCTGATATTGATAAAACTTAGTTTAAGACTTTGTCTAAGAAAATTAATATATTTGCGATACAATTGTGTAAACTGAAATCTTGGTTGATTTTTGGTTAATTTTTACTATTTAAAATAGTGAGTTTATTTTTGTTATAAGTACCCACTCCTCCTTTCAAAAGCCACCTCTTCACGTTATATGTGAATATAATACATATGATAATTTATGCATTTTTCTACTAATAGAGATTGATGCGTCCAATTAAGGTATACATACATGTATGTTGTAATTTATCACTGTCCTCTTCGCTATCGCTCGGGATTGTAACCCTGCAATCACTTAATCCCCTCCTTGGCATATATCTACATGTTTATACATTCATATTTGTTTATGTTTCAATCAAAATACACCTCAAAAATGATAAACAAAGTCAAAATTTTTATTTTATTTTTATTTTTCTGAAAATTTTTACTTTGCATGCGCAAACTACAATGAACGAAAAACAAAATCTGAAAGTATAGGGGGGCGTGGTCCCGGGAACACAAAGTTAGAGGCGGGAGATTCAAAAGTCGTAAAAAGTCATAGAAAGTCGTATTTGGTCCCTTAATGGTTAAGGTATAGCTGTTGTAAAGTGTTATTTTAAAACAAAGATGTTGTAATAAATCTTTTTAAAGTAAAGATGTGTTGTATTATGTTTTATTAGGTTTGGATATGTTGTAATACATTCTTTTTAGGTATAGATTTGTGATGTGTCTTATTAAGTTACTTTGTTGTAGTGTCTAATAAGGGACTTACGTAGTGATATATGTAATGCATCCTATAATAATACACTTGTAAACACTGTTCAGTATCAGGCAAATACCTTCGCATTTCGATATTTAGTTTTCATCAAATTAAACTACATTGTTCTTTATAGTTGACATAATGCTGTGATTTTTGAACTAAACCTTCACTTTTTTTTTTTTTTTTTTAAATCATGTATATATTTCTCATTTTATAACTTTGTATACAAGTACATCAGGTCATTTTACAATATAACAATATTTGTGAAAAATGATATAATTTCAATTCTTGAACATTATTACAATAGTTTACAAATATAACGTACCATAAGTTGTTTAACCATTCATTAAAATAAGTATAGTTAGTGTCTTGTACCTTATAGCCAAAGACAAGAGTTTTATACTTTTTCAAGCTTAACTCAATTTTAAAATGATCTAAAATATAATTTTCAAGTTGGTCTATTTTTTTTTTTTTTTTTTTTTTTTTTTTAATACATTTTCGGCCACCAATCGCAATTGGCATTATAGGTTGGCCATCACTTACATGTAAAAAATTAAGTATAATATTTAGCTGTTTGAGGACGACTGTGCATCGAAGGATATCCCAGGGACCAGAGGGGTTTGTGCCAAGTAGATGTGTAAAAAACAAAATAAATATATTATGAGTTCTCCAGGGCTTAGATGAGACCTCTTTACTATGTCTTGTTGTCATGGAGAAAGTTGCTGACGATGATAAGAAGTTTACTTAATTCTGCTAAGGATAATGCCTCGTCACCATATAGGAGAAAATTAAGTTTATCATCCATGTTTGTTAGTTGGCTGATCTTATTATAGAAGTTATTGTTAACCTCTTCCATCAGGGCATGCCTATTAATTTGGCATAGAGGACACTTAAAAAATAAATCTTTTAGTGTTTCAGGTTTGCCGCAAGAACAATGAGCCGAGTCTATAAATGTAAATTGGTGTGCAAAAAGTCTTGCTTTCAAAAATAAGTCTACACGAGCTCTGTTGAGAGTGATTTCTTGAGACCTTGTTAAATTAATCAGGGACGTTGAACTGATTATTCTCTTGGGCAGAAAGTGTTTATTACTTTCTTTTTTGAACGATGGTAGGGAAAATTTTAAGGCATATTCTAAAAGAGGTTTAGGTAATTTGTTCCACAGTGATATTGCATTAGGAATAGGGGATTTAATAAATTGGGCAGTTGACCTTATAGGAATTTGGTATACTTCTGTATTGCTTGTTCTTCTGGTAGCTGGATTTTTGAATTCTTCAAATATTGAAGATACATAGGAGGGTACCTGGTTTCTGATTACTTTGTACATGAAGTTAAGAATGTGTTGTTCCCTCCTTTGGGGTAGTGTGCACCAGTTTAAGACCCCCATAACTTTACCTGTATCAGAGCCATGGAGACACCCAGAACACAATAATGCAGCCTGATAATGCAACTTGCTAGGGATATTGATCAGTGCTTGAGTTGATGAATGATAAAGAATGTCTGCGTAATCAAAATGAGGCCTTATGAATGAGTTGTACATTGTCTCCAAATGTTTCGAGTTAATCTTTGATGTAAGTGCCTTCAATGGATTAAGCAGTTTTTGTACTCTCTTGACAATGTCATATATATGATTTTTGTTAGAAAGAAGATAATCGAAAGTATACCCTAGATGCCTATGAAGATTATTCCTTTTAATTTCCCCATTTCCAAGTTTGGCTAAAGGTGGCGGAGTAGGAAATACACAGCGCTGGCTTTGAAAGATAACTTCCTCTGTTTTTTCAGGCTTGAAATCTAGTTTCCATTTTTGAGACCAGTTAGTTATGATATTAAGATCATGATTGATTATATGCATGTCAGGATCAGATGGATCAAAGGGGTAATATAGTGATGTGTCATCAGCGTAGATAAAGGCCTTTCCCAAAAGATCATCGGGTAAGTCATTTATATAAATCAAAAATAAAATTGGACCTAGGATAGATCCCTGAGGGACGCCACAGTTGATATAGTTTGCAGAAGAAGTATCCGATGATTGACCACCAACATTTACGTTGACTCTACGATTTGACAAATATGATTGGAGAATTTGATAAAATTGGCCTTCAATGCCATATGCTTTCAGTTTTGCAAGCAGCAGCTTATGAGGAACACGATCAAAAGCAGAGCTAATGTCTCAATATATTGCACGTACGGCTTTATGATCTTTGATATTTGAATGAAGAAAGTGATTTATTGCCAGTAGCTGGAATTCAGTGTTATGCCCTTCAAGAAACCCAGATTGGAATTCAAATATTAAATTATTAACTTTAAGGTGGGCATTTAGTCTTGTTGCTACAACACGTTCAAAGACCTTTGATAAATTTTTAGAAGGGTAATGGGTCGATAATTCCCAATGTCAGTTTTATCGCCTTTATTTTTAAATATAGGACAGATACTGCCCATTTTCCATATGTCAGGGAAGGTTTCATGGAGAATAAGTTTGTTAATGAGCTTAGAAAGTGGTAGAGATATAGTATGAGCAGTCAATTGTAACATTTTAATTGTGATCTCATCAGGGCCACAAGCTTTATTTGGATCAAGTTTGAGAATTATTTTCATAACCTCTTCCTGGGAGGTTCTAAGGTTATCAATTTTGTTATGACAGCGTTGAGGTAGGGTAGTATCCAAAAATGAGTTATCTGAATGGTATTTACTTGAAAAATGTTCTAAAAAAGCATTTGCCTTATCTTTAGAGCTAGATGAAGTTTTACCTTTGTGCTGGTCATAGAGGGTGGGAATGGTGGTTTGAGAGGAGTTTATACCTAATAATTTCTTGGTTATGGACCAATATTGTTTAGAGTTTTTAGAAAGTTCAGTAATGGATTCTTTACATTTGGTTTCGTATTCACTCTTAGCAAGCTGTAAGTTGGTCTATTACATTAAGTACTCTATGACATTGAAAGAACAAATGTTTATAGTCTTCTACTTGTCCGCAAATATCACACTTGTCATTAACACTTATTTTCCATCTTAGAAGTAATTGTTTGCATGGTAAAATATAATGTAAAAGTTTGTATTTAAAATTGGCCACTTTTTTATTTTTGGATTGCTTTAAAAGTACCCAAGTCTGTTGAAACAGCATTTGACTATTTTGAATTTCACAAAGATTAATCCAAAATGATTCCAAATATGTTTTAGTTGCTATATGTTCCAACAAGATTGAATATATGTCTCTAGAACTTGCATGTTTATCCAAAAATCTATAATGCTTCAATTTACTGTCATAAAATCTTAAACTTACATTTGTATTAACATATGTACATCTGCTTGCCTCACTAAATATTTTAACTCTATATTGAAATGGCAAAGATTGCTTAACAGTTATATATTCTGCCATCCAATTGACCCTAGATTTAAGCTTATGAAGAATTTCATCTTGGGTACACATAAGATCATTAACATATAATATATTTGAATTTATCCAGTTTTCAAAATACAAACACTTGTTATTGAAAGTTATGTCTTTATTGTTCCATATCACCATTTGTCTAATTTCTGCAAATGTTATGTTATCAATTTTGGATTCTGAGCCTCCAAGAATACTCCAAGCATGGAGTAAATCTTTGTAAAATTGAGGCAAGATATTAAAATTACAAATATTCTCTGGTTTTCCATAAGTAGATTTAAATATCAAAGTATCTGGGAGTCCAGTTTTACTTAATATCTCTCTTGCTAGAATATTCCAACTTGCATGTTTATTCCCATACTCAATGTCTAATATCCATTTAATTTTAAAGGCCCTGAATTTAGATTTTAAGTCACGCATTGAGAGTCCACCTTTAGACAAAGTATTAATTAAGAGATCTTTTAATTTTATCTCTTTTTCCATCCCACAAAAATGAATAAAGTTCTGAAGTAATTTCTTTCAAAAAAGTTTCATTTGGTGTGTCAATGCTTTTTGCTAAATACATCAGTTTAGATAATGCAAGTGTTTTAATGATAACTATTTTCCCATAAAGAGTAATCTTGCGTTTTTTCCACAAACTAAACTAAACCTTCACTTGATACTGACAGTGATAGTGTAAAATCTGTCCAAATGCCATTGTGACAGGCCAAAAGGTTTCAAATGGGCAGGTGATCACATTTTAAGGTTTTTATGTCACCACCAGTGAGTGGAGACATATTGTGGTGACATATTGTTATAGTCTCCAACGTTTTTGTGGACAGTTTGGCGGTTGGAGTTTGGGGCTGTAACAAATGGCAGGTGGTGACATTTTTTGCATGTTAATGCCTTGTTTATTAATCATATGCTCAGTTAAAAACCTAAAATGTTTACATCATGGTTGAGTTGATTCCTCAATGAATACATTTACCAGGAATTGCACAGATACTTTGTAAGTACACTGTGAAATTGACATCTAGCGTTATACACAGCCAATCTGCAACAGTACCCTACGGTACCGTTTTGGCAATGGTACTTTAGGGTACCGTGAAATATGGTACAATACGGTACTGTACTAAAACGGTAATGTACCATACAGACGTTACTGTGATTTTAGAGTGCGGATTGGGGATGTAACCCATTGTTATTGAATAAATCTTTAAGGCACCTTTGTTCAAATATGTTGCAGTTTGAAGAGTTAAAGGCTCACGCTCATCAAAGATCCATACAGTATGAAAGGAAGATAAGCAGTCTTGGCACAGGGAAGAAAAACAAGAACCACAAGAGAAGACAATCTGCCCCTGCAGGGGCACCTTCAGGCGATTCTCACAGTATGTACACAGTTTATCTCAAACAGCACTCTATTGAGCTGTTTCTGTCTCTCTCTCAACAATAGTGGCATGTTTTTAAACCTCTGAAAGAATTACAATTTTTCCAAAGTTATTTTTGTTCATGATGAAGAGAAAAAAACCTCTATAACTCTTGGTTCAAAAGCTACCTCATTTTCAAAATGGCTGCCGAAAATTCACTGGTTTTTAATTGACGATGCATATTTATCCTTGTTCATTACAGCCAATTTTATCTCTACATTACAGTTGTATCACTACACTGTTTTTTTGTGATTACATTTCAGCTGTTTTTATTATGACATTCTTTGGTGGCAGTTGATCCTTGTTCATTACAGCCAATTTTATCTCTACTACAGTTGTATCACTACACTGTTTTTTTGTGATTACATTTCAGCTGTTTTTATTATGACATTCTTTGGTGGCAGTTGATCCTTGTTCATTACAGCCAATTTTATCTCTACTACAGTTGTATCACTACACTGTTTTTTTGTGATTACATTTCAGCTGTTTTTATTATGACATTCTTTGGTGGCAGTTGATCCTTGTTCATTACAGCCAATTTTATCTCTACATTACAGTTGTATCACTACACTGTTTTTTTGTGATTACATTTCAGCTGTTTTTATTATGACATTCTTTGGTGGCAGTTGATCCTTGTTCATTACAGCCAATTTTATCTCTACTACAGTTGTATCACTACACTGTTTTTTTGTGATTACATTTCAGCTGTTTTTATTATGACATTCTTTGGTGGCAGTTGATGTTCAGAGTTTGACCCTCTGCGTCTGTAAAACTGTAACATATGGCATGTGGTGACATTTTGCATGTTAAGGCCCGGTCACACCGCCCGGACGTTGCTGGAGCGTTCCTTGAACGTTGAAAAAATTCATCAACGCTCGTCAACGCGCACAAAATGGGGAAAAAAACAAAAACACGGGCGTTGGCTTAGCGGTGCACCGCTGAAGCCGGCGTTGCTTTAGCGTTGGTTAAGCGGTTCCGAGCGGTAGCTAGCGTTTGTTTAGCGGTAATGCGAGCGTTGGTATAGCGGCATTCTGCGCATGAGAGCGTTTCCTCGGCGGGGGTATAAATAGCAGCAGCGTTGGTTTAGCAGCATATCGCGTTTGACTACTGGGAAATTATTTCAAGTGGGAAGTGTTTAAGAGTAAAGACCTTTATTGGAATTTGTAACTTTAACAAAAGTCCTTCGAGGATTAAAGAAGAAATGTTTAAAATCTAAAGTGCTTCTATTAATGTAATATGACATTAAGAATGAATAACATTACAATTTTCTTTATTAATCTCTCATATCATTTCAAACAAACATATCACAATTTAATCGTTGCATTTCCATTACTTGGAACCGATTTACGTTCAAATTGCTTTAACAATGTCAAATAACATTTACAGCAAAGTAATAATCATGACGCATGACAAATTTTTGCATTGCTGTGCGCGCATCAACTTTTTGTATAATACTATGACGAGTGCAACATTTTACAAGCTGCGCAGAAAATTCACAGATAATTTATTGAATTGCTTGACGTGAAAACACTAGGTATATACTATATTTGAATAAAGGTCTCAGTAAAAGTCTATTTGTATTAACATTTAATAAAAAACAAAAATCGCATAATTCACCTTTTTAAATCCAAAATCACAAACTTTGAGTGCTTAATTTAGGAATTTACAATGCAATAAATTGAAATGCCAGACATGAATATCTATCAAATGTAAAATGCACAAGTGTCTCCACAGTGTTCTACACAGTGGTGCATTTCTCCACGTATTTATAGCCAAATTCTGGTCCTGCTCCGACACCTCTATACCAACGCCAAAGCAAAGTTCATCGCCGCCATGGAACGCTGCGACAACGTCCGACACCGTTCCAACAACCCCATGTACGCTGATAAAACGCTAACAACCGCTCCACCGACGTTTGTGCAACGTTTAATTGCCGCCCGGGCAACGCTGGCGAAGCAGCGGTGGTCCAGCGTTTAAGATTTCTGCGTTGGTCTAGCGGATTCAAGCGTCCACGAACTTGCGTCTAGCGGTGCCAAACTTTGACTGGGCGTTGGTGGGGCGGTGATAAACTTTGCCAGGGCGTAAAATTGTCCCTTTTTCAACGCTCGCAATATTTTGAGCAGCTCAAAACTTTTGGAGCGTTAGGATGGCCACTCGAGAAACATCCGCGTTGGCCGAGCGTTTACAGCGTTGCTTTAACGGATGCCAACTTTTGTTAAACGGTGGTGAACGTTTACGAGCGTTGATGATTTTTTTCAACGTTCAAGGAACGCTCCAGCAACGTTTAGGCGGTGTGACCGGGCCTTTAATGCCTTGTTTCTTGTAACATTGCAGCTGTTTATAGAGGTATGCTTTTACAAGGAGAGCCAGTAGACACAACACAAATACCAACGCAGAAACAATCTCAACTGAAAACTCAGCCAATAACACAGGCCAGGAAGCCACCACCCGCACCCCCTAAGTTACGAACCCCTAGCCCTGAGGAACCACCCCCACCCCCCAAGGTTGAGCCCCCACCCCCTAAACCTGTGACTCCACCTCTTCCTCCCCCTCCACAGTACAATATAGTCGAGGTACTGGAAAGTGGGGGAGCACTAAGGTAAGAAATTTTTTAATCACACTTTTTCAGAATGCTATATTGTCACTGTCTTGTCGGGTTGGTTCCATTACCTCAATCTGCACTGGTGTTTTAGGGGTAGTACATATCTGATAAATATTTCCTTTTTATAATCACACAGATGTAAATAACTTTCAAATTACAAAAGTAATTTGTATCGATAGGTCATCTCGATCACCAATATTAAACGAAGGCTGTAAACAGTGTATAAAAGCAGCAATTTCAAATTCTTTGCTTTGGAGAGAGGATTAATAAAATCTTTACCGATTGGTGGTTTCTCAAAACACAGTTTCAAAATATCAGTTGTCACCTCATTTTTCAAATCAATTTCAATAGAAATACAAGGAACGCCATTGATATTAACGATTGCTTCATGCTTTTAGTAAAGTGCAAGCAAGGTACGCATTTGCGATGTATCTGATGCGGGTCCAGGAGCGCCTCGTGAAAGAAACTGGCAGTCTTGAGTCAGACGATGGAGAAACTGCCAATGAGCAAATGGTAAGTATTTCGAGAAAAACGTCATGTCATGGTGATGAAAATAGATTGGAAAAGAGTGGAATTAGCAAAGAATTAAATAGGCATGTAGTCGATACTCTAAATTTTATGTAAATGCAAGAAGATCAGAAAATTCATTCCGATTTTTGAAAGAGTTGTAGAGTAATATGCAAGCACCATGCAAAATTAGAATTTGTTTTTTATGGCTTCCTCATGAGGATATTTAACATTTTGAAAAAATGATTTTTGTTTTTATAATTTATAATTGAAATTTAATTCACTTGTGCCCCCCCCCCCCCCCACTTGTGTGTGTATTTGAATAAAAAATCAATTTTGTCAATGTACACTTAAAAAATCTTCCCTAATGATCTGTTTACCGTGGGAGTAGAAATTTTATTTTAAGTTGCAATTCAAGCGTAACGTATGACATTACTTTTTGATGTATACCATATTTATTGCATGATGTAATTTTTGCATCATTACACTAGGAATCCAAGGTTGAGTAGATGACGTTTTTCAAAATATTCCAAATTAGAAGTGAAATGCTTTGTGAATGACTGCTTTAAATGTGTGTTCAAAATCCAAATACTTATACTGTGTATTAAGGACTGCTTTAAAATATATTTGCTTTTTATAGTGAATTTTAATGAAACAAATCTGTACTTTAATAGGATATAAGTATAAATTAAGTATATTATCAGAATCACAACCTTACTGTTTACCAAAGGGTTCCATTTCTTATGTCACCACCAAAAGTGGTGACATAATGAAGTGACACATTATTATATGCTCTCCATTTTTGGGGGATGGAGGTAGGTGGTTGGCGTCCAGCATCAACAGGTCAAGCATCTGTAACAAATTCTAAAAACTTCCAATAACTTAACAAATACTGTTTAGACTGACTTCATGTTTTTTCAAAATTATCTACAAGTTGTCAGAAGTTCAAATCTAACTTTGAACGTTCGCTTCTTAAAAGAGAGCTTTGTCTTTTACTAGATTTTTGCATGCAGGGTAGATTGTGACCAACTAGGTGGTGACATTTTGTCATGTTACACCCCAGTCACATTTCCTACGGCGACCTTGCGGTCTATCATTTCTGCGGCCAGTAACATTTCTACGCTCGCCATGGAATTTCTGCGCTCTCATACTTTTGCAGTCACATTTCCCACGGCAGCCACACGGTGAATTTTAAATTTCTGTTGATAAATAATACTTTTTTCATTTTATTTACATCGGGACAATTTATAAATGTTATTCATATTGCTAGGATGTAATATCAAATGAAAAGTGATCGTGAAACATTGACAAATAATGATTCAATCTTGTTGAGCCAGTTGATTTCTATGGGTACCTAAGAAATGAACAACTATTGTAACTCCGAGTTATAATTTCTACGCCTTCCCTGCGGCCTGTAAAAAGCTGCATACGCCGTACGGAGGCCATAAGGCGAGTGTAGTTTTTCTACGCTCGCCGCAGAAATTCACCGATTTAATTGATCTGCGGTCGACTTGCGGCCGCCGTGCGACAAATGTGACTGGGGTGTTAATGCCTTGTTTTCTGTATAACCTTGCCTGCAGGGTTAAAAGAGTTAAGAATTAATGGTCTTATAAGAGTTAATTATAATTTTCTTTATTTAGGATCTTGTTCTAAGATTTCTGAAGCGAGCAGCTGGGAACCTGCAACAGCCATTTAAAGTTATCGTACCCAGTCGGAAACTACCAATCAATGATCGACGGAGAATTTTGGCAAAACAATTGGGAGATTTTGTTCACATTTATAACAAGGTATGTGTAATATGTGTATGCTTGAATTTATTATCTAATGAACTAAGCTTGATCAATGTGAATCATCCTCAGAATCTTTTACCGGTATATCCAATATTGGAAGTTGCTTTAATTTGACAGCCGTTTTAATTTGGCAAATTTGGCAGATTGACGACACCCGCCAAATTAAGTCTTCGCCATTTTTTTAATAAATCCCCAGGGATTCCTTGCAGGATAAAAAAATATTTGAAAATACCCCACTGAAATGTCAATATTGAACTAATTTCGAAGATCTAGATCCACTGCTAGTTATTTTTTTGAAAACACAAGCATTATTTGCATCTTTGTATGAACCCTCTAATATTCACATTTAACTGATGAGTAAATCCGCCAAATTAAATAGCAGCGAAAATTTCAAAATTTGCCCAATCTGGCCCCATCTGCCAAATTAAAGCAACTTACAGTTACTGTAATTGATTTCAGTACAAACTTTCTCTTTTGTATTAATTATCAAGTTTGAAATATTGTTGACTCAAGCGGTATGACAGGAGGTTCACATCATAGTCATTTTACACCATTCATTTTGAAGAAAAACATTTATGATAGTGAGTGGGCTTGTGCTTGTGTCAAATAACAGCTGTGTGTAATATTCACTAACGATTCATTAGGCAGGTTATTTAATCTATAATAAATAACTTCACCACTCAAAAAAATTTATTTTGATGTTTCGTTAAACTACAGTCGCCATCATTGGAAAATTTTTGCTGACTGACACTTTTGGTTCTGAGTATGGCTTGCCAACTCATCTACCAACTTGCAAACAGTTGGCAAGTCATACTATCACGGGGTACCATCGAATAATTTTGGCAACGTACCGGAGAACGACATTTTACTATTTTTATTTATTTATTCTTATTTAATCATATCTTTACAATAGGTTACAATAAACGGGTGACACATAATGTGTATATTCCCGTGTTTTATAATAATACATGAACAGATGGGGGATCTGCTTGTGCAATAATGCATACTATTTGTTTCTGCTTAAATAGTGTGTGTCATATTAAGCCCGCAAATCATTATAAAACTAACATAGACTATGAATGATACTATTGATTAAGAAGGTACTTTTTGAGTTCTTTTTTCATAATGAAGATGCTTTCAGATGATTTCATTTCATCAGTTAATTCATTCCAAATTATCGGTGCAGTGAAAGACAACATAGCTCTACCATAATTTGTTCGTACTTTGGGCTTGTCATAAGAACACTTGTTTCGGGTGTTGTAATTATGTCTCTCCTGGATAGTTTTAAAGAGGTTTGGGAAAATTTTCTGATAATTATCAAGTTCATTAATCCATTTGTACATAAAAAGGCATTTCAATTGCTTGTTTATGTCAAATATATTTAGAATGTTTAGTTGTTTGAATAAGGGAAGAGAATGAGCTCGATAATCAGAATTTGTTGCAATGCGTGTGAACTTTTTCTGGAGACGATGTAGTGAATTTAATATACCTTTACCCGCTTCACCCCAAATAACATTTCCGTATATCAGATAAGAATATATAAGGGAGTAATAGATGCTCAAGAATCCTTTATTATTCAACAGATGTTTAACCCTATATAGAATACCAATAGTTCTAGAGATTTTTGCACTAACAGATGTAACATGGCGCTTCCAATTTAAGTTCTGATCAATTGTTATACCTAGAAAATTTATGTGATTAACTTGTTGAAGCTTCTTTTTATTTAGAAAAATGCTTATATCATTTGGATTATATCTTTTTTGAGTTGAAGTAAATATAATATATTTTGTTTTGTCAGCATTAAGGGATAATTTATTAGTAATGAGCCATTCCTCTATTTGTTTTAATTCAGTATTGAGAATATCTGCAAGGTCACTTAGATCTTTCCCTTGTATCAATAAATTGGTATCATCTGCGAAAAGCACAAAAAATAGTCGTCGAGAAGAAAGGTATAGATACTTGACAACTTATCCTCAAATTTATCATAAGATTCGTTTGTATCAGTGAGTTCAGTAATATTATCCCAAGTTTCATGTGAAGTTATTTCTTTGAACTTTAGAATATTTTCTTTTGTGTATCTTCTAATTGATTTTTTTATAAACTTAGTTTTGTTGATAGGTTTATCAGAAATAGCAAAAATTGGAAAGTGATCTGAAATATCATTATAAATTATACCACATAAGTCAATCTTTGGATCGTTGGTGAAAATATTATCTATTGAAGTAGCAGATGTAGAAGTCACTCTAGTTGCTTTATAAATCACGGGCAAGAGGTTATACGCAGTCATAGTGTTATAGAAACTTTCTGTAAGATCATGTTCAAATGATTTAAAGAGATCAATGTTAAAATCTCCAGCAATGTAATTTAATTTGTTATTTTCTCTTGAAATATGTGACAAATAAACATCAAGATCATTGTTGAATTCTTCAACATCGACATTAGGTGGTTTGTAAATACTAGTGACTAAAATATTCTTCCCATGCTCTACAATAATTTCTATAGTTATGACATCACAATTTTCATTATTGAATATAAGGTCAGTTCTTTCTTTAGTTTTAAGTGAACTATGAATAAAGAGACCAGCCCCTCCACCTCTGGAAGTACGAGATTTAAAATATCCTTTGTAATTCATAAACTGAGAAAAAGTAGCCTCTTGATCTTTGTATAACCATGTTTCGGATAGTGCAATAATAGAGATTCTCTTATCGATTGATGCCAAAAGATTTGTCAACTTCCAATGATTTGATGGCAAACTGCGAATATTACAATGGATGATTGACATATCTATATTATTCTTAGAATTGAGATTGTCGTTAAAATTAGAAAGTGTTACATATTCACTTTTTGCCATGAAGTCTTTTGTAGTTTGATCAAAGTCTGGGGCATCAGGATCGTCAACTTTCATATCAAGTGGATTGAATATTTTATTTTCAAAATTATTCATTGAAGCACCATTTGGAACAGAATCAATAAATTCACTATTGTCTATGATTGAAAAGAATGGGAATTCAGTCCAGGGGCATGACACATGTACATTTAAATCATCCAGTATCCAAAAACAGAAGCATTATACACACAAGCAGACCCCCTTTAATATTGTGAATTTTCTTGCACGTTGATAATTGCAAGAAAGAAAGAGACATGGGTGCAGTAGTAATTTGGTACTCTGCATGTAATTTAATAAAAGTTGCAAAATAATGAGAAATTCAGGAACCAGCACAAAGCTTGAGTGTTACATGCTGGTCACAAGATGATATATATGCATTTCCAAAGTGGAAAATATGTACATTTTAGATATTGTTCATTAATAATCAAACAATATATTATTACACAATTCTACACAAGAATAATTTTGGCAACGTACCGGAGAACGACATTTTACTAAGAAATGGCAATAATTTAGCACAATATATTTTTTAACTAGAGTTCTATTTTGATTTTGACAAAAGTAAGTATTCCATGCAATAACTGTTTCATTCATGAGTTTGTAGGAATTCTGTTGGAACCCAGTTCTGATCAAGTACGAAGTTATTGAAATCGGCGCAGACGGACTTTACTCCGAAAGATGGTTTTTCGATTATAACTTTTTACAATATTTAAGTATAGACTTTTGAAAAAAGTACAGAATAGTCCTTATACTATTGAATAATTCTGTTATTTCTGATTCACACGACTCTGATTTGTTTAATTAAAAATTTTTTTTAGAAAATATTACTTAGGAACGTAACCGGAGCTGGGAACGTAACCGGAGCAGATCAGTTGAATTATATAATTTAAAAAAATAAAATATATGATTTAAAGCATATATATTATTTACAAACACATACTTGGTGTGACCGAATTATAGAACACTGTCTATCAACGACTGAAAAGCAATGTTCTGTAGTTTAACTAGAAAAAATCATTCACTTTCTTACTTGCTTAATGACACACGCCTAGGTTTATCGAAACAAAGATGGATAACAACTGGTTTTGCATAAAACAATAAACGGGCACTCACTCAAACATCTTACGTTTATATGGAGGGGGGGGGTTAGGTGAAGAATTTCAGAAAGCATATGTTGATTCGATTTGGTCGAGCACATGACAAGTACTTAACACACCTACGCTATATACAGTTCGTTGTATCTTAACTTTTTTAATAATCTAGCATTTAAATGCTTTTATTTCCCCTGAAAACGAGAAGTTGTCTTAGAAGTATAATACATGTATGTATAAACAGTATATATATATACGAAATTAGTATAACAGAGTGGGTTCTAATAGTTCGCTGAACAAATACAATGGGTGAAATCAAATGGAATTATTTGCTTACTACATTTAATCACTTCATTCTCCATACAATGATTGTTCTATGTTTGATAGCCTTTCTAAGGTAAGCGCACTTATGCATGGTAAATGCCAAATTTAATTTTTCACAATGGATACATTTTTTTCTTTAAATAAAATGTAATAAATACGCATTCGAACAATCCCGTATGTTTTTAAATTAGTATACTGGTATGTGCTTTAAATCATATATTTTAATTTTTTTGATTAAATAATTAAACTGATCTGCTCCGGTTACGTTCCCAGCTCCGGTTACGTTCCTAAGTAATATTTTTAAAACTTTTTTTTAATTAAACAAATCAGAGTCGCGTGAATCAGAAATAACAGAATTATTCAAAAGTATAAGGACTATTCTGTACTTTTTTCAAAAGTCTATACTTAAATGTTGTGAAAAGTTATAATCGAAAAACCATATTTCGGAGTAAAGTCCGTCTGCGCCGATTTCAATAACTTCGTACTTGATCAGAACTGGGTTCCAACAGAATTCCTACAAACTCATGAATGAAATAGTTATTGCATGGAATACTTACTTTTGTCAAAATCAAAATAGAACTCTAGTTAAAAAATATATTGTGCTAAATTATTGCCATTTCTTAGTAAAATGTCGTTCTCCGGTACGTTGCCAAAATTATTCGATGGTACCCCGTGACTATTAGAACTGGAACTGTCAGACGGCAAAAATAAATTCTGATGGTGGTGACCAATAGTGAAAAGCAAAGTATGATTTTTCCGGGTAGTGTAGTGAGAATATTCATTATGTGTATGTTATAAATGGCCCATATGGGGTCACCATTGCGATGAGTATTAGAATTACCACAGTCAATTGTAGTGAATAGTCCATTATGCCAAATTGTTCACCTGTAGGTCTACAATCTTTACATGCATGTCTTTTCACTTTATTCCTTGCTAATTGTTGTAATAATTCTTAGATTTGTATTTTTTTGATTAATGTAATTGGGAGAAAACATGATGATTTGTTTAAATACTTTCTCTTGATATTATCCCTTCAAATATATTTTATATAGGAGACTGACCGAATGAAAATGGAAGATTCAAAAATGGATAAACAGAAAAACAGAAAGAAAAAGAAAACAGTAATTTTGATTCAGTTCACCTGTTATATAATTTGAATCACTTAATGTTGTATTTATATGTTGAAAATGTAGTTGTATATACATATATGTATACATATGCTGGCCTCTCAGACTCAGAAGATTTTTAGTAACATTCAATTTCTTTTCAGAGGATGGATTCTTCTCAAAAGTGGCACATGTAACTCCAAAATTAGTCAAAATTCATGCATCCATATTTATTTAAGTCAGACTGGGGGGGGTGGTTCTGATAGGTCTGTATATAGGTTGACCCATCAGCCAGCCTTTGTATTAAATGTATGTTATAGTTTAATTACAGGCCTGTAGCCAGGGGGGCTCAAGGGGCTCAAGCCAACCTCTCCCCCCCCCCCCCCAAAAAAAAAAACAAAAACAACTCAGAATCATGCAGTTTTCACCATTCTGAGCACATTTCAAGTGACTTAGGCCATTTTTTGGTCAAAGTTGTCAGAAGTGAACACCCCACCCCCCTGGAATTTTTTATGAAGTGACTCTCCCCCCCCTTGACAAATCAGGGCTACTGGCTTCAATTATATATTTCAAATTGTGTTTTTGTTGCTGATTGAGCCAAACACCCACTCATCCTTTTGCCTACATTCCAAAATATCACAAAAAGTTGAAACATTAGAAGTCAAAATAAAAAGAAAAATTCTTCGAAATTAAACCTCCATGCATACAGAATCTTTGATTAGTTGTGAATGAAGAAATGAGCACAGATTTTCAACATGTGGGCCCATTTATGGTGCCATTTTTGCATGATGGGTCATCTTTAGTCAAAAATTAATATCGTTGTTTTCATATGTTCATTATATACATGTATGTACGATATAAACATATATTCTGTGCACTGTCTGTATGACATGCTGTGTTGGTAATTTATATATTTTCTCACACATAAAAAATATACAAACTTTAATTTTATAAAATACACCATAATTTTTATCAAATATTCTATGATTGTCTGCTATTAATTTTCAATATTTCATGAATTCACACTTATTGCAAAAGTACATTTAACTTTGATAAAATGATTCAGTTTCACCTGCCATTCCTTACCTATTTAAATTTCCCTTACCCTTTGCCTCACAAATTGACCCCTTGCCTCATATACATGTGTATCTCTACATGTTATTTTAGGAGACTGAACAACTGAAGCAACGCAGGCTGATAGAAAAGAAGATGAAGCGAGACAATGTCAAAGAGGATAAACTAAGGGATGATAAATTCACACATTTTGTGGACAGGGCAAGGTATGGGAATAATAGTGAAATTAATTTAAATAATGTACATGTACCGTCAATTTTTCATTTATTGTTATAGTCCCCAACTTTTTTCTGGACAGTGTTTGGCATTTGGTTGCTGGTGTTCGGTGGTTTGCATCTGTAACAAATGGTAGGTGGTGACATTTTGCATGTTAATGCCTTGTTTTGTACTCTGCTTGTTATATTCTCCAATTTTTTGTGGACAGTGTTTGGCGTTCCACTTACAAAGTGATAACATTTTATCATGATTGCCCCTTGCATTTCAGTGAAAGTGACTTGGAAGAAGTTCTTACAACATATACAAAGCTGAATAAATCAGCCAGTATTTTCCTGGGAAGTAATTCCAATACCTCATCACACTCAAGGCCGTCGTCTGCACAGAGAGGTCAAGGTCATCTTACAAAGAGCCAATCAGAATCCATGATACATAAAAGGAGGGAAGGGGATGGATCTGAAAATCCTTCTGAACCAAAAGAGGGTGAATATTTAAATATTTTACATTTATGTCTGATACATTCTGTTTTATTTAAAACAGAGTGGCAGAGAGTGGAATCAGGACTATTGTAGAAAGGCATGTAGTTGACAGTTTAAATTGTGAAAAATTATAAATATAATGAAGTCATTCAAATGAAAGAAAAAATGGTGAAACAACGTTGACATTTCCCATGTCTCAATTGGACAATTTTGAGTAAAATAATTTGATGGCGTAAAACTCTGATTGTTCCATCCAGCTCCTAAATGTACAAAAATTTTAAAGAAATATTTGCTTTCAGCACCATCATATTGGACTAAAACAGAGCCCGTAATCGATGCCTCAATGCGCCCCCCTTCGGGTCACATTACAACAGCTAGTGGCAACCCTTTGTCATCCTATGCAGGAGCAGTACAGATCTACAGTAGTAAGGTGACCAGTCAGGGTCCATCAGTGAAACAACGACCACTGTCTGCAAGCAGTCACAGATCGTGTATGTGTGATCTGAAAATATTTTTACTACAAACAGTCCCATAGAAAGGGGGGTTGGATGGCCCCCCTGGCCAAAAAGATTTTCAAAATCATGCATTTTTACACCATTTTGAGCACTTTTTAAGTGATTTTGACCATTTTTGGACCAAAATTGTCACAAGTGAATCCCCCCTAGAATTTTTCAAAAAGTGAACCCCCCTTGGCAAATCCTGGCTACGGGCCTGGCTAGTATTGAAGATTTAGTAAAACTGATTTCATATTGAAAACTATATACAAATTGTATCTTAAAGATAAAATGTGGTTTTGAAAACTGTTAAATCAGATTGAATTATACCAGTTGATTCAACCGAGAGGCCACATCATCTTGTGCTGATGCGGGTGCGTCTGTATGTGCCAGCCTCTGTGTATTTGTCTGTTTTGGCAGGACACCACAAAAATCTTGCCATCAAAAGTTCCCGAAAAATCACTTATCTGTTCAACTTGAATTTTTTATTCAAGATCAGACTAGTGCCAAGATCTGATAAGATTTTGACCATGCTTGGTAAAACTTGGCAGCCATCTTGAATTGTTGGATAAAAAGTGCTATATTTATCACTTCACAATGTTTAATTCCAGCTGCATCTAGAGTGGGTATTAATAGACCTTCCTCAGCATCAAGTCAAAGAAATGCTGCCCATTCACACGCAACTACATTACAGCATAGAGAGAGGCCAGACGGCAGCTCAGGTAAACAATTAAAGTTAATGAATATTTTGATTTTATATTAATTTAGAGTATTTTGTATTTATTCTTCTCGAGTCCTGCATGATACATACAAAATGGCATGATACATACAGAAAGGGCATGATTAAGGAGGGCATGATTCATACAGAAGGGCATGATACTTACAAAAGGGCATAATACAACAGGGCATGATACATAGTTACAAAAGGGCATGAAAATCACAAAAGGGCATAATACATACATACATGAATGCAAGACTTATATAATATATGTGTAATGAACTCAAAAATGTTCAATATTTTCAGCACCTGATGACTACGCAGCTGATAACGAGGCTATGAACTCTGCATTACAACGTCTTGCAATCCGCCAGAGAACTCGTCAATACTCCGCCAAAGGCGCTAATATTCTACAGGCCCCTAAACCTAAGAAAATAGAGTCAACATCTACTGCTTTAATAGACACTATGAACAAAGACTCTCAAGGAGATGGTGATAAGGGGTCTTCTTGGAATGCTGATAAGGGGTCTTCATGGACATCACAATCTCAAGCCCGGGCACATAGCGCAGGGAGTGGAGCAACACAAGCAAGTTTAGAATTCAGAAGTTTTAATAAATCAAATAATAGCCATGTACAAAGGACTATATCTGAAGATGTCTTAATAGACCAAGTGCAACATGCACAAACTAGATCGGACAGTGCTGATGAAACGTTTAACAGTTTTATAGAGGATAGCACTGGCGCAGAACCCCAGCAAAGCCCAAGATGGCAAAATGAACTCATAGCCGCTTATAATCATGTTACAGGTGTCGCCCCTTCTGAGTCATATAACCCATCAAAAACAAGTACACAGTATTCAATGGCAAGTGCGAATCATACAAAACAACAACAAATGATCCAGCAAAGTAAAAATTTGCTTCAACAGAGCAAGGCGAAGCATCAAGCAATGATTGCACAGGCACATATGGCGAGAAAATCAAAAGTACACGGTGACCATGAAGGGGATTTACAGGGTGACCCAGAAAGTGCTCTTCAGAAATATGCACCTAAGCCACCACCTGGAAGGCCCTCTGGGGATAAAAAATCCGGGAGCACACATAGACTTGCCAGGTAATGCAATGATTCTACATGTGCCAGTACCGAAGCATATAGGATCATTTTGAGTTGTTTATTTTTGTTTTTTTTTATTCAGTTTATTTTATTACAAATTATCATATCAAAATACAAATACAAATAGCGGCTGTACTTAACAGTATCATTTTGAGTGGCTAATCCATTAGAATAAATGTGTTAGTTGATTTAATAAGAATGTTTGTATGATTAAAACCCATAACTTAAATAGAAGAACCCATAACTATGTTAATAGAACCCATAATTGTTTGATAATAACCAAAAAAATAGTCAACACTCTAAATTGTATAGAAGTGCAAGAAAAGAATACAGTTTATTCAAATTTTAGAGAGAAAAAGCATGAAAAAACATGACTGTTTTATCATGTGACTAGAGTAGCACATAACATTTTCAGAGCTGCTGTACAAGATGACAATGTTTATGGTACTAATTTCTACAGCAACTTGAGTTATGATACAGCAACGGGAAAGTCCAAATCATCAAATATTTCCTATAACTCAGGCTATAACGCAGGTAAATTACTGAAGTATTTCGGATATTGAGGTGGCCATTTTGAATAGAAGGTGCTGTTGATGAATTCACTTACTTGATGAACTCACCATATTCTAATGTCATAGCATATTAAATTAATTATCAATTATTCAGCTGGTGTGGTTTCCATATTTATATATAGTACTATACTTGTATAAATACATGCAAGTTGATATCTGTTTGATTTTTTTAGTTTTACTTTACAACTGTTGATTTGTGTTATGTAATTGTTAGCTAGTAGTTTATAGTAGTATTATTTCAATGCTTAATTTTGTAGCGAAACCTCATAGACTTGGACGCTCTAGACTTTTGAGTGGTAAATAATGATTTTAGTTGACTCTGGATTCTATGTTTTTTATACTGTACATGTGGATGTAATACTTTAAAATGTGTTTTGGGAGTAACACCGTCAGAGTGCTTAAATTTGATATGTCATTTGTGATAAATGCAGGCCCGTAGCCAGGGGGGTTCGATGGGTTCGAGAACCCCTCCCCCCTTGACAAAAATCTTTCAAAATCATGCAGTTTTTTTTCACCATTATGAGCACTTTTTAAGTGATTTTGGTCATTTTTGGTGAACCCCCCTTGGCAAATCCTACAGGCCCGTAAATATATTCAATAAAGTTAGCAATCAGATAAATGTTAGTAACTTTGGAATCTTGATTTTCCTCAAATGTGCAATAATACCTCAATAAATACATTGAATCCCAATTCACATTTTACTCAGTAGTGTATTTTTGTGTCATTGTGCAGCTGCTGAATCGTTCACTGTGTAGTTTGTATATGTGAAGCCATATCTCATCATTGTGCAGCTTTATGTTCATGTCATTGCGCAGCTACATGTCATTGTGCAGCTCTATGTTCATGTCATTGCACAGCTATATGTAATTGTGCAGCAGTATGTTCATGACATTGTACAGCTGCTGTATGTCATTGTGCAGCTATATGTAACTGTGCAGCTTTATGTTCATGTCATTGCACAGCTGTTACATGTCATTATGCAGCTTTATGTTCATGTCATTGCACAGCTAGATGTAATTGTGCAGCTTTATGTTCATGTCATTGCACAGCTGCTATATGTCATTGTGCAGCTCTCTGTTCATGTCATTGTGCAGCTATATGTCATAAATTAGCACTGTTTTGTACAAGAATTAATCTAAAAGAACAGTATTATAGGTGCCAAACCGTAGTAATGGTTAAATTGCCACCATTTTATATTTGGCAAATTGGAATTTGAATAATTGTGAAATCATGTAAGATCTCAGTCTCCACTTTTTGATGAATAATCATTGCTTTATTTTTTATTCTTGCATTATTTTTTATTTGACAAAAAAGTGGAAGATCCTGTCTACACCAGAATTCTTTCAAAATTGTCAAAATTCAGAAAATCACCAGATTAACCCAGGTTGCAGAATATTTGTAATAATATGTCTAGCCATGTGTTTTTTGAACATTGCAATAATTCATATTTTCTCCCAAATTATGGGTTAATGATCAATGATATTTTTCTTGATAACTGCATCAATGATCAAATTTACTGGAACAATGTCATGATAAATGTTTTTTTCTCAAACCACTTGTTGATGATCCATGTTTTTTTAATCATGCAATGATCTATGTTTTTCTCATATATTTCTGCATCTCGTAGTGGAAAACTAACAATGTAAGTTTTAAAATGTCACAGCAATTTTGTTTGAAATATGCACACACTGATTAGTATGTTAATTTGAAAATGGTTAATTGATCAAGTGCTATACAACCGTTTATTTAATAAAACATAACATATTGTTTTCAAAACCTTTATGGTCCTGCTTGCTATAAGTTAGATCAGGGATTCCAGCATTCCATTTCTTTTTTGTTTGTTCCAGGGACGGGCTGGTGATCAATCCTTATGAGATGTTATTGAACCATTCCAGTATATCAGGCCACCATAGCTCCATGGGGAATTCTGGGAAATACCTCCCTTGAACATCCCTAATTCATTGAGGACTCAGAAGGCAGGACATTCCAGTTTTATGCCAAACAATCATTTAGTGGATTATGTGAAATATTGCCCCTCATCATTTCAGTATAGCAGGTAGCCAATAAGCTCCCTGGAGAGTTCCAGGAGACCCCTTCCCTGATAAGCCAAGTTTTATGTAAACTCAGTGGAGGCTTCTGGGAAACACCTTCCTTCAGCATTCCGGTCTTGTACCAGGCAACAAGTGTACAAAGGATGATGAGGGAATTTTCAATAAGGCAGTCTTGGAAATGTCTACTGACTGAACATTTCACTACCAGACAATCATAACTCAGTGAAGGATTATGGGATATAGTAACCTTCACCAGAAATCAATTTGAGTGTCTCAACTAAGAGTTCTATAGGAGATTATTGGAACCATGTGTACCTCCCCAGAAAATTTCAGTGTCATAGAGGATTCTTGATTAACTAAAAAAGGGAATTCTAATCTTTATTAATTAGGCACTCTGGTAAACACTGTACCTCCCTTGTCCATGTACATTCCAAAATCCAAACCAAGCTCGTACCCCCTTTGTACATTCCAAACCTAACTCTAGACTTCGTATACATACCACTGTTGAACATTCCATTGAACCAAGCTCAAGAAAGGATTCTGGGAAGTGTATTTCTTGAAAACTGGCAACATCCAGTGAATTTATGAATATTTTTAATTGCAATTGTGTTTTAAATAATTCAAATGACAACTGGTTTGTTAGTTGAATTTTGCCAGTGAATCTGAATTCCATGATAAATTGAGCCAAAAAAGTTTTTTTTAAATTTATGTCTTAACTGCCAATTGCCTTTTTATTTTAATGAATATTTACATGTACAATGACATTGTTCTTTTGGTAGATGTTTTATTTTATATTCATGTAAATGTGGTTAAACTTATGAATAAAATTTTAACATTATTATAGCCAAATGTTTTCTCGTTGAATGATATTTGTAGTTAAAATTACAGTTGTTAAAGTGGTAGCAAAGAACACGAAGAGTGAAATATATATAATATGAATGAAGCAAAAATCATGCCATTGAAAAATTTTAGTATCTGAAAAAAGAATATCTGATCAAATAAAGACATTATTGAAGATTTAAGATGTAGAAATGTCAAAATTCATTTGGATTGGGAAAAGGGATGTCCAAATTTTTGAACAAAAATGGTTGAAAAATAATTATACAAAAGAAGGGATGTCAAAATGGTTGGACAAGAAAATAGGCATGGCCTAGAATGTTGGGAGCAAATATATCGGATATATTGACAATTTTCTAGAAAATTACTGTCAATGTGGCTCTAGTCTTTGTTGCACTTTAATGAAATATTTGTTTAGTTGGATGCATGAGGCTTTACATGTCTACTTTCTCTTCCTTGAGTGTCTAGGCTAAATAATGCAGACAAAGGAAATGCAAGAAATAAACTTCATTTTGCCTAATTTCAAAGTAACAATGCAGAATTTAACATATCTGCAGCCCACAAACAGACAAAGAGATCTAAGCAGACCTTTTATGATATCAATGCGAGCACTAATACTGTGAGTTTGCACATGTGGTCATAGCTAGTAGGCACTACATCATGCTATAGTCATATTGGTGGCATGACCATCTCAAAGTTGAGACTTCAAATCTCTTGTATGATGATATCGACCCATTGGAAGGATAAATAACAAAACAATAAACTTTTTATTTCAATGTAAACATCATTTTATATTTTAAATAGAATATTTTATATTTATTATGTACATAAAATATTAGAAAAATTAACGCAATCTATTTTAGACTTAACCAAAACAGTTAATGTGTGTATAACGATGGTTTACATGAAGGTACACTTTGTGAAATTTCTAAACAATTGTTGAAAACAATTTTAAACCCACTTTTTGGCATGTTTGGTGAAGGGTGTTAAAAATGCATGTACCTTAATGATGTACAGGCCCGTAGCCAGGGGGGGTTCGATGGCTCGAACTGGCCAAAAGTTTTTTCAAAGCCATGCAGTTTTTCATCATTCTGAGCGCTTTTTAATTGATTTTGACCATTTTTGGACCAAAATTGTCAAAAGTGAACCCCCCTGGAATTTTCAAAAAGTGAACCCCCCCCCCCCCCCCCCCCCCCCCTTGGCAAATCCTGGCTACGGGCCTGATGTTTGTATGATTAATATCATTTTAATAATGTACATGTATGTGCTATTATAAAAAGTACATATAATTTCTTGTGCATGATTTTTGATAATTTTAAATGTGAATACGAGATACATACATGTCAAACATCACTATTTAGTATTTATTATAACTATACACTCGGAGCACTGAATGAACTTCGATCATTTACTAGTATATTTAATGACACAAAACAACTTTTGTGAAAACCAAATCTTAAAGGCACGATATCGAAAGCATTTTCATAATTTTATACACTTTTAAAATTAAATCAAAATAACAGTTTTTAAACTTAAAATTTAGTAACGCTATATTATCACTTACAAAAATTATATAGAAAAATAGTCCTATTACTAGGGATATTAATAAATACAACTAACATTTTGAGTATCTTGGTAATATTGAAAACATTGATTTACAAACAAATGTAGCATTATTCTATTTTGGGATAGGATGGGATGGTGTTAGAATGATGATTTTTTCCAAACCAAACTATTAACTTAAGTTTCTACCTTTAGTCTTAGGTATATAGTCCTGTAGTTTAAATGCCTGTGTTGCCTTCCATTCTAACAAGTTGGGAAAAAGATGAAGAACTGCGGATACAGAGAGCAAATATCATACATTTTGTGTGATTATTAATATTACATTCTATTCATGACATGCCATGCTGATTTCATACAGAGTGAACTTTTCCGTGTAAACTGACATTGATTCTTTGACACATGTGAAAATTTTAAAATGTGAAACATTGAATAACGTTTCTCACTAAAGATTAATGCTTGCTTTTCTTGCATATAATAGTCCTTGCTACTTCCACACTTTCCAAAATTCTACTCACTGGTTCTTGTTTAACATGTATACTTAAACAAGCAATATGTCTTTATAACAATGTATAGAAAAATACTTTTAATTGGTCAAAAGTTTTAAATGAACAAAACGTCTAATCATCATCAAATCCTCCTTGAACCTCAACACCTCGTGAATAATTTTGACGAAATGGCATTTTGAATTCTGGGAAATCAACCTCATAGCCAAATCTATCCCGATTGACACGTTTCTCGTTGATGAGCTCATTGGTTCTTTGTTGCTTCGTCCAGGCATGGAGAGGCACGTATGTGATGTCTTCTTCCTCCTCGAGACCACCTGCTAGGGCTGATGCGGCACGAAGGATGGAACCCTTCCTCTGACGATTCTGGGCCTCCATTAAGGGACTTTGATCACGGTTTTCTGATGGCAATGGCTGGAAAAATAGAGAACAGAACTATTAATTATATGTTTAGAATTAAAGAGTCAGATTCTACAGAGAAGAATTACACATGAGAGAAACAATTAATCAAAATAAAATTAGATTTAAAGACCCCATGTGACATTTCAATAAATTAAAATACATCTTAGAAATTTTCTTCCATATTCCATATATTTTGTCCTAAATCACTGTTCAATAAGTAACCAGTAAAAGTGCTTTTCTAAAACTAAAAATGTACCCCTGGAGATACAGAAAATAATTTAACTCTCATCAGAAAAATAAATATATTTATTTAGATTTTTGGATCTAAACTGTTTTAAAATTATTATGAATGTATTGTACACTTCATTTTATCTCACATAGATGCAATAGTGTTAGTTAGGATCAAGTTGGGAACTAAAACAGTCTCTTCAAAATGGTTAAAACAAACTAATAACAAATGGTTAAATAAATACATGTATTAAGGTATATGTGCATGAAACAATTTTCATATTCATTGTTTTGTTGTGTAGGGAACTAGGCTAGAAGGGTATGTAGGATGGTCCTGTATCTAAGGTTAAAAGGAAAACAGCATATTATGTGAGCTTTAAATTGGTATATAACACTGCAATATTACATTCTGTACTAAACAACGATGTTAGAAACAAGCATACACACACCACACATCAGCTTTGCATGAAACCTAGAGATATTTTACTATTTTCCATTTTGAATATAGCTTTCCATATGCTGACTGGCTAGATGTTAATAACACAGAAGTACATGTTTCTTTGCTGCATTATGTTTTGTGATTTTCATCCCTCTCCAAAATGATAAAACATGACCATTACCCCTCAAACCTCGATGGGTACAAATATAAATTGAGTTAGGTCACACATTTTTCAAAATTCACCAATATTGAGCTCCTACCCCATAGAAAAAAAAACGACAAATTCAAGATTACTTAACACACCCCCTCCCAAATTAAAAGATGGTCATGGACTTGTTCAGCCTCGTATAAACAAATGGAAAATAGTTACATGGTAATTTCCCATTTTACATTGCTGATAAAACCATGGTACAAAAAATTTAGTGTTTGGGCCCTAAAATTTTGTAGGGTCTTAAAAATGGGACTTTTGGGCATAATTTGGCCTTTATAGGTTTTTTTGCCTATTTATCAAAAATGGGCCATAATTTTTCAAAATTTGGGCCCAATTTTTGGTTCTAAAATTTTTTCAAGACTCAAAAATTACCCCCCTCCCCTTGTTAATTTCTGGATCCGCCACTGTGTTTCCTCCGAAAACTCATTTAATAGCAAGGGTTAAGAATAGATTTAACTTTTCCTTTCATTATGTTGCCGTTTTAAAATATTTTTCAAACATAGATCACAAACCAAACATCTCGTCAGGAACTTCAAAAGAGGGATGCAAATGGCCAAAAATGGGGGTCTTGTAAATGTCGAAAATGGGGTTTGTATTTTCTCAAATTCATGAAAATGTGTCATTTTTGTACCATAGTTGCCCACACGAAAATGCATAACAGAGAAACATGTACCTAAGTTATAGTTTCTCATACAGTTTCATGTTTTTCATGAACACTCATATAGACATTGCTGATTCATATCCACTCATTTGTCTACTTGCCGATGGAGACTGAAAAGTAAACGCAACAATTTTGTAAAAACTATAAGCAATCTGCACAGGGGTTTCATTAGCAGCAGGGAACAGGCGATTTTCACTGGTTGTTTTCACAAAATTGCCTGTTGTCTTAGGGACTTTTCCATGTTAAATTTATGATTTCCATTAATTTTGCCTGTTGTTTTCATTTATTTAGCCTGTTGTGAGAAATTCTAGTGAAACCCCTGAATCATAAAGCATTTCTATATTAGTACCGCATATAAAATATGAGGGAAGTCCATATCATTTGATTTAAAAATTATGTCACCACAATAGAGTGGTTACATTTTATAGTCACTGCTTTTTGTGACATGTAATGATGATGACATTTAGCATCTGTAACAATAGTTACATTTTTGTAACATAATTTCACTTTTGTAACTAATTATGCCTTGTTTCAATACAATATAAGATCTAAAACAAGTGATGTGGTACCTTGTACAGTAAAACTTGTCTAATCTGAATGCCTATAGGACTACCCAAAAGTGTTTTGATTAGTCTCAAGGCTTCATAAACATATGAGTCAAGGGAGATTCCATATTTGGGACCACAGGGGCTTGTATGGAAGATCAGAAAAGAATTTGAAGACACAAGAGGGCTCTGCAAATCTTCCATATGATTCCCTGTGTTTGGGACCAAGAAATAGAGTTCACATTGAGAGGTGTTCGGATATACAGGACTGGTATAAATGAAACATTGATATTTGATCAATGTTAACAATCATTATCAAATAAACTAACTTGGTAGTGACCTCACCAAATGTATTAGTAATCTAAGCATTTAGGAATTTTTTAGCCTAAGTTTTGCCTGGAAATCGTGCAATGTTGTCTATCATTTGGTAATAGGCTCTAACTGATTATATAATCAATAAATATACAATGTTATTGTAAATTTTAAACTTTGATATTTTCATAATTTTGTTTTGATTATACAATCCATTAGACATTTCACAAAACTACCGAAGCTAAGCAAGGTATCAATCTTCAGAACTCAACCTAAAGTCAAGGTCATAATCTAAAGTCAAGGTCAAAAGCTAAGGTCAAGGTCACTCACCAAGATTATGGAAATTCAACTTTCACAATAGGAACAGCTGTCTTTACCTGTTACGTAAAATGTTGATAATAATATTTACTTAAAAGAAAAAAATTCCTGAGTTCTGACATATTTTGCACAGCTTTACTTGCTAGAGAGGCATTATTTTCATGTCAGGTCTCTAGCTACGTTTAATTTCTTATATAAGGAAAGCTTTGAAGAACAAAGCATTAAAACTCTCTAAAATACATATACCATATCTTTCATTTTTTATTTCCTTTGGCTTTGAGGCAGACAGTATACAAGGATTAAACTAGATTTTTGAAGTAAATATTTACCTTATTTGGTGATCCTGCACTTCCTGGGGGTTTAGTCCCCGGTCTCTTGGGTCCCTTCTTGCCTCCCTTTGCTCCTTTCTTTTTCTTATCTGGGGGTGGTGCGAGAGTGTCCCACTTGAGACGCACAGCCTCATACACACGCGGGTCCGCCCAAGCCATTGCCAGGTCACATGGGTTTTGACCTATTAGAAAGTAAATCCTTATTTAGCGACATGATATAATTTCTAAGACATACACACTTAAACCTAAAATACATGTTATTACAATACACAAAATAATCCCAGATTTCCCAAAGGGCCCAAAATGAAAAATAAAAAATTGGGAATTCCAAAACTACTTGGGGTTCACCTTTGGGGAAGGGTTGTAAGTTTTGGCCATTTCTGGAGAGACTCAGAGTTGTAAGTTATTATCATTGGACTGAAAAAATCCAAAAGAGATTGGTGCACAAATTCACGATGATTCAAAATATTTCAAAATCAAACTTACCTTTACGATTCTCAACTTGCATTTTACAATTTTTGTTGATAAGGTATTGGACAACATCAAGCTTTGAGCTCTCGACTGCCCGCATCAATGGTGTTCCACCATTCATCGTTGTTGCATCTAATTCAGCTCCATGGTCAACAAGGTATTCTACTAAGTCTACCATCCCAGAGTGACACGCATGATGAAGAGCTGTCCATTTAAAGTTGTCCTTAGCATTGATGTTTGCCCTGTAAAAAATTGTGAATCATATTTATTTGGCTTGATTTTTTGCTAGTTGTGCTGAAGTTTAATTCATCATGTTTTTCAATTTTCAAAATAGTTTCTTTCTGTTTTATGTCCTACAATAAATTTTTAATCATCTTCTGAGAATGAAACCATTAAAATGTCCAAAATTGGTGAGTCTCTTGCGATTTGCTCACATTTGAATAGAGCATTGCGGATTTTTATAATCTTCTTCATAATTTTGGGGTAGTTTAAGATCAGATTTTAGGGGTTGGTCAATTTTTAGTTAATTAATATTATCTACAGAGTAGAGTTTAATTAAATAAAAAATATCACTTACCCACTTTCCACTAAGAATTTGGCAACTCGCAAATTTCCCAAGGAACATGCTATCATCAATGGTGTTTTATAATACTTGTCTCGTGTATCCACTGGCGTCCCTTTAGAAAATGCTTCGCGTAAAGAGTCAATATCACCATTCCTGGTAGAATCGTTAATGTTCAAATAACGTTTTTCAGGGTGAGCTAAATACCAGGCAGAGTCATCCTGAAGTGGATGAGTTGGTGGCTCGTCCCGATTAAATCTATTATTGTCTGTAAAATGAATATGCTGCTCTATAAAGACTTCCGGGGGCCCACCATCCACGTTCCTCGGGCCGTCATTTTGATAACATATGGGCATTAAAACCTTCGTTTTTCCTTTCTTCTTTTTTCCACCTTTGCCCTTTTTCTTTTTCTTTTTTCCCTCAAATGCACTCATGAGGTATAACTTGTTTATGTATTTTTTAGATGCTATGAACTCTTCGTAGTTTATCACAGGTTCACGGCTCTTGTCATGTAATCCGATTATTTTATCCATATCTTTTTCAGGTGGCATGGGAGCACCCATATTTTGTAAACAGTCAATGAATTCATCCTTAGGAAGCGTACCGAGGCTATCCACGTCAACTTTTCTAAAAGTACGAAGACACTGCTCTTGACGTGCATAAACAAAATCATAAAGTTTAATGCTTGAAGGTTCATTGTTTTTTCCTGGTTTTCCAAATGCTTTTTCTACTTTGCGGAGTTCTTTTCCGGCTTCTTTATGGCTACCCTCCTTGGCTAAAACTTTGGCAAGGTCACCTTCTCCATTCTTAATTTTGGGATTGCAGCCTGAAAAATATGGTCCAGTTATTTGTTAGTTATAGGATTATAAACACCAAGCAAAGGATGATGCAGACTTAAATTTCCATTTCATATTTGCATGTTAATTATTTAGTTTTTAATGGTTTTAAAGCTTACAATGTATACATAGATATACTTCAATGGGTAGGAAGCAATAAAGGTAAATGATGATAGGGTCATTTGTCTAATTTTTGACATATAAATTGCCCTTTTTATCCCTTCTTATACCCAGAGCAACAAGAAAAAACAGCTGCAGATTTATTACCAAAATGACAGCTTTTATTAGAAGGCGAAGCTCTGAATTTTCAGATGCCAAAAATGCCAATTTAGACCAAATGGAAGCTTATTTTGACTAAAAGTATGCCAGTTTTACCTCGAAATTTTCAAAAGGCATATTTTCAGGAAATTAAATCAACATGATAATTTTCAAGCTACTTATTTACCTCTTTGGCCAATGAATTTGCAACATGGGCCAAACCCATTCTTAGCAGCAAAATGAAGTGGAGTGTTTCCCTTGTTATCAATGACATCAAATCTTGCGCCATAAGCAGCAAGGGCCACAAGAACTTCAAAGAAGCCTCCTTTGGCAGCCTCGTGTGCTGCATGGGTTTTAAGTTTGTCTTGGACATCAATTTCCCCACCAAGTTCCATTATTTCTCTGGCAATTTTATGGCATCCACTTGCGGCAGCAGCCATTAATGCTGTTCTCTGTGTTTTCTGAAAATACAGTATCAAACACATTGTATTTTTTCTATTATTACTCTCATTACCATGCATATTTTTTTTTTATGAACTAAAGCTACATATAGCTGTTTATATCATCTTTACAAATAATACGTGCAATTGTGAAATGTTTTTTCAACAGCTATTTAAAAAATTCACATTGGCCAATCAGACCTCTATTAATTTCACTGTGATAAAGTAATACACATGTAGGCCTATAAATAATGCATGGGTTCATAAAATAAATTCCCCTGTTCAAATTATTCAATTCCACACCAATCATACCTCATGCAGGCCATTTGGATCTGCTCCTTTCTTTAACAACATCAGCGCCATCTCTTCAATATCAGGGCCCTGCTCACATGCTGATTGAAAAACAGGTTTCCCATCATTTGCTTTTGTATTCACATCAGCGCCCTTTGCTAGAACTATCTTTAGGCAAGCTTCATGACGCTGGGTTGCCAGGAGACAGTAGTGTATTATGCCTAAATAATTAATAAATATATATGTGTAATTCAATTTTTAAAAAAAACAGTACCCATGTAACACATGAAATACTAATTAACAGTCATATCTTGTACATATTCTCTCTTGGTGGTTCTCATTAATGTTTTTGTTCAATTTTATCATTCATTTTTGTCTATGGGTAGTTTACTACACCTGTACATGCTCTTGATGGTATTCACTAAATATGACATGTAAATATTACAGGCTGCATTATTCTTATTCTTCACATGAATAAATTATTCATTTTTTTCTCTGGAGATGTAAGATCTCTCTGAATTAATAATGATGGGTCTACAGTACTGATGTTAACAGATATGCACTGCGCTATTGATTTCTATCATACTAAGAAGTATATCATCATGCAATCATTTTTGTTAACATCAGGATTAAGCAGTCTGCATGCAATATCACACATCTTTCAGATATTGATATGTTAGCATCAGAGGATGAAAAGTAATCAGTATGTCTGCTTACATTTTCCTTCAAGATCAACCAGTTTCATATCAGCGTGAGCTTTATCCGTAAGGCACTCAAGGCATTGGACATGTCCAAACTCCGCTGCACGCATAGCAGGTGATCGTCCTTTCATATCAACTACATCTGGATGAGCCCCTAGTTCAATAAGAAAGTTAATCATGTCTTCGTTGTTTTGAACTGCAGCAACTGAAAGAGCAGTTTCACCATTTTCCGGTTCATTGTAGTTTATTAAGTGTGGAACTCCATTCTGCGTCATCTTTTTGATTTGATCTTTGTCTTCTTCCCGAACACATTGCAATAGTTTACATATCTGGAGAACCTCCAGTCTTCCTTGAGCAATTGGCATGTTGAGTTTTGTTTTTTTCTAAAACCGGAAGTAAATTTTTATCTTGATGATTTTCGATCTACTATTCAACCTCAACGTTAGACATCTTTAACGCGTAACATTTCTTCCAAATTAATCGTAAATGTTCCATATTATCTACATTTAAATTATTTTATAAATACGTTGACATATGTTGCTGAATTACTATGTTTTCTAACTATTTAGTAAATGTTTTCAACATTTCGCCTCTCAAAATAGTTATGGCGTGTAGTTGCTAAGTGACGACAGGTGCGCGCATGGGCATCAAGAGTAATCAAAATTTATTTATAACTGCAGGTCTTTTCAAATGTTTTTTAAATGCGTTTAATTAAACAAATATTGAATATTTATCATTCGTTCGAGTTGAATCCATTTTAAAGTGATTAATTAGTACAAATAAAGATTACAAAACAAAAACTTGTTAAAAATAATTTACCTGTAATTATGATTTGATCAATCTTGGTCCCCATGTCCCCAATATATCCCCGGGGATCTGTCTGGACAGTGGACATCGTTGATTTCTAGATTTTATTCAAAATTCATCTCATCTATTTTATTTCAACTTCGAGACAGATGACAAGATGAAAAAAAGACAGATGTAAAATTTACTACATGTATCTCTTTTCAGCTTGCATTTTGCATTTCAGATCTAGATTTAGTTTCCGAACTTATTTAAAGATGTCGCACTGGGGTTCGAATTTGCTATCAACTTGGCCTACACAAATCTGAGACTTGGGGATTTGAAATTGCAGGGACGCATTTATTGAAAACTCAGAGGCCAATTGTGAATTTAACAAGGTAACATGCTCCCCAACAAAAGTTCATAACTGAATGTGGCATTTCGGACGTATTGGTACGGGATACAGGCCCGTAGCCAGGATTTGCCAGAGGGGTTCAGTTTTCAAAAATTTCCAGGGGGTTCACAACTTCACATTTGACAATTTTGGCCCAAATCACTTAAGATGTGCTCAAAATGGTGAAAAACTGCATGATTTTGAAAGATTTTTTGCCAGGGGGGGGGTTCCCGAACCCTGCGAACCGAAGTCCGGGACAATCTCCACTATAATCACTTGGTCACCGTGGTAAAGTTACACGGTGACAATACTTGACTTTAATAGTTTGTAAGATCCGCAGGACTTTCATCGTAAAGTTACGTTTGCTTTGTGAATACCAAAAATAAGTTTCCGCAATCATACGTTGACGTTTAGTCCCACGCTGGCTTTATGAACAAGGCTTCCGGACAACCTTGAAACTCCTTATCCACGGTGATACTTGACGTAAATATTTTCGTGGCATAAGTAACTCAAAAAACGGATAAAGATTTGTTTTGAATTTTACAGAAATTGATGTAACTTAGGTTTACTTCAAAATTGAGCCAGAAGCTTTAAATAAAAAGCAATCTTATATTATCATTGGTTATGGGGGAGGGGGAGCGGTCGCTCCATCGCACCCCCTCCTGGCAACGCCTTTGCTTTGTATTATATATCCATTATTGACATATATAAGTTTTGCACAGTGAACCAAATGTAACAAAAATTATCTCTCAGAGAAGGAAAATATAGATATCGTGAATAAGCTTATTGGATTAAATATAGATATCTCCTTCATTCATTTGTCCAATAAAAAGCATTGTCGTCTTCTGCAATATCGTCTGAATATATCATTCTGTGAATTTCCATCTTTGTAGTCTTCTTCAAGCCGTTCTGTCTTTACTTCGACCGACGGGTGCTGGGTGAACGAAGATGAAGAATTTGGTAAATTGGTCCATTATTTGGGCCTAGAATAAAAAAAAGACTTAATTCTAAATCGGACCTACATTGCTTAAACATTGCTTGAACTCGAGGGCTTTCATCTTTCTTGTTTTAAACGAATTACACATCGTTGAAATCAATTTATTTTAGTTTTAATTGCTATAACAAAATAAGTTACAGAAGCAAAAGTCTTTTCTGGGTCACCGTGAATGGCATGATTTCCTCGAGTCTCTTCAGTTGCAAGGCAACCATACTGGGACCGATTCGCGTCGTTCCACTACTGCCCTTGGTGGGGGCTCACTACCATACTGTATGACTCCCGGCGTCTACTATAGCCCATCAGTGGAGGAACCAACCACAGTCTCACAATCTGTCTCCGACAAGAGCAGTCAGAGAACCGGCCCATGCCAAGGGTCGGAGGTTGGACCTTCGGACCGAGTGTCCTGTAGAACTATTATCAAGGACGCCGTACCCGAGGCTCGAACGCGGGACCTTGTATCCCTCGGTACGCACGACCACAGTCACTAACCACCTAGGCTACACTGCTCAGGTGTCAACATTGCTCAAAAATGTAATAATTATACCGGGTGTCCTGTAGGCTAGTGCAATAACCAAAACTTCTCCGTACCTGCGACTCGAACACAGGACCTCCGTATCCCATGTTCAATCAAGATTAGTCTCTACGCCACGAGGCTACATTGCTTAGGTGTCAGAACTGCTTAAAAATATTGAAGTTGTTATGATTATTTGCTTGAGTTAACATAATATAAATGTATTTTAATTAATTAGCCCTATTTTAAAGTTAACATATTTGATCGAGGAAACGCAATGAACTCAAAATTGAGCTCTTGCAAATGATAACAGTGTCACAAAGCAAGGCTGCACAGAAAGTACGTGTTTGGCATAATATTTAAGACCCATCGGGAAAGAAAAACATCGCAATATATAGAGAAAAACATTTTGAACGTTGTTGTATATAGGTTAATGCTAATATGAAATTTCAATTGCGTCTCAAAGAAATGAAAAGGGCAATCAGCTACTGTATAGTAAGTGTATATATGAGTGGAAACAACTAATAATGATATGTCCAGAGCGGTCAATAAAATGGTAAGAGAAAATAAGCTATTTCATAATTTTCGGCGCATTGAAATAATTAATCCGGTTACGTTCTGTACTAATAAGTAATACGCGTGACTAGCACCACTAGTTATGATTAATACAGTTCGAGAAGCTAGGGCATAAGGCCAAAAATACTTCATCTACGAATCTGAATAAAACTGAACATTCAATTATGACATGAAATATCTAGTTAAGACGTAACTGCAAAAAACATCTAACCGTTATGGCATAAACTTTCAAAAGAATTTTTCGTCTGCAAAAATAAAATCATGCACAGGCTCTCAATAATCTCTCTATCATTTCATTGGTTAACAGTGGTATACAACCACACTCCCCTCTATAAGTTTGGCAACCGAACGTTTTTATTGAATATCAAATTAAACCCTGACAATGTATGAATCACAATATTGTCACCCCGGTTTTGATTTATTAGCCTTGCCTAAGTTTGTGTATTTTCATTTTTCTTGATTTCAATTTATTTTTCAATATGAATAAAAGTTAACATCGACTTGGGTAAGGCTTACAATATATCGGATATTAATGTCTTCAAGCCCATAGCTAGAATTTTCCAAGGGGCTTCACTTTTCCAAAAACTTCTAGGGGGGTTCACTTTGGCAAATTTGGCCAAAAAGCACTCAGAAATAGTCAGAATGGTGAAAAACTGCATGATTTTGAGAGTGGCCAGGACTATGGGATAATATTAGGCTACCTCTTTCAAAGGCTGCCTGACTCACTGGTGATCCACTCGATTACGCTGGAACCGTTTCGGTAACAAAAGTGTGGGAACGTTGAAAGTACGATTTTTCTTTTTTCCTTATTTCACACGTTGTAGGCAGAATTCCCACGAATTTTCTAAAACATATGATACTGATACACGTTTGTGATTAAAAATGTTGTGGGGATTCTGCCTACGACTCGTGAAATAAGGAAAAAAGAAAAATCGTACCTTCGACGTTCCGACATTTTGTTACCAAAATGAACCGTTTCGATAACCAGCGTAATCGAGCGGATCACCAGTGTGACTGGTCTCATATCAGATCAGAAAGCCTTTGAAAGAGGTATGGTTTTGACACTTTCCCCTTTGCTCCCATTCCCATTTGCAAAAGCCAGAAAACTATATCTAGTACATTTGAACAGCTCAAATTTTTGCAGTACAGTGCCAAAAATAGGCTAGGGATAGACAACATTTATAAAAGGTGCACTATATGTAGTTTACGCATTAGGGAGTTTAAGCTTGCAATGTTTTTCACATCCTAAACGTGAACGGAAAATATCTAAGCGGAAGTTTAACTCCCTAATACGAGACTTATGAACGTATTCCACTATCCCAACTGCAAGGCTTGACGTTGCATGATAAAATTTTAGATTAAAATTCATTATTTTCATATAAAAAATGTCAACAAATGTCATCAGACCACAAACTTTCATTTCGATAAATTTTAATAGGCTGAGTAAATGTCAACTAATATCAACAGACCACAGACCTTCATAAAATACACTAGGTACCTGCCACGAGCCATAATGGCTTTGTGTAGTTTCCCTTAAGGCCCCTTGAGGTATTGCATACTAGTACTGTTATTCTCCAAAGATTCACCATTTAACCTGGATGCTGTAATTTTATGTTGTGAAATGCTTTTTTGTTTCACCACTAGAAGTGGTGACATATTGTTATAGTTTGTCCAACTTTTTTGTGGAAGGTGTTCGAGGCGTTTGTCGTATGTAACAAATGACAGGTGGTGACATGGTGCATTATATCAAGTGGGTCCCATCAAATGAAACCCTTAAATTGTACTTACTTGTAACGTCCATATTAAAATTCTGTCATAAGGGATTTTTGCTACATGTCGAATTCAGATAGTTTAATAACCAAAGTGATTTGATTTTGAGATAGATATATTATAAATATCATCAATTTATGTACGGCCTTTAATTTCTAATTAAGCGTGCGGTGTTTCTGGAAAATGAGTAGGATGCCCCGGCCCTTGCTCTGAGTCAACAACAGCTCTTATATATTTTCCATTTTAATTCGTGACTCCGTGAATTGCAAAGATGGGTCCACTTGGTGAGTAATGCTATATTTTTCGTATTTTGTACATTTAATCGTATTTATTTATTACTATTAAAATATTATGATATTTGATATTATACAATAACTATCTAGAGCAATTCATTTAATTATAATGGTCTATAATGTTTACAGTACAGAACACTAAATGGAAATAGTTGCTTTTCTGAGTTGTTTATCATATTTAATTCTATGATTTATGGATAATATATGACCTAAGTGTCCATTGCCAAAGCCTTTGCATTGCACTGGAAAATTCAAAAATGCATGTCAAAAAATCCAATATCAGAGCTGCGCAATGAGACCTTCGTAGCATTTGTGCGAGCTATTACTTGATAACATATTGAATTCTGTGATCGTTTAATATCTGTATATATTTCTGAGAGATGTATTCACCTTCAAAAATATATAGAGATTATCCTATATGAGGTTCAGGATCCGAGGCCAATATAATATATTTGCCCGAGGGCCGCAGGTCCCGAGGGAAAATATATTATATTGGCCAAGGGATAATCCCAATATCCTGAACCGACTATAGGATAATATGTTTATCCCATACCAATCTTGGTCATCTGGTTCACATTGTTCAATCGTGGAAATATTTTAGAATATTCATGTCCAGTTTTGTTTTCTTGGCCTTGGGTGGGTTTTCCCGTTCCCTCAAATATTCCCACATTTATTTTCTCGAATTTTTAATTTATTAAGTGGATGCTCCTTCCCTTTTTTAAACCATCAAACAGATCCCGATTGTCTGTGTTTTCTCCATTGTCGTGTACAGTCATTACGCGAACGTTACAAATTATGAACAAATATGCGAGCGGCGATTATGACGTAGCGGGCAGATATACTGTATCTGCCCGCTCGGAGCAGGACGTATAGCTATATCTGCCCGCTGATGAAAATATAAGTTTTTACAAACCGGCTTCATGTACCTGTAACACGTCCAAGTATGGGATAAATAGAGATTATCCTATATGAGGTTCAGGATATTGGGATTATCCCGAGGCCAATATAATATATTTGCCCGAGGGCCACAGGTCCCGAGGGAAAATATATTATATTGGCCAAGGGATAATACCAATATCCTGAACCGACTATAGGATAATATGTTTATCCCATACCAATCTTGGTCATCTGGTTCACATTGTTCAATCGTGGAAATATTTTAGAATATTCATGTCCAGTTTTGTTTTCTTGGCCGTGGACGGGTTTTCCTGTTCCCTCAAATATTCCCACATTTATTTTCTCGAACTTTTGATTGATTAAGTGGATGCTCCTTCCCATTTTTAAAACATCAGACAGATCCCGATTGTCTGTGTTCTCCATTGTCTTGTACAGTCATTACGCGAACGTTACAAATTTAATATGAACAAATATGCGAGCGGCGATTATGACGTAGCGGGCAATCTGCCCGCTCGGAGCGGGACGTATAGTTGATATCTGCCCGCTGATGAAAATATAAGTTTTTTACAAACCGGCTTTATGTACCTGTAACACGTCCATGTATGGGATAAATACAGATATTCAACTCCACAGAATTCAATATTTGTAAAATATTGGACTTTGGGCCTTCGGCCCTCGGTCCAATATTTTACTATATTGCCCTTCGAATTACGGTTATTGTACTATTTTTTCAGGTCTGTTTAGTGGACTTGTGTGTTCCTTGATATTTCTTCCCAATGGGAAAGAAGTTTGGTGTAAAGAAGAAGGTATCAACGAGATAAAGTATCTCAACAAGTACAAACTGACTGAGATGTTTCTTCAGGTTGAGCCAAAAAATATCCAACCCCTTCTTGAAGCCACTACAAAGGTTGCTGTAGAATATGTCAATAAGATTATTGGTGAAGATAAAGATAAACGTATAGTTGAAAAGTCAATTACAAATATGGATAGAATGGGCAAACGTTTAAAGGCGTTTTTGAAACAATTGACAGATTGGAAAACGACCAGGATACAACTTTTAGATATCATCAAGAATGAGAATGATTCGAAAGTTTTGTTGGAAGTGACAGATGAAACATTCAAATCCATGCATAAAAATTTCAGTTGGACTATTGATAATGAAATTCAATTTCTTGGGTCTTGGTCTTTCTTTGGTCTGTCTTGGACAGAAAAAGTGGGACTTACTTACATAAATGATGATATGCAAAGGAGTCTTAAAATCACAAAAGACTACAGTAAAAGCTTCAACAAACTGTTCAAAGCAAGTCCGAGTTTCAGAAAAATGAAAGAGGTTAAAATACTAAAACAAATATTGAGCCAATTCTACAAGGAGACTAAGAAGCTTCAGAAATCGACAAGCAAGATCGTCAAGGTCATCCTACAGTTGAGAATCCCTGATGGTATAGAGAACATGGGTATGTTAAAGTATATTGCCATCAGAATTTATGTCATATGATATCACTAAATTACGACAATTTAGTATGCCTATAAAATTGTGCCCAGTTCAATCTCCCTTGTGTTATCAATAATGTCGAGGAATTAGTTTTTACTTGTATCACAAATGTCTTCATAACAATTTCTTTACAACTAGTATTTTGATTGTGTAATTACAGCGTCTAACAATTGCAATGCAGAATCTAAAGGGGTTAATCTTATAAGGACAGATGACGGTGCGAGTTTTTTAGCAGTGTGTGATGCGGAATGGCTTGTTGTGGCTCAAAGGTTTGATGGAAGTGTAAACTTCACGAGGTATTATGAAGATTACAGTATTGGCTTTGGTAATCCCCCGTCAGAGTACTTCATTGGACTCGACAATTTTGTGTCTGCAGCCTCACAAGATATATATATGTTGCGTTTTGAGTTGACAACATGGGAAAATGAAACCAGAACGGCCGATTATATGACGTTTGATGCCACACCTTTAGATTATGCCGATGTAGGTTACTATACCCCTTCCTGGTATAGTTTAAGAATATGGAATTTTCGAGGCACAGCTGGAAATTCTCTTAACTATAGAGTGAAATATAATTATACTAGCCGAAATTATATCGGATTTACGAATACAGGAAAATGTTTTAAGGAGGAGATAGGATGGTGGTGGGGTTATTGTGGTAAAGCCAACCTATTTGGACGATATAACCATGGACCTGAATGTGATAAAGCAATGGACTGTATGAGTTGGCAAGCATGGCCAGACCAACTTCTAAATGAAAAGGATAATAAGTTTTATTCATTCAAAGCTATGAGAATAATGATACGTCCACTGCCCATTGAAGCCCCTCCAAAATGTATAAAAGGGGTTGCTAATGAATTTAACGCTGCTCAAAGAAGTGATAATGATAACAAGCTTCTTGCCAAATGTGAAGGACAGTGGTTGGTTGTTGCTCACAGGTTTGACGGAAGCATTGATTTCAATCGCACATGGAATGAATATAAAGCCGGATTTGGTAACATCTCTGGAGAGTTCTTCATAGGTCTTCAAGCTCTATTTAGATTGACACTTAGAAATACATTCATGGTCCGTTTTGAAATGATAAATAATAGTGGTATAATGATTTATTTGGAGAATGATGGCTTCACTATCTCAGATGAACACGATCGTTTTCGATTTTCGGTTCATGATTTCTGGGAGAACAGAAGAAATGGAAGTTTTGCCTATATGCCTAATACAAGGTTCTCTACTTGGGATAATGATAATAACCATGATATATCATGTGTGCAGCAAACAGGCGGACCATTCTGGCATTCTCATTCTGCAGACAAGTGTGACACAACATGGCCATCATATATCTTTGGACAATTCAAATTCAAGGACATGAAAATGATGATCAAACTTGTTGAGACGCCGTGTGGTGAACGAAAAAGTGGGATCAATGATATACATCCCCTGGGTGGATCGTCATTTAAAGCAAAGTGTGAGGAAAACTGGCTCATGGTCGCTCACAGATTTGATGGGAGTGTCGATTTTTATCGTACTTGGGCTGAATATAAAACTGGTTTCGGTGATCCATCGGGAGAGTACTTTATTGGCCTTAATAATTTATTATCTTTGTTTACTGGAGATAGAAATTATGTGCTAAGATTGGAATTCACAACATGGGATGGGCGAACTGAGACTGCAGAATACTACGTATTTCGACTTGGCTGGAAAAGTGAAACTTCCATTCGACTTGAGGATTTTCGAGGTTCTGGAAAAGATGTTATATCAACTTCTGATTATTACCATTATACTTATGACACCATTAATGACTACCCGTTTTCTACTTGGGATCGTGAGGATGATCCTTGGACAAACTGTTCTGCATTACGCAGAGGTGCCTGGTGGTGGTACAGACCAGAAGGAAGCTCTGAATACTATTATGAAAGAGGTGTGGATTACAAGGACCAAGATGGCTGTGGATTTACCAACCCATTTGGACGATATATGAATGAATCAAAATGTGACATAGAGTATGGATGCATGAGCTGGTTAGGTTGGCCAGGGGAGCTTTTCAGTGAAGCCGAGCGGAAAGCAAACAAGGATCTTCACAATGGCTGGTATTCATTCAAAGAGATGAAATTCCTGATACGTCCTAGAGAACCAAATTGGTTAAGTTGGAATTGGTGGGCGTATTAATGACATATATGTCTGATGACTTTGCATTTGTATCTGGTTATGGGACTGATATACAGACATTAAAAACGCAATTCACTTCTAGAAAGAATTTAATTACTACTTTTATCTTTTTGGAAATATATAAAACTTTTGAAATAAACCAATTATAATTGTTTAACTAGGTTTAAAAGAATATATTATGCTTTGAATATTATTAACTACACAATTGCAATAGGTTTCCAAGAGAGCTAAAATTTTTAATTGCATTTCTCATGGATAAATTATCTCATTTCTCGCATATATTTATCAACTGATTGTCTTAATTTCGTGGACAAAAGACACATGAATGCTATGAATTGGTGTAAATTGTCGCTTACTAAAAGATAAATGTACATGTGACCTCTAAAATTTGTTTTAAATAAATTTTTCGAACAAAAAGTCCTTCAAAAACAACGTTTTGAAGTTAAAAAAAAGTTTCACATTTCACATGTATCACATTCTTAAAACATTGGGTATGGCTATAATTTAAGCCAAAGCGGTTCAAACTTTTTATGGCATATGGTGCCTTTAGTAACTTCACCAATTTATAACATATCATGGATCTTTTGGGAAATATTGTATTTGAGGTCTTGGTATGTTCATTGTACATGTTACCTGCAATTCTGTCACCCTCTGAAGATTTGATTCTGCCTGTAGTTATAAGTTAACGAAAACTAAGCAACATTGGTGACATGTACATGTATTTATGTCATAGATTTATATTACAAAAGGAAAATAAGATATATGTGGTCATGAAAAATTAAATTTCTTATTTGGTCAAGAAACTTTTACTATAGTTTAAAAAACAAGACTTTGGACTCTGCATTGCAAGACAATAAATAAAAGAACCAAGACTCAACCGCTTCAAACGAGTCGACGAATGACCTATCTGAAAAACGGTGGGAAATTTAAATAAGGTTGACCCAAATTTTGGAACGACTATAACTCTATCAATACCGATGTAAGTTCCTAGAGGATCCCACATTGAATGAATGCTTTGTGTGCCAAATTTAAGATCTACCAACCTCCATTTAAGAAATTTATTCAAGAAATGGAGGGTTGCTTTTTGGGGTCATCCTGTATATCAGAAATAACAAGCTAAATTAAAAAATCTCAAAGTTATATTCAAACTATTCGATTTGTTCCATTCAAAACTGTAAGATAGCTTATTTGTTACGCGGACAAAGTGTTTATGGAGAAAAGATCATTTGTTTGTCATTTGGTACTTAGGTGTAAATGACGATTCTATAACTTCAAGATTAAATTTCTGTATTTCCAAATTAGAAAATTGCCAACAAATTCATCAAACCACAAACACTTTCACGTCGATAAATGTGAGGATGAATTTTTATATTTCCACAATAGGCTGAACAAATGTCAACTAATATCAACAGACCACAAACCTTTATAAAAAGGCAATGACAACGATGATTTGAATTTATATTGCTTCATTTATAACGAACACATTTTTATGTCAATAATTAGTAACTTGCGGTTTCCTTAAAGGCCCTTTGTAACATTGCATACTTGAGATACTCCCAACAAAATCCACCATTAAAGTGTCCATGGGCGATAAAATGTTAGTGGGTGTTGTAAACTTTATTTTGTGATATCTGCTTGTGGTATGCTTTTAAATATTGTTAAATGGTCTCTCACTTTTTGTGGACGGTTTTCTGTGGTGTCGTTCGACGTCTGTAACAAATGTTAGGTGATGTTTTGTATGTTAACGCCTTCCAATATCATCATTGCCATCCAGAACACCTTTTGGTAGGCCTAAATCATCATTTATTAGAGCACATGAACCATGAATTAACCCACTGGTGATGAAATGGTTAATAACTACATGTAACTTCCACGTCAAAATCCTCTCATAGGGAATTTTTATGTATTCAGAGAGATTGAAAAACCAAAGTGAAGCTATTCCGAGATAATGTAGATATATTATATCATCAACATGTGTAGAGCCTTTAATTTTTAATTATGCGTTTGTTGTTTCTGGAAAACGAGTTATATGCACCTTACTTTGAGTCAACAACAGCTCTTCTAATAAGCTCTTCTAATTCGTGGCTTCGTGAATTGCAAGATGGGTCCACTTGGTGAGTAATGCTATATTTCTGGTATTCCGTACATTAAGTATTTATTTATTACTATAAATATAATGATATTTGATGTATAACTAACTAGAGCAATTCATTCAGTAATTCATGATCTATAATGTGGCATCGTAGATGATTGCTTACAGTATAGAACACTAAATGGAAATAGATTTTTTCTGTGTTGTTTATCATATTCAATTATATGATTTTTGGCTAATATATGACCTATGATTCAGCAATGCAAAAGGCTTTGCATTGCGAATTTGGCCTTTCTTATTGCAATGATGAGAAAAAAACATTGGTCACATATATCGGGTGTCACAAAAAAGTGAGCTGCTTTTTGACAATTATTTTCTCTGCACTCATGATTGATCAATTTCATTGAAATTTTCTAAAGAGTAGCCTAATGGTATCCTTACCAAGTGGTACAAAAAGAGATCAATTATGTGAGAATGACAAATTAAAAAAATGCATGTCAAAAAATCCAATATCAGAGCTGTGCAACGAGACCTTCATAGCGTTTGTGCCAGGTATTAGTTGATACTTGATAGCATCTGTCAAACAGTTTTAGTCTCAAAACGCGTGTGCTCCTTGTGTTTATTCATTTATGATCACTGTCTGAGCTTTCAGTTGCAGAGGTATTAACCCGCTCTGGGTTCTTAAGGACAGTTGAGCAGTGTGTGTGTGTAGAAAATGTCCGTTGTGCTTCCTCTGGTGTGTTCGAGCGTTAAAATCAGCTGCAGATCGACTAACAAAACAACCTTTTTTGGGGTTGTTGGGTTGGCGGAGAGGGCTTGAGCGCCAGCACGTTCAGTCTAGGCGATTGGGCGCCGTAACCACGAGGTTGCGAGACGCGTGTGCTCCTTGTGTTTATTCATTTATCTGTGTGTCGGGTCTATTGATTTGTTCCATTGTTCTTTGTATCCAAAATACGATCTGTCCAAAATTTCAGTTTGGAAGGATTAAAGATGCAATGATATTTTCAGGCCTGTTTTGTGGACTGATATGTTCCTTGGTATTTCTCCTTAATGGGACAGAAGTTAGGTGTAAAGAAGAAGGTATCAACGAGATAAAGTATCTCAACAAGTACAAACTGACTGAGATGTTTCTTCAGGTTAGACCAAAAAATATCCAACCCCTTCTTGAAGCCACTACAAAGGTTGCCAAAGAATATATCACTAAGATTCTTGGTACAGATAAAGATGAGCACGTAGTTGAAAAGTTAATTACAAATACGAATAGAATTGGCAAACGTCTGAGCCCGTTTTGGGAACAATTGGAAGAATGGGAAACATTGAGAAATCAGCTTTTGGATGCTTCCTACAATTTTATAGAAACTATGATTGAAGACGCAGGTGAAACATTCGATTCTATCAGTTGGCTTATTGATTTTCAAACTATAGCGTATTTGGCAGAAAGAGAGGGGGTTACTTACATAAATGATGATTTGCTAAAAGGTCTTAAAATTACAAAAGACTATAGAAAACGCTTGAACAAAATGTTCAAAATCACTCCAGATTTAAAACAAATGAAAGAGGCTAAAATACTTAAACAAAATTTGAGCCAATTCTATAAGGTGACCAAAAAGTTTCGGAAATTGACAAAGTGGATCGTCAAGGTTATCCTACAGTTGATGATCCCTGATGGAATAGAGAACATGGGTATGTTAAAGTTTACTGTTATCACACATTTTATGATTTTGTCATATTATCACTATAACGAGTATTTAGTATGCCTATAAAATTGAATCCATTTCCTATTGAATCAATGATGTCTAGGAATTATTTTTTGTTCGCATCACAAATGTCTAAACAATTTCTTTACAAATAGTGTTTTGATTGTGTAATTACAGGGTCTAACAACTGCAATGCAGAGTCTAAAGGTGTTAATCTTATAAGGACTGATGACGGTGCGAGTTTCTTAGCAGTGTGTGATGCGGAATGGCTTGTTGTGGCTCAAAGGTTTGATGGAAGTGTAAACTTCACGAGGTATTATGAAGATTACAGTATTGGCTTTGGTGATCCCCCTTCAGAGTACTTCATTGGACTCGACAATTTTGTGTCTGCAGCCTCACAAGATATATATATGTTGCGTTTTGAGTTGACAACATGGGAAAATGAAACCAGAACGGCCGATTACTTGAGGTTTGATGCCACTCCTTTAGATTATGCCGATGTATATTACTATTCACCTTCCTGGTATAGTTTAAGAATAAGGAATTTTCGAGGCACAGCTGGAAATTCCCTTAACTATAGAGTGAAATATGATTATATTGACGGAAGATACATGTATGTCGGATTTACGAATACTGGGAAATGCTTAAAGGAGGAGATAGGATGGTGGTGGGGTTATTGTGGTAAAGCTAACCTATTTGGACGATATAACCATGGACCTGAATGCGATAAAGCAATGGACTGTATGAGTTGGCAAGCATGGCCAGACCAACTTCTAAATGAAAAGGATAATAAGTTTTATTCATTTAAAGCTATGAGAATAATGATACGTCCACTGCCCATTGAAGCCCCTCCAAAATGTATAAAAGGGGTTGCTAATGAATTTAACGCTGCTCAAAGAAGTGATAGCGATAAAAAGCTTCTTGCCAAATGTGAAGGCCAGTGGTTGGTTGTTGCTCACAGGTTTGACGGAAGCATTGATTTCAATCGCACATGGAATGAATATAAAGCCGGATTTGGTAACATCTCTGGAGAGTTCTTCATAGGTCTTCAAGCTCTATTTAGATTAACACTTAGAAATACATTCATGGTCCGTTTTGAAATGATAAATAATAGTGGTATAATGATTTATTTGGAGAATGATGGCTTCACTATCTCAGATGAACACGATCGTTTTCGATTTTCGGTTCATGATTTCTTGGAGAACAGAAGAAATGGAAGTTTTGCCTATATGCCTAATACTAGGTTCTCTACTTGGGATAATGATAATGATGACTACCATGGTATATCATGTGTGCAGCTAACAGGCGGAC